TGAAACCTATCAAAGTCAAAATATGTCAATCAGAGCTGACGTGCAATGTGAAACGGTATTCATCAACTAAAACAGGAAGTGGGTGTGCCATGGGTGGGTGGGTGGAAAGCAGCCGGATGGACACAGAATTTGTAGTAAACATCTTTCCAGTAGGTGCAAGAGGTTCACATTCTTTAAAAAAAAAAAACACTTGCACTTGTCCCAGTACCCAATCGTTTAACCGATTTATTATTCTTGGAAACTTCAATTTAATTATATTTGGCATCATAAATGCAGTATACGTTATAGAAGCAACTTGTGCTTGTTAACTTAACTTTATTTGAATATCTTGTATAGTTCAATTTCTTCATTTCCAATATACATCAGACATCCTACATTGTGTACATCACATATGATGTACATGTTAATCTAGATTTTCAAATATACAATGCCTAACACGGGTCTTTAAAGGTAAATGTATTTTAAGGGTCGGGAAAGCCATAGAGATATGGCCACACTTTTCTTATTACATGTGCATGTAGTTACATTGGCATAAATTTGCAAAACCAAGAGTCCATAAAGTCTGGTATGGGAGGAGAAAATGCTAGAATTACAGATGTAAAAGGGTTTCATTTCAGCATGTGTATATAGGGCATGCCTTGGGAAGAGTAACCTTTGGCATTGGCAGCTACAAGGGCAATGAAAATATAGGGAGTATGGCATGTGTAATGTTCATGCCACGGTAATGGGGCACAGACACATTGGATAATGTAATGTCATATATATCTATGTATCAAATTTATGAGGCCTTGGCCTAGAGAGAAATAGACTGAAATTATAAATGTGAACAGGAATGACTACTACCGTACTTGCTGGCTTTTCTTCTTACAATACATCGAACATTTGCCGTTGTTTTTGTTTTGTTTTTTGCCGTTTATCTCCATTGAACTTTCTTCTTTTTTTTCTTCTTTTTTTCTTCCCTTTTTCCCTTTTTTTTTTCTGTTTATATTTGTAGGTGTGTCTGTGTATGTGTGTAGTGAGCATGTCTGAGAAACAAAGTTATGTGCAATCTTTACAATCTATTGATTTACAAACTATTCATGAATATCTGTCTCCTGAGAATAATGAAAATGGATACAATTACGGGCCTTCCCAATCTTTTTATACCCCAGATGAATTTAATGATTACAGTAAAACAAAATTAAAGAACTATTCACGTGTCTTTTCTAGCTTGCATTGTAATTGCAGGAGTATGAATAAGAATTTTGAAAATTTAACTATATTTCTTAATACTTTGGATGTGCAATTTTCGCTTTTAGGTATAACAGAAACGTGGCTGAAAGAGAGTGATTGTTTTTATAACATTGATCATTATTCATTTTTAGGTAATGGGAGAGAAGCTAAAAGAGGTGGAGGAGTTGCAATATATATTAGAAATGATATAGATTTTAAAAGTAGAGCTGATTTAGATTTAAATACTGTTCATTTTGAGTCTATTTTTGTAGAAATTTCTAATCTCACCAAGAATATTATAGTAGGGGTAATTTATCGTCCACCAAACCAATCGGTGCAATCTTTTATTGAATCATTTGATGAAATTTTAAATATTGTAAAAAAAGAAAATAAATTATTGTATTTAATGGGTGATTTTAATTTAAATTTATTAAAAGTTACATCTTGCAAGAGAGTCAATGAATTTCTTGATGTTTGTATGTTGAACAACATCTACCCTCTTATTCATACTCCAACACGTGTAACCAATCATTCTGCTTCCTTGTTAGATAATATTTTGACTAATGATTTAGAAGAAATATTTGCAGGTGTTATCCTCGGTGATGTCAGTGATCACTTTCCAGTTTTTTCAATCTCAAATCTACAGTTACAAATAAAAAAGGAAAATGCTTCTGTTAAACGTGATTTTAATGAAGAAAATTCACAGCTTTTTGTAAATAAAATTATGAATGTATGTTGGTCTGTTGAAAATCATGATGCTAATGAAGCCTATAATGATTTTTTGCAAAAGTTTTTAAACATTTATGAGTCATGCTTTCCAATTAAAAAGTCAGCTAAAAAGAAATTCAAAAATAAATCATGGTTTAATAAACCACTACGTAAGCTCTGTAATAAAAAATGTTACTTATACAGACGATATGTTAAAAAACCAACTCCAGAAAGACATGAAAAATACAAGAATTTCAGAAATAAGATAACTGAAGAAATTAAAGAAACAAAGAGAGCATATTTTAAAGGTAAATTTCAAAATGCTGCAGGTGATATGAAAAACACATGGAAAGTAATCAATGGAGTACTGGGTAGGGGTGTAAAGAAGAAGGTGCTACCAAGTTCAATTCAGTGCAATGATGCAATGATAAATGAGACAGCAGCAATGTGTAATGCTTTTAACAAATACTTTGTAAATATAGGCCATACACTGTCTTCTTCTTTTGTAAATTCTGGGGACTGTATGCAACATGTAATAAAAAATAATTCATCTGCATTTTTTACTCCGTGTACACCAAAAGAAGTTATTAATATTGTTTCTAAACTTAAAAATGGCAAGAGTCCTGGTTTTGATGGAGTGGATATCACATTGGTTAAAAATGTTATTCATATTTTATGTTACCCTTTATGTGATATTATCAATTTATCTTTAAATACTGGTGTTGTCCCAGACAAACTTAAAATTGCAAAGGTTATTCCTATTTATAAAAATGGATCAAATGATAATTTATCAAATTATAGGCCCATATCTATTCTTCCTATTTTTTCAAAGATTTTAGAGAAATGTGTATATAGTCGTGTATATAAATTCTTGGAAAAGTGCGATATTATTACTCCCAAACAATTTGGTTTTCGAGCGGGACACTCTACTTCTTCTGCCATCACTGATTTTATTCATAAAGTTACAAATGCCTTTGATAATAAAGAAATAATGATTGGCCTGTTTTTAGATCTTAGCAAGGCTTTTGATTCTCTTGATCACTCAATATTATTAAAAAAATTGGAATGTTATGGTTTTAGAGGTATTGTACTGGAATGGTTCAAAAGTTATTTAAGTAATCGCAAACAATATGTTGTTCTAGAAAAATGTGAATCACAGACAATGGCGATAAGATGTGGAGTGCCCCAGGGCTCAATTCTTGGGCCATTATTATTTCTTTTATATGTAAATGATATTTGCAATGTTTCAAAAGTGCTAGAACTGATATTATTTGCAGATGACACTAGTGTGTTTATGTCCCATCAAGATATTGTATCTCTTCAAAATATTTTTAATACAGAATTTGCTAAACTGGTTGATTGGTTATATATAAATAAACTTGTAATCAATATTAAAAAAACACACTTCATGATTTTTACTAAAAAACACATTGATGTTACCCAAATAAAGGTTAAAGTTAAGGAATCAGTTATTGAACACGTTACGCATTTAACTTTTTTAGGGGTCACAATAGACGATAAATTAAATTGGAAGGAACACACTGGTGTCGTCTGCAATAGATTGGCTAAACATGTTGGTATATTTTATAAATTGAAATTTTTACCTAAAGAAATATTGATAATTTTGTATAATACATTAATATTACCCCACTTAAATTATTGTATTCTTGTATGGGCATGCTCTAGTATGCAAAATACAAATAGGCTTTTAGTTTTACAAAAGAAAATTATAAGAATTATATCGCACAGCCAATACCTTGCTCATACTTTACCTCTTTTTTACAACCTAAAGTTTTTAAAAGTAAACGATATTTATGTTTATCAATGTGCAATTTTTATGTATCTATGCTTTAAAAAACTTTTACCAAATACTATTTTACAATATTTTCAACTTAATAAGAATATTCATGGCCACCAGACCAGGATTTTAAATAATTTTCATATTCCAGGAGTAAGGACAGTAGTTTCCCAAAATACAATTTTGTTCAGGGGTCCAAAAATTTGGAATGACATACCCATAGATATTCGACTGAGTCCATCACTAAATAGTTTTAAAAGAAAATTTAAACTGTACTTGTTAAGACAATACTCAATAGTGCAATAACCTATATTCTTAATGTTCATCAGACAGAAAAGTGTGTGTTTGTGTGTTTGGGAGAGAGTGTATGTGTGAATGCAATTTTTTATTTCCCCTTTTTTTTACTTACTTTTTATAACAAATACAAAATTTAAATAATGTACTTAGTTTTTTATACAATTACTGGAGACAGACTTTTATATAAGGCCCAGCCTTCCTGTCTAGTCTCCAAATACTTTCATTAATGTACATGTTTAAAATGTTTTTCCCTTGTCCATCATGTCTTCTCCACTTGTGTTATCCTCACGTTATATATTGATACATGTATTATATTCTAACTTTTATATGTTTGTTTTCCTTGTATATTTTTAATGAAAGTATTGAATAAAGTGAACTTGGTAGCATAATTAACCTATGCCATTGGATTGTATAGCTGCAGTGACTGGGATAAAGGCAGTATATAAGGCATGTTTAAACCCCTCATTAAATCTCCATATGTATCAAATCTATGGGGCCTAATTGGCCTAGAGAGAAATAGACTAAAATTATAAATGTGAAAAGGAATGAGTAATTGCTGGTAGCAGAATTAACCTATGGCATTGGTTTGTATAGCTGTAGTGACTGGGATAAAGGCAGTATAGGGAATAGGCAATGTTGAATCTCCCCACTGGCCTGGGGATAAATGTCAATTATCATGCCAAGAACCATGGCTGTATAATGCCAGGACGTACTGGTATGGAACTTTAATCACTGCAAGATAACGAATGGGAGGGAGAGGGGTTTAAAATATTGATGAGGCTTAAATAATAGGTGTTAACTGGGTAAATAGGTTTACATTACATCAGCATGGGTAGGGCACACTAACCTATGGCATTGGTCTGTAGCTGGAATGACAGATAACAAATGGGAGGGAGAGAGGTTTCAACTATCGATGGGGCTGAAATCATGGATATGAACAGGGTAAATAGGTTTACATTGATCAGCGTGGGTAGGGCACACTAACCTATGGCATTGGTCTGTAGCTGCAGTGACTGAGCTGATGACAGTATGGGGAGTATGGCGTGAGCGATCTGCATGCTGAGCTGGGGATAAATGTCATTCTCGTGCAGCGGGCCCAGGAGTCGCGCGAGGAGGAAGACGATGCTCGTTTTGACATCTTCTGACGAGGAGGCAAGGCCAGAGACCAGATAGTCCAGCAGGCTGTCTATATATGGGGAAAGGGTTGGATATTAAAGGGATACATCAGAGTGAAACAATTACATGCAGGTTATACATCAGACTTGGAAATGTGTAGAATAGGATATCTGATGTGAGATATATGTTTTATCGCTCCAATGAAATTTGATTTGTATGTTGCAGAAGAAAATAAATTCAATTCAATTCAGTATACTCATATGCAGGTCTTCTCTTTGTGTGTTTGTGGAGATGAATGATGATGATGATGATGATGAATATGATTTGTCAACATACAGTACATGTACACGTAGGTACATATTCAGTTTACCATTTAGAGACTACTATTGTACATACATGTAAATACACAAAGAATGTATTACAGCTATAAATAAAAGCTTCCCTTACACATCATTTCATAATGAAAACCTTAAAGCAAATCTTGCTCAATTGCTTTTCTTGTTTAAAAAAAAAAAATTCAAAGAATGGTGCAGAACAATTATCAGGGTGCTCAACAAGGAGTTTAAACACAAAACAGAGACATGATTGAATTTTGATTGTCCATTTTTGAAAATCAGCGAACAGGTAAAATTCATTCTCAATTGAAATTATTTATGAAATATCAGTCATAAATATTTTTTTTAGTGCTTCAAATAATGATTTTTATTGCAGCAGAGCGCATCAAAGAACATGAGAACCCTTAAGCAAGCCCTGGGGAATAGCTACAAGGTACTTTTTGCTTCACATACATTATGTTCATGCTCATTTCAGGTTCCAATTTTACAGTTTCAATTTTTGTTTGAAGACCACCCTGCATTATACAAATTTTTGTTTAACCCATCAATGTGAAATAGAGGTTCGGTTAAATTGTTAAATCGATAACCATCCATCAACACCGCTTTCATTGTCTTACTGGGAAAACTGTAAAAAAAATAAAAAAAACTTTTTAAATTCTAAAGAGGTTCACATCTTCACCTGATAACTGATTTAAATCAGAGTTCATAGAAAAAGGCTTTGCAAAAAAACTTGTTGCATTTAAAATCTTTTCATGATCTGATCAATGTATATACATGTAATTTAAATAGACTCTGAAAATGAATTTGTATAATCTTTTGAGAACCAGATGGGTATTAACTCTACATTAAAGCCCCTCTAAAGTGTCAGGAGCCCAGAATTCGCCACAAATTTGATGGCAAAATTTCACTTGTATCCTAATGTGAAGGAGGGTGTTATTTAAGAAACATTTCTGCAAAGATTTTCCCCCCAAAAATGTATTTGATAAAAAAAGAATACATAACTTTGTTTTTCTGTTGTATGCAGAAAACCTAAACTTTGTATTCTTTCATCGATCTCCGACTTCAAACACAATTGTTTATAAAATCCTTGCATAAATGTGTCTTAAATGGCACCCTCTTTCACATTATGATACAATTTAAGTGATTTTGCCATCATATTTTTGGGGCTCCCAACACTTTAGAGGGGCTTTAAAGTACAGGAGGTAGTGCCCTTCTAGCTTTCAGCAGATGAATTAGGGCCCATTCATTACAAATCATTTTAGTGCAAGGTCCTTTCCAAGGGCCACAATAACTTTTATAATTATTCAAATTACCTCCATGTTGAGCTAGAGTTGGTGCCAAGGCAGGAATGGTTTGCAGTAACTGACCAATCAAAGAAAGGTAAGGAAGGCTCTGCTGGTATCCACATCCCGATTCAATCTGGAAATCAGATTGAAACAAAATAAGTGATTTAAATTATCTTAAAGTGCATTTACTGTACAACATACAGTGTATTTCTTACTATAAAATAACAAAATTGCATATACATTTGTATTGAACCTCCATTATATTACCAAAATTACCATGATTGCCATAATTAATGAAAAGTCAATAGACTTCTGATTGACTCCGTATACTGTACAACATGCAGTCAAAAATTGTAAATAGAATTGGAGCTGTAACAGAAAACAACTGACCAACTGCAAATGGCTTGAGAAAGTGACCAATTTCCACAGCTGGTCAATCATTCACTAGGAAAGTTAAGGTCTATTTTTCTCATTTAGACCGTGCATCAGATTTCCTCCATCCTGCCTGATCAAATGGATGTGAATTAAAATATGAGATGCAAGTATGATATCAAATTTACAAACATCCATCATGAATTGGAGAAATTAGAGCGCTTGCAATTAGAGTGTTTTCATGAAATGCAAAATTATTTAGAAATACATGTTTACACCTTGAAAAGTTAATAAACAATTTTTAATTTTGGGGGGCTTCCTTGTTCTAAATCGATTGGACATTACAAGCACAGTATACCTGTGAGAGCTTACAATCTACATGTACAGTACGGAGAGAGTGAAATCTTGCCTTGCATACATTTTGTTTCCTACTCATTAGTTCACAATATCTAGGCACCAATATCTTATATTTTCTCAAGAAAAAGTAATGTTGTGAAACAGACACACATACTTTGTCAATTACACACTAAATCTTCATGCATGGTGAATACATTTGTTGAGGGTTCTGGTTCAGGAAGCCATAATAAACTGGCTGCGGAAAGAGTTCCTGTAGTATGTAGGTACCGGCTTCAGTAGTATGACCTTTCCAGTAAGTGACAGTGTATTGTCAGCAGGGGGGACATTAAATGACTACACATTAGTTTGATTACCTTTCAAGCTCAACAGCTGGATAAATGTGAAAGGTTCTTTCAATAAGATAAGGAAGGGTCTTCAACAAGATAACGAAAGGTCAGCTGGTGAGAGGTGATCAATTAAATGTGATATGCATCTGCCCATACGATACACAGGAACATATTGAGTGCAGAAATGGTGTTGTGTAGTGAGCAGTTCCCTTTCTTCGTAAACAGTTTTGTTTAACTTAATTGCTACAGCTATCACAGTCATAACATTTGAACTAAATATCTGTACCTGGTTGAGTGGAATAGCAGAGTGGAATAGTACAAGCATCTATTATTATCTTAATAGAATTACTTGTTTAAATTTATTTCATCACTATTTTTACATTATGAGAAAAGAGCTTTACATAGCAAAAGCTCATTACAAAGTGAGTATAATCAGCTTGGAACATGTACAGCCTTATGCCTTGGCCAAACTCATTGTATCTTTTATAAACTAAGTACATGTAGTTATAAAGGGCAAGAAATAGGTAGCCATTCACTTTTATTCCATTGTAACATTTGCTTTTAGGGTCCTTTAATAGAAAGGTCATTGTAATATGTGTAAACATAACTGCCAATTAAAAAGAATACTTTGAATCGGCTTTTCAATCATACATAAACGATTTTTCCATCTAAAATTTGAAGCACTATTTAATTTCCCCCATGGTGTCTACTTGAACCAGCAACCCTTGCCAATCTCATAAAATCCTGCATGTACATTTATTTCATTGTCCTCTCCATATTCTGTATTAACAAAAATACAAGCAAGCTCTTATGTTTGGCATAGTATTTATCATATCAGACTTCCTAAACAACAAAGCTTACATGTAAGGAAAACATGTTCACATCTACTAAAGAAAGTACAGACCAGGGGGGTGTTTCACAAAACTTGTCATCAGTGACAAGTGACATTTTTTGTTATAAGCTACCGAAATCCTTGCTTCTGATTGGTTATCAGCAGATTTGTCACTGAGTTTTGTCCTTTGTCGTTGAAAAAAGGCTTTGTGAAACACCCCCTGGATGAAATGGATGAATAGAATTTACTCTCACAAAGCTTAGCATTCAAAGTGAAATTTAAGTGTCTGTTAAATGTTCCTTCCAAAATTAATAGTTGCAAAACTTGAAAATTTAGAAAGTGATGTCAAATAGTTCCACAACTGGCCAGAAGGGTCTGATTTTTTTTCTAATTTCAATTGATGCAAACGAATAGTGTATGATGTATGTACGAGAGAGAGAGAGAGAAAGAGAGAGAGAGAGAGAGAGAGAAAGAGAGAGAGAGAGAGAGAGAGAGAGAGAGAGAGAGAGAGAAAGAGAGAGGGGGAAACTGTCATGCGTATTGAGTGGCAGTCTCAAATGTTACCATCTGTTTCTAATTGGAGGTGGGGGCAAAAGAATAACTGGTGTAATCAATCATAACGATTGATCACTGGCCTACACAACAGAAATGCTATCCTTTCAAGTAAATCCAAAACATTTATTTGACCAAAACAATAAAAAATGAAATTTATTATGTACAGAAAGGGAAGTGGAATGCATTTACAGTTTTATCATGGATCTAACAAGTATAATTACAAGCTATACATGTATGAACCAGCCATTACAAGTTTGCTCTCAAGTGAAATACGAAGTGCAATCATATCCCATAATGTGCCCTCTTGACCAGCTGCAGACTAGTGAATATAAACATTGGACAACACTTTCTTGGTAGGCAGCCTGGACAATGGCTTTATATGGACAGTTGGTCTGGAAATGTGCAGGTCTGAAAATGTGAGGGGTCGAGTGACCAGTGGTGAAAATGAAAGTACATAACAGTGTGTATGGGTACATGTACAATTGAAGGCTGAGAGAGTGAAGTAAACCTGTGAACAATGCAGCTTGCTCTGTCACTTATTAACCACAGTTTGGTAAGGTAGGTTTTAATTAATCCAGCCAACCTTGTCGTGTCTGGTTTGTAACTGAGATCGGCATCGCCCATCTTCCATTGTAAGTGATCATGCCCTGCCGGCCCTGGGCATGCGTACATGTAAATACTGTTGTGCATTGCTGCCCCTTTACTACATGTAGGTGTGCAATCTTTAACACTTAACAACTGAACACTCAATGAGAGACCAACGAAATAGATCCAATCCTGATAAAGTGATACCATCCTAGTCTTTTGCAATACCTTCTTTCTTATTCCTGAATTCTTGGATAGATAATCCACATGAATGTACCACTTTAGAAAGCTGAAAATAAATTTACATGAATCCATCAAAGTACACAAACAAATGTGATATTAACTGAACTCATCTCTTAAAAGACATGTTAATTCTATAATTTTGGCACATATTTGCATCATATTTCTTTATTATATATATATTTTTTTTTGACAACGACATTAGTAACAGGACAGACTTTGGGCGCAAGCTTTTCTGACAGAATTATGAACATTCTAATGGAAGTTCATATGGAGTAAGTTTAAAAGAAACAATATGTAGCAATTTTGACAGCATGTATCTTTGAGGGATCAAATAAAAAAAAAATAAAAAAAATTGATACCTGTCTGTCTCTATTAAAGCGCATATAAAACTTTGATCAGCTATGACTCTGAATTCCCCATTGTAGACATGCCACATGCAGTGTACAAGTACATACAGCCTCATTATAGACTTTGTTTTTTCTTCTATGAAAAGATTTAGGGCCTGGTTTTGTAACTTATTGAGGTCCACAACGTGACAGAGAGTGAACTCTCCCTTTCAGCCCATCCCCTTGAACTTGTGGAATGCTATCCTGGAAAAATCAATGTGACGTCAAATTATCTGGCAGTCTCCCCCCTACAGGCCCCAGCCTTGTCGCCACGTCACATAGGAAACCCAGTCCATCCAGGCCTTTATGCATATACACCCCCAGGACGTCATACTCCGACTAGTCAGAAATCCTCATCGAGTTATGGGCTTGTTTACGGATTCTCCCCAGATACCGGTAGAGCAGATAATATGAACGTCCATGAAGACACATATATTGCTTTGCAGAAGAGGTAGCTGGGTGGGATGATTTTTTTAAAAGATGGGTTGACAAGTTGAGCGCGATAATCATTAATTCTCCCGGTAATAGCTGCAATGTCACTATATATCGCATTAGTGAGACATCTGATGACAGATTTGTTATGAAAAGTATGAACAATATTTTGATTGTTTATTAATTTCATGACAATACAAGGAAACACTACAATAAAGTGTTACTCTTTAGATGTCTGCCAAACTCGACTTCTGTCTATTCCAGTTTATATTAACATCACTGGATCATTTTATTTTCCTTTTTAAACCTCTAAATCTTAAGGGATTGAATTGGCTCTTAATTGTCTAATGTTATTAATATATTTCAATTTATGCATGTCTTTCTCCATTTTTATACATAGTTGCATCTCAATTAAATGGAAGCCAATTTGCATATAAGTTGCTATGTTTTACAAGCCTCTGGAAAGCTGTTTAGTCATCAAGACCAACTTCTGTACGAGAACTATGCATAAAGTTGATAAGCAGGTCTATTCACGATGGCCCTAAATTTAGAGGAATTCTACAATGATATTCCACAAAGATATATATATTGGACCTCTAATAATAATAATAATAATAATAATAATAGGCATTTCTATAGCGCCGTCTATCTAGAAATTCTATTCCGAGGCGCACTAATTATTACCCCGGCTTTAGCCTAGCTGCCATTACAGCTGCCTCTATAATCTCATCACCATGACTTGGTAAAGTGAAAGGGTGAATGGCACTTATAATCATAATCATAATTATTCATTAGTTCACAATTACTGATCTCCCATCTTCACACATATTTACAAATGAATCAATGATATATTTGATCATTGTGTAGTCAGTGTAGATGAGAGATTTCATTCATTGTATTAAAAAAAAGTGAAAACTAGAGATGAAATTCATGAAAATCTGGATTGATGGTCAATGCAAATCATATGTACAAGTAAATATATTCATCAGTCTAGTATGACATGAGCATATCCTAACTCATGATACAAGAAGCTATGATATCAAAGACAGCTGCATCTTTGGCTCGATCCTCAGATTGTATTTCTGGAGCACACCATAGCTGCATGATCACCCCCTCCCCCGTCTCTCTCTCTCTCTCTCTCTCCCTCCCTCTCCACACCCCCTCCTCTCCCCCTCCCCCCCCCCCCTCCTCTCCCCCTCCCCCCTCCTCTCCCCTCCCCATCTCTCTCTATGACTATCTCTGTATCTCTTTACCTACCCTCTATCATGTTTATCTTAGCATTATGAAATACTGTCTTCAACTCTATCTCACCTACATGAGATGTCTTATGACATTTACCTAGGAAGCTTTATGAAAGGTTAGAAGTCAGTCCAAACTGATTTATTATCTTTAACAGAAGAGAGGTAGACTTCTTTTACATTACATAATAAATAAACCCACAGCAAAGTTTATGGGCAGTACCAACTAAATTCATTCAAAACTCCGCAGTAGGCCGATGTTTTCACGCTACGATACTTTATTCAATCCAACCTAATAAGAAGTTCATTTGATTAGATGCTCTATTACATCTTGATGGTCTTGTTTTAACTTTATTATCTAGAATTTTGTCATCTGTGCATGTACAACAAAAAGTATTGCTCAAGCTAAATTGTTAAGATGTAGGTCTACTACATGTACCACCAATTCATCTGGTGATCAAATTGAAAGTAGCACTAGCCACACCTACACAGCTAGTGAAAGGCAATGTCCACCAAATCTACTCTCACATTTATGCAGAATTTAAGTAAACACAGGAAGTGAACCGTGCTGCTCAGTTTGTCCTGTACATCCCATTGCCATCAACAGGACGGTGATGAAAATGACCCGACATCCATGATTTGTTTTCAGAACTGATAGCCACACGTAGTGATATACATTGACAGGCTGTGTAAATATCATACCCAGCACCACATGGTCACGTGATAATCAGGGGGGTTCAATGAGAGGTTGGGGGCGGCGGGTGAGCAGAGCAGACCTTTCTGGTCTTGGCCAGATGAAACCGGTTCCCAGGGTCCTATCAATTGGTCTACCACTAGTACTAGACTGTTGAATGTTCAAAGATGGCAAGATGGACCTACATGTACTTGAAGACTTGTTCCTGCCCAGCACTTGCAAAGATATTGGTTCCAAAAGCCCCCCCCCCCTCCCCCCCCCCCCCCCAAAAAAAAAGGGAAATTCATAAATGCGCTTGCAACTGTGGTTTTCGAAATCATTTGGATGACACTGATACACATTCAGAACTCTTGCCATAGAAACGGTTTGTTCCGATGCAAAGTCACATTATTTGGACCGTCTTTAGTCCAGTAGTATGAAACATAATAGGCCGGTATAGCAGGGCTTGACAAAGCATGCACCTGGGACACAGAGGTACCCAAAATCTTTAACTTTAAGTCTAAGTCTGGACCCTATACACCTCAAGCTACTTCATAGTCATACAGCAATAAAAAGGAAAGGGCACATACCTTGGCAATGATTTCTTGGATGAGGAGGTAGACAAGATCATCTGATTTCAGCTGGTTGCATAAAAGAACTAAAACTGTTGATGGAAAAATGAAAGTTCAATTCAAATACATGTATGAAAATTATTCAACTTCTCAGATTAAAAAGAGAAATTTGAGAGGCACCTTTTTGAAATGTAAATATAAAATGACATTAAGCTTAATGCCTTAAAATCCAGCAGTCAAATTCTACTAAAATCAGCAGTCCAAATCCTGCTAAAATTATCTTTACAAGCAAAGGAATATGTTCAATGGAATCCTGTATTGCTTCCCCTTAACGTTATGGGAAATTTTTTCTCAAAAGCAGAGAATCCATTTCATCTTAGATCTAAATTATTTGTTGACTACTTAACAGCCTAATTCCTGTAAGTGAAAGACAATAACCAGTTCCCTTGCGAATGGAACAGTACTCACTTTCATTTGCCACAGTTGTTACATTGTCATCTGACAGCGCCAGCAGATCTAGTGATAATGTAAGAAAATACCAAACAATCAAACTTTGTAGAGGGGAGGCTTTTGTCTTATTGAGACGTTAGAAAGAATGGTCTCCAAAATCAAATATCAGAAAATGATCCTAAATTCGTTTTTAGGGAAGTTTATCAACATCTACATAGAGACATCTTTGCTGACAAACTCTAGATTTACTGAAACATGTCAGCTTCAAGCACGTAGCCAGGATTTTTTTTTTGGGGGGGGGGGGCAGTAGTGAGCACGCAAAGCATGCAAAGCGCACTCCCTAGGGGATGGGTGCAAGGAGGAGGAGGGCAAAGCGCGGAAAACTTTGACGTTTCGTTAAACTATTAGAGAAAGAAGACGATTCGTTGTACCGTTCTCGACTCTTAATCCTTGTCTAAATTCAGTTTCTTTTCACGTTTTATTAAATTATTAGAGAAAGAAGACGATTCATTGTACCATTCTCAACTCTTAATCCTTGTTTGAATCAAGTTCCCCTTTCTCCGCGCGTAGCGGGGAAGCTCTGACGTTTCATTAAATTATTGAAGAAAGAAGACAATTAATTGTAGTCTACTATTCTCGACTCTTAATCCTTGTCTGAATTCAGTATGACCAAATATTTGAAATTCAATAGATTGTTTGTCACTGATTTTTTTTTGGTATGAAATGTTTGTCACCTCAACTTGCCAGTCACCATAATGATGAAAAGTCTGTGGCCTGTAGATCTAGGCCTATGTGAAACTTTTAATTTTATTTCAAGTTTTTAATTGCTCCTTGATTTCTAGACTGTACTAGTAGTGTACTACTAGTACTACTACTAGACCAATTCTAAGTCTACTCTACTCTCTAGATCATTCAAGCACTTTATGCTGTGACACACATCCAAATCACCTGCCTGCAATTTTTTTCAAAAAAAAATCAAAGTTAGATATAAAACGAAGGGCAAGGCATGGGGCTTTGTTGGCAGTGCCTGAGCAACAAAACTAGGTAGGCCTATACTTTAGGTAGACTCTAGTCTAGCCTCCAGTCTAGGGTCCTAGGGGCGGGTGTCAAGAAGATTTTATTTTCAGAGAGAGGAACCTAACTGGATCGTGAGCCAATTTACTTCAAAGATCTTCATTTCCATTTCAGAAAGTAAATTATTTTCATACTGGAAAGGACGAACATTTAATTGTAATGTTAAAGTCTCAGATTTCAGTTTCACTCAAACAAATCAGTCACAGCACAAGTACAGCCACACAAGCACGGACACAGCCACAAGCAGGACACACGCCGTGCACATGCGCTGCATGCGGCCAGCTAATCGGGGGAATTTCACCAAGTCCCACTCCCAGTTAGATCAACCGGTTAGTGTGTAAAGGAAGAAAGAGAACAAAAATCATACTAAAAATGGTCCGAAGCAAGTGTTCCAGCACCTCCTCATCGTCAACCAGTAATTCCCAGATTTCATTTCGAGAGCTGCACGATAGCAAACCAAGCAATTCTCCGAGAAAATACTTTTTCTTGATAACGAGTTCCTCTCGATTGTCGAAATTCTCGGCGATGCACGCAATGCACAGAAGAGATTGCGGACGAATGCCGTGAACAGTCCAAGTGGAGTCGTGATTTTGGTGGTTTTCACCGAAAAGAGACAAGCTGTTCGCTTCTGCCATCACTCAGCGTGGTCCTTGATAATTACTCAGCAATTTACGATCAATTTGAGATCCATTACAACATCAATTTCAAGTTTTTCTTTCTATTTTGATGACTTTGACCTTCGGCTTCGCCCAATCCTACGACTTGAATTTTTCGGGAAAGTATCAATTACCGAAACAATCGATATCACCAATGTTATCGAATCAATTCCTAGATCTACAACATTTTATTTTTTTTTAAGTAATGATACTAATACTAATATTACATTTTATAATAATAGAATACTGAAAATAAAATCTCCAAAAGAGAAATTACATTATTCTAAGTCACCTTGAGCAGGAGCAAATTTTAAAATGTTCTTTTGCCCGAGACTGTGATGTTTGGTTATCTCTATGAGCTGCCACGAGTCCAAAACACGCCCACGCGTACACTTAATACTCCCATTAAAGTCAGTCGTCTGAATCTGATTGGTCGAAAGTTTTACGAGTCAAAGCTGATTGGCGGAATGCTAATTGGTTTTCACACAGGTGTCTGATACGAGTAGTGTAATGCGGCGAATGTAGACAAAGGCTAGTTTAACCCCATTAGATTTAATTAACAACAGAAATAAATTATTTAATGAGTTCAATTTAGGGATAATGAAATTATACACACGAAACGATAGATAAACACTATAAAACAGAAGGTAACAATAAAGAATAAAGTAACGGGCCTATACTTGATCTGATTGAGTTACCTAGCTCTAACATAATGTAGAATTCAGGATCTTAAAGCCTCTCTAAAGTGTTGGGAGCCCCAAAAGTTCACTTCAGTTGTACAATGAAATGAAAGAGGATGACATTTAACACTGAATTCTGCAAGGATTCTCAAAATAGATATTCTCAAAAGACGAATAATGCTGAAAGAATACCAAAAAAAAAATTGATTTTCTGTATACAACACAAAACCTAAATTCTTTATTCCTTCATCAATATTCGGCTTCAAAAACATTTATTTTGAAAACACACTAAAGGTTGGCCTATTTCTATCACATAGGGTCATTCAGCTCTTTTGCCGGGCGCATATCTCCCCAAATTTAATGCGAAACACGTCACAATACAAATCTTAACCAAACAAAACAGCGATTGGACGGGAGTGGCGAGCCCCTAACGCTTCTGAAGATGTCTCGGCTAATGCTTATCTTAAACATCTTGTTTGGGATGTCAGCGGATGTTCGTTTTGATTATCTTAGGGCCAGAGTTGTATATTTTTATTATCATTAAGAAGTCGATAAGTAAGGAACAAAAAGGTACACAATAATGTGCTCGCCTGTAGTAGAAGTAGTAGTAGTAGTAGTAGTAATAGTAGTAGAAGTAGTAGTAGTAGTAGTAGTAGTAGTAGTAGTAGTATTAGTATTAGTATTAGTAGTAGTAGTAGTAGTAGTATTAGTAGTAGTAGTAGTAGTAGTAGTAGTAGTAGTAGTAGTAGTAGTAGTATAGCATCAGCAGTAGTAGTAGTCGCTCTATGCAGAGCGAATTTATCTCATTTTCCACAGAATAAAAACAATGAAAAGATATTCACAATGATGAACGTGATGATATAACAGAAAATTAGCATTGAAATATCTTTGACATTGTTTATTGTTGTTCTATTCTTGTAATGCATGCGAGAGAATTTAAAGTAAAATTCACATTGAAATTTCGTTATTGATTCATCTTATTAATTTATTAATTCATCAATTACCTATGTATTTGTTTATTTATTTAGTTATTAATTGATTCATTAATTTCATTTATTGCTGTTGGCATATATTCTTTTTCGGAATTATGTCCTCTTCCACTTCCGGTGGCCAGAGAATCCATGATTCACCTCTGAGCAGTAAGCAGTTAAGCACATTCATCTTGTGTGTATATACTTTGGCTTTGAGCGATAAATCTGGTTAATAAATATTGTCACGCGATCCGTGTGTCAAGTTCTAGTCATAACATAAATGCAGTATGAGGAAAATACAACTGGAATGTATGAATCAATTTACAACAAAATATAACGTGATTGACTTTACTTTTTTCCCTTTTAAACAACAGTTCAGATGAACATATATCATCTTGTTCTATCAAGTCCTCATTTTAAACGAACTTGTTAAATATACCTGAACCACGGCCACGGTCCCATTCCGGACTCAGTACAGCTCATAATCCCCAGTTAGCACCCCTGTGAAAATTCTTCAAACGTAGCCTTCAGATGTAGGTGACTCGATGCTGTTGAAATGTCCACCCTGCATTTATACTATCTAAAACAATTATACTGTCCACGCTATTTCCCGGATTAACAAAAGAAATTCTCCACTCCGGAAACCAATTTCCCCCTCATATCTGTTGCCCTACAAAAAGAATTCCTAATAATAATGTTAGTAAACCGGTCTTTTGCATCCAGACAGTTGATGTCACAGAGTATTCACGTGACCAGAACTCAATTTTATCTTTAAATATGGAATTTAAGTAACAATTAGAAGAAGAAAAGAAAAACTAATCTACGCCCCCCCCCCCCCCACCTCCCTCATCACTCACAGGCCTACACAACTTTAAAATGAAGCTAAAATAACTTTAAAAATAAACTGAATATGATATCTTCATTCATTTGGGACAATCCTAATGGATAATGACAGATGCCTTGGTTTGGCCGCTTGGGGGTCAACGGGGCCAGAATGAGTGCATAATAACCCCTTTTATGACCTTCACGGGCGTGCTTGGCGCGTGCCATTAAACTGGATATTGGGGTGATTGGCTGGAGTTTTATACCCCAGGACATTAGCCTTACGGGTGAGATATTGTTTCAATCTCCTTCTCAATTCCATTTAGGGTATAGGTATTTTCCTTCTCAATAAACCTGTTTACTTATTCTGAACAATAGGAAGATACTTCGAAGGAATTGCCAAATTTCGGTTCCCCCCCCCCCTAAAAAAAAAAAATTTAAATGAAGAAAATAATGGGTATGTATCCAAACTTCAGCCAAATCTAAGAGTGTATATAACATAAGATAGTTTGTTGAAGTCTAATCAACTTTTTTAAAATCTTCTACATGTAAACAAAAGAAATGAAACATAACCAGCGAGCACACAGGCTAATTGTCATCATTTTGGGCCTGTTTTTAATGGAGGTCGAGCTGCCATCACTCTCTGTTTCATTCTTTTGATAAAAAATAAGGGTATAAACTTACAGGCCTACGACGTCTGCGACTCTCTCCATCTTTATTAGGATATCTGGCACTGCATGTACCTTTCCTGTGGATAATTGCCAACACAATTATAACCACTAAAAGTTCGAATACGATAGGGTTCGAGTGACATCATGGAACATTAATAGGAAGTCACTCTCTGCAGGAGGGATAAAGTTGTTTCGTCGAGGCGAGGAGATTTGGTATTGATGTAATTGGTTCTTAGAATACCCTGTAGCCAAACCCAAATGTAAAAAGCCGAAAGTATTAGTATGACAGTATACAAACTACAATTTTTAAAAGATAATTCGTATTTCGAGCTTATTTCGAAGAGATTGTAATTTGATTGTATACAAGTTATTGCATTTAGACGTACCAGCGTGAAGATACTCAATATATTTGGCTATCATGTTTGAATATCGCTTTTATGTTTTAGACCTATTTGTTTATTTATTTACTTTAATTTTATTTATCTATCTATCTATCCATCTATTCATTTATTCTTTTATTTATTAATTAATTAATTAATCTATTCATTCATTCATTAATATTTTCGTCCTTGTTTTCACGAAGTGACGGTAGTGAGGAAAATCGTCACGCAAAGTGAATGCAATTTTTTTTCACTACCGTCACTTCGTGAAAACAGCGACGTTTGATCGTAACCATACATTACGTTGGATTTCAAATACGAATTAAAGTACAAAGAGATAGATACATATGACATGAAACGGAACTCATATCCTATCTGCAATGAAATTCTAGTGGTACTATGGCGTAAGAATAATAGCTACACTCACAGATTGATAATTCTTTTTGAATATTTTTTTTTATAGTGGAGCAGTGACTTCAAATCTTGACCTTCTTTCCCGCCCAAGAAGTTCTAGTTTTCAAACAAGTGACATTTTTTTTTTTGGGGGGGGGGGGGCAGGGACCTTTGCTTGTCATGCTGGAAATACAGTTTGTTTCAAATCCACATCATCGCATACTTGTATACTGCAAATATCGTGAAAGTTGACTTGCTAAAAACGTGATTAAAATGTACTGAAAATAGGGGCGTTAATTCGGGGGGGGGGGGGAGGAGGGATAGTTATCAACCCTCAATCATTTCTAATCAATTGTGTACATGCAAGTTGCACTAACTAATTAGGCTTTCAGACTTTTGTCATTACATTGAGAAATATCAGAATAACACTAAAAGTATAAACTATTCAAACAAAATGATAATTTGTATTAGTCTGGCTCTTATTCTGTCAATTTACATTGGAACATGTAAACAAAAACAAAAAACTAGATAAATACATGCAAACATGAAAACAATTATTTTGTGATAGGTTTGGAAATTTCTCTTGGTAAATTATATGAACATTAATCAATTCTCAAGAGTACATTTATTCAATATTATTTAATTTTTACTCCATACTGTTCAATCAAAGGTTGGGTGCTTAAGTTGCTGTTGTACCCTTAAACAAAACTTGCATGATCACAGCGAAAACATTCTGTCCATAAAGTTAACAACTACCCGATGTAATATTTTGTTCATGCTAGTTATAAACAATACATACATAAAGTACTGCTTTTATCTCCAAAAAATCGTCATCTCAACTCTAGAAGCATTGCATCAATTTGCCATTAAGATATCAAATTCCTAAATTATTTTCTTAGTATATACTTGAAGCTTTGATATCCAAGATCATAGCACTTGGACGTGAAACCTCGAAATACCATGAATTCCATCTCCTCAATCAGATCTGGTTACCAAGGAAACCACAGGCATCTCTCGAACGTCTGCATCAAGACTTAAAACTAGGGGAGCGAGAGAGAAAGAGAGAGAGAGAGAGAGAGAGAGGGGGGAGGGGGAGAGGGAAAAAAAGAGAGAGAAATAGAGAGAGAGAGAGAGAGAGAGAAGATAGAGAGAAAGAGAGAAAGAGAGAGAGAGAGTCGTGTCAGGGCTTTCAGGATGTGTGATGGACTGGGAGATTATTTTGACTGAAAGGTCTCAGTGTGAAACAAGGGGTGTCAAGGGGGTTAGCCCCTCATGATACAACTATAAATATACCACCTCATAAAGCCCGATTATGAGATGGGGGTTGCTCAAATATTGATAATTTTCGATTACAAAAATTGATATTATATCAATTTTGTTGTTGAGAGGGGGGTGGAGCTGCACCCGGGGTTATTGTATTAATGGCTTCAAATCTTTGCATATACATGTATTTCTAATTTTGCATTAAAAAACACATCCACGATTCACTCTTAACGTCTTAATGTACATGTGGTGAAGGCGGGGGGGGGGGGGTTTCATGACAAAATATTATAGGTGTAAAGAACACTGTACAATTCGATTTCGAAATGGAAAGGATGTAAGGAAGGTAATTATTTAGTGACGGTATGAGAGAAAGAGAGACCGAGTGACAGAGTGAGATAGAGATAGAAAGGAAAATAGAGAGAAAGGGTGAGAGATCGTTAGAGAGAAGGTGTTAAAGATATATATATATATATATATATATATATATATATATATATATATATATATATATATATATATGTGGTCAGAGAGCAAGAGAGAGAGAGATTAGAGAGGGGGTCAGAAAAAATAAAATGTAAACAAGAGAGAGAGAATGAGAGTGGGAAAATAGCGGTGAGGTGGAAGGGAAAAAATGAATAGAGAGGAAATTAAGGAGCCTGAATAAGGTAATGAGATATAGACCTAGAGGAAGAAAAAGAGAGAAAGAGAGAAATAGAGAAAGAGAGAGAGAGAGAGAGAGAGAGAGAGAGAGAGAGAGAGAGAGAAAGAAAGAGAACTTGTATTCCCTTTAAACCCAGGTCCCTTTCAACTTTCACTCATGCTCATCGGTCGTTCGATAATTAATGGTGAGCTGAAACAAAAACAAAAAAGTGTTCTCCCCTCTTACAGTTCAGCTCATGTTCTGAGTGAACATTTCTCTTTCAAAATACATTGAACTACATTTATGCGACTTCGATGGTAAAAAATGACAGGATTTGTAATTATTCATAACATACTTATAAAGTATGACTCCCTGATGACATATCATAATTGGGAAATAATAGACTAGATTTTATGGATTCAAATACCAATTTCGTTTCTTATGTACTTTTTTGTTTTCTGACTGCGTTTTGTGTACGTATTTTTTAGTGGAGAATGTGCGAATTTACCTAAATTATCCTGGTTTGAGAAGATATGTCGCCCTGGATGTTTCTTTTTTAGTAGTGATCTTGTCGATATCCTTTTAAAATTATTCTTGTCACTACCAGAAATAAAGACAACCTTTAAAAATTTGATGAAATTAAATGTGCATGTAAGAATCAACCAAATGCAACCCCCCCCCCTTCACGAATCAAATGAAAGCGAAAAAGTCTACAACAATTGCTTAGGAGTGTATCGCAAATTCAAGCATAACGCTTATCATAACGTTGGTTATTTTCAAAGGTGTTTTTGGCGGCAATAGGATGTGCACAAAGGGGCTAAAGTTTTTCTTGCCCCTGAAACAATAAAAATGGAAAATCACCGGCGTATACATGGATGGGCCTTTTCCATTTATGGGGGGTTGAACTCGAGTCGGGCAGTTATCTTACCACGCAGCCTCTATCACACCAACCGATAAGCCCTGTGCTTTCTCTCTCTCTCTCTCTCTCTCTCTCTCTCTCTCTCTCTCTTTCCCTTTCTCTATCTCTCTCTCTCCTGGTCGGGAGAATTTCACATACCGCTGCGAACGGTCGCTCTCTATCTACGGCACGCCATTGACTATATTTGGAATGTACACTCGCCGTGTAATTAGTCTCTCCATCTGAGCTTAACCCCTACGCTGCGGTGGCTTGCTTTTTACCACACAGCCGGGGTATATCACTAATATATACCACACACTATCCAGCACAACAGTTTATCATTTTAAAAGCGTTCATATATTTTCATTTTTATTTTAAACATAATATAATACCGTTTTCGTTTTTATGTACGGTTTGGTGAAGGCTGGTGGGTTACCCTGACACACAGTCTGACTGTGAATATAAAAAATGGGGAGGCAAACTGAGGGCCAATGGTACCCATCAATATTAGTCTAACACGAGATGCAGAGCAGAAAATCTGGCATGAAGAATATATATACTCTCCATGAAGTTAGGCATACACTGCAACTTTCCGTACCCGAACGAGATTGAAAAATTCTCTCCTACCAAATTCCTTGCATACCAATCGCATACCCGTTGTCGGAGTCCTTGACGTCACATGCTTACCGGCCGCATCGTTTTATGCAAAGCGTATGCTAATTTTCTGATCATCTTTTGACGTCATTGGTCGAAAGTAACGAGGCAGGGTGTACCCGCAGCGCTGACCAATCAGCGCCAAGCCGGGTCGTAGTCCGAGGTACTTGAATGGGTGTTAGTGAGCCCGAGTTGTTCATGTCACAGATTGTTCTAGCTTGCAATCTGGTAGGACTGTCTCCAGTCTTCCTCCGACTTCTCTTCCTCAGGTAAGTCTTATTCTAAACCTCCCGAGTCTATTCCTTCTCCTTTACTTTTTTCTTCCTGAAGTGATTCTTCGTCGCTGCATTCCTATATCATTAGGCGCATACGGGATCCAACAAGACGGCTTTTGTTCTCGCCCAGCCAATATCGTCAAATAGTCTGTCAATCGCATCTTCGTCGATTTATGAGCCGATAATTTGTTTTACGGATTTGTCCAGATTTGTGTTATTTGCGAGGATAACTCGGTTTGTTCTTTGGATCACTGTGTCAACCCGTGCGTGATTAGGACTGGTCAACGGGCAAAAAGAGAAGAAGAGAAGATTACCAAAGTTGAATTGGTTGGGTTCGTGATCATTCTCACATTTTGTTACTTTTGATCGAAGCGCCGGAGAGCCAACATCGAATTGTATCTAGCTGAGTAGGCCTTTGCAGATTACGGAACCCGGGGATATTTACTGAGTTTGTAAGGATCATTACTGTGTTGCTGTTTCTGGTGTTAGCGCTGCACATTCGTTGAGTCTTTAAAATGTTTCATTTGTCTGAAATATATACTATACTACGTGAATATCATGCTACGTAAATTGTATTTTCATGTCAAGAGTAAAAGTTATATAGTTATGTAGAGCATAACATTGTGGTAGAATTATAATTGGATAAGATTAGTATTGCGAATTGTGAGTTATTGTCGCTGCATTGCTGCATGTGAAATACTTCTTTTACAAAAATAATTCATAAACCAAGCTGTAGAATTGTAAAGATGAAATACACTTTAAATATAATAATCACACATCAAATTTTGGATGAATATTACTTGTTATTTAATGAGTAAGCTTTGTATAACTTCATACAAATGTGTACAGCTATGGAGTCTAGTAAAGAAATTATGCGTAATCTTTTGTCTAAACGCTTAGGCCTATATATGATTTCAAATTGGTATTTCATAATATTCAGCGAAAATTAATGGCTCAATTTCAAGTAAAAAATGACGGACAACTATACTATTAGTTTTTATCCAGCCATTCGTTTGCACCAGCCTTCACGCTGTGTATTAACATAGTGCCCCTCTACCAGACAACCTCCCACTAGGCCCCAATACACAGTCACCATATTTGGGCCGCGGGTGCCGAGCCGATAGTACACGGATGTCGCCATATCACACTGGTATAACATGTATGGTTGTATGGCAGGCTAGGCAGATCCGCCATTTTAAAAGGCGCCATTTTGAAACAATACCTTTTCTTTTCTCACTCTCTCTTTTTGTAAATTCGTTTGTTTGTTTGTTAAATTCATGGGAATATCATAATACTATAGACAAGGAAGTACTCACAGTCACTTGAGTTGTTATTTTACCTTTGTTTAAAAGTTATGCATTCTACCGTCCATTCTGTTAGACATTTATTTTAATAACTGCTATTTCTATTTCATATTATACATGGATTGTCTTTTGGCCTTTGCTTATACAGTATTTACATATTGCAAATATTCTTCAATTAGAAATGTCTTGCGAAATGTCTCGAAACCTAATATTGTTGTCAGTGAACATGTTTCTGAAATTTACTCTAGATTTATTACTTTATAGAAAACTAATTCATCATCGAATTGAATATTGGCGAAATCCATTTGAAAAACGAGGTATCTTTCATTCAGTCATAATTATTTGTTATATTTAAGGCTTACCACATCTTGAACATAACGAAGAATATGCCTATAGAATCAAAGGGCTTTTCTTTATTTGATCAAACTAGTATCCAAGCAATCGTTTGAATTTTATATTGAGCTTTTGATAGCACTATTAGTGCTCAAATTAATCGTAATAAATGTACGCTATATATCCTGTTAACTCAAAGAGCTTTTCTTTTAACGAAGTGTCATTTGTCTTTTGTATGACCCTTTCATCCTATCATAAAAACTCTTTTTTTTTTAAAGTCTCTATTTGCTAACCTTGTCAGATATTTTTATCCTAGTACATGCATATCTATACAAATAATGTACATGCCTACTCTCTAAGAGATATCAGTCTTAATACATATTTCAAGTTTACGATTTCAGCATCTTACAATTGATGTTCTTTGCATACAATTCTTGGTTATCGCGGATGACAATATTGTAATGTTTAACATTGACAATTTTGTTTGGTCCTACACAAATGACATGTAACACAAATCCGAGTCCAGATGACTGTTTTAACCATTGCCCTTAACTGCGATGGATAGATAGCATGTTGTTGCCGCTCTGAGAAAAGTGTTTTGCAAATTATTCTTTGATTTAGCGTTTATTGCAAAACATGGCGAAAACAGATATATTTTACTTCTTAAAATGGGCCCCGGTTTTACACTGTAGTGTTATAACCAGCTGAATACACCTCCATTTTGTTGGCTTAAAAAAAGAAAGAAAATACATAATATATAGTAGTGGGTCTACAAGGGGCCTCCAGGTTCCCTCCAGAATTGTCCCTGCCCTTGTGCAAGCGCGTCTACATCATCTGCCAATCACCTTCTTTTCATATACCCGCCTTCATTAAAACACCAACAAGGGATTTTGTTACCAAAAATGTCTATATGATGATAAAAAGCAATTATATTTTTTGTATTTGCAATCCGTATAGGTATTTCATATTTTTCCCTGTCGTACACTTCCTGTTCAAAATCTTGAAAAATCTCTTGTTTTATTTTCGCTTCGTAAGATCTGTTGGGTGCTGAATTCACATTTCTTATTCAAAATCTTAATGCAATCTATTTTATTTTCTCTTTGCATGGTCGGTTAGCTGCAGACTTCACACTTTCTAATGTTGTTTCATATATCTTGTGGACCCCATCGAAGAACAGTAGTATTTTGTTAGTACCACTATAATAGGCTATCCATCATAATTATTTACAATTATCTATGATTTACCTTGCATTTTGACTTGTTGACATTTCTACAGATTTTACTTTAAAAGTAAACTATCTCTTTTTGGGACCGTTGACTTCACACTTTCTCCGGATCGTACATTTGTTATTCCCTATCTTCTAGAGCCCATTCAAAAATTGGAATTGTGCTACCAAAAATGTTTGTCCGCCATATTTACAAATATGTACGATTCACCTTGCATTCTCATTTTGTTGATAGTGGTCTTAGAAGAAGAAAAAAATCTAAAACAAATAAACAAACTTTACTTTACTTTACATCTTCAGCCATTATCGATCCACTGCAGGATGACGGCCTCAGCATGCTGTCTCCAAATGACTCTGTTTAGTGCTTGTTGGTGCCAATTAACCTTTCCCCAGTACTGTTGCAGCTCATCTCTCCATCTTTTTATTTGACGTCCCCTGTTTGGTTTTCAGAACTCACAAAACTAATCTCGTGTTAATTTTTGTTCTCTCGATAGGCACTTTGAGCGCCAGACTTCACTCTTTCTCCGGATCGCACCAACGGCGGCACCATGGCTGACGAATCGGATCAATATTTGCAGGTGGGCAAGAAGGCCCAGCTCGAGTCTCAGGCTCAGAGCTTCGACGGTAAGAAGATGTGCTGGATCAATGACGACAAACAAGGATACATAAAGTGCGAGATCCTCAGCACGAAGGGCGAGGAGTGCACCGTCAAAACAGCCACGGGAAAGGTAATTCTGAACATCAACAACGGGAACTTTCCGTTTAGCGTATATACTATGTACCTTTTGCAGCCAACAGCAAATTCTGTAAACCTTTGCAGGAATAATGAATATGTCATATATGTCCTATCTGCGAGATTTAAACGTGAGCAGTGTCCTAATATCCAAATTATGCAAAGAAACCTGTTTACTTGCTAGAATTGGACAGAGTACTTTTAATATATGAAATATTGTTAGAACACGATGGTGCCATAGACTTTCGAGAAACTAATTATAGCAACAGAAGACAATTACAGTAGACCACGTCGCCTATTCAAATGCACGAATATTATTACAATGACATTTACCATAATTTGAACCCGATTTCTATGGGGTAAACAATAGGGTATTCGAATTCACTAGAGTTGATTTCTCGAAAATCTTTGTGATCGTGTTTGCGTACTTCAAGAGTGCTTAGGCTTAACAAAAAACAAATATAGCTGGCCTTGGCTTTTTTGACAGGAGTAAGTTGAGCATTTCAAGAAATGATTTATACCAGTATTCAATTTACTACATGCAGGTCGATTTATTGATAGTAGTGAAATCATGAAATCCTAATTCTAAGAGCATACAAAAGATGCAAGGATTTGACACTCTAGGCTATACGCATATGAACCTTATACTATAAATAAATGAAATTATTTCAAACCTGCATTAGTGATATCTTCATACGTGTATTGCATAGCGTTAGTTGTCATAATTATTACACAAGCGTTAGGTTGTCGAGAGACCTTCTTACGAAAAGCATTATCAGGACAAGAGTATAATGTATATACAGTTCAGCTACAAATACGTCCTATTTTCGATATATTTTGAGAAACCTGCAATAAACATGAATATTTAAGACATCCTATACTAGCTAGGCCTAATATACTGTTGCCTTAACTAGAAGTACTATATTTTGTTATACATCTGTCATGTCTAATTTTCTCCAATTTTTTATGTAACATTATAAGCTCTTGACGACTGCATAGAATTCTTTTAAAGCTGTTACCAAACTTCTTTGATTAATACACTACTGTGATCGGGGATTCCTTGATAACTGGAATTTTTCATTAATCATTTATATTCATTCCATCGAAACTTTAGAAATGATTCTGTAATTTCGCAGTGACTAAGCATATCTTTTAATGCTATTTCCTTTACTGTAGAGTTTACTGTGTCATAAATAGCTGTGGACTATTATATACCGTGAATTTGGAAATGTCAGTGCATAACGACCCGGCTCCAGATTTTGTTTTGTTTTGGGTCTTAATACTGTTAGTATACACACATTAGATAATGAGACTTAAGAGGGTGTTGCGAAGTACGTTATTACGTAATCGAAACTAAGGTGTGCCGCTTGGGTGCGACACGAACCCAAATTATTCACTGAAGTAGCTTCGAGATGTTGAATGATTAAAATACATGGTTAAGACATACTATCAAAGATTAGAATAAGTTATCACGATTCTTGATCACGATGGAATAATTCTTTGTTGAGTTATAAACTTCGTCTTATATTTGCTTGAATGTCATCGCTCTTGTAATTTTTCTTAAAGCGGCCCTTATGTACAAATCATTAAGATTGGGCCATAGGTATTCTTAATTCTATATTCCCTATATATCTTTCATTTTCATTTGTAAAATACATTCTACTCATATATGAGTACGTGGTAGAAAGAAATTCCTAGAAAACTCTAACGCTATGTCATGATGATGTAGCTTCTGAAGAATATACTTATTAGGCCAATTATCATTCAGAGGAGGAAAACCTTCAAAATGACATTCATTCCTTCTATATTTTTTTCCTCCATACTATACAAACTTTGCTAATTATAATGCTCGGAATAAAGTAGATGTGTTTTAGTATCATAATTATACCGCAAGTAAATATTTAAAGTGAAAGTCTGCTGTTAATATGCCTCACCAATAATAAAAATGTATAGAATATTCAAACTTTACTGTATAATACAGGAAGAAGGCGTAGAGTCCCATGCCGTCTCTAAAGCGCTTTAGAGAAGTTATCGTTACTCCGGGAGTAACTCACGCACACAGTGTGCACCATTTCCACTCCATGGGGAGTATTCCTACCCTAGGGTCACCGTTATGGTTATTTAGCATTCCAGTTTTTAGAGTGAAGTTATGAAACAGCAAAATTAAACACATTTTTGTTTTGAACTCTGACCCTTACAGCAAGTTACCGTCAAGAAGGATGACACCCAGCAAATGAACCCACCTAAGTTCGAAAAGATCGAAGACATGGCTGGTATGACCTACCTCAACGAAGCCAGTGTATTGGAGAACCTCAGGCAGAGATACTACTCTGGTCTCATCTACGTAAGTTATTGACCTCTTAAACTTTGACCCCTGCCTACATCAATACCGCCATTACAAACTCATTTGGTACAAATTATGTTCTATTGTCTCATCCATGTACGTTGTTGACCCCTCACCTTTGACAAGCGCCTGCATGAATACCCTAATCCCAAAATGCATTCTTCTTCTGCAATACGTGTACAAAATATGGTCAAATTATTGGTCTCATCTGCATAAGTCATTGGACCCCTGAATACCTTCATCACAAATACATTCTTCTTCTTTAAATTTGAGTACAATATGTTTTTTGTAATTTGTCTCATCTAAGTAAGTTATTGACCTCTCACATTCGACCCCTGTCTTCACGTTTACCCCCATTGTACATGTATTCTGTTACACCTATCGGAGTATAAAATGGTTTCTTCACCAAAACTGTTGTTGATTTCTGGTAAAATTATAGTATTTGGGGATAACCATGAACATTTAGCTTGTTCTGAATTGTTTGTCAGACGGTACATGGTTACTGTACTATTAGAACACGAAAAAACTAATGAAAACATGCTATAAATCAAATTGACAGGACACCACATCTCATACGAGATGTTTTGAGTCGGGACTATTTCCCCCTTTCTCATTATTCTGCTATATTATGATATTTTCTATCCAAAATCGAATGGCAGTTGTAATCCATCGGTTGTCTTAAATATATATAAAATAATAAATATATTTCAGCGTGTTTCTCGTTTGCCAGAGTTCATTATTACATTTTATGCCCACCGATTTTGAACATTTAGCTAATATACCTAATACTTTTAAAACTAAAGCTTCATGGGTTCGTTACTCCATTAATGAAAACATAAAAAACAATAAAGAACAACGTATTCAGTGCGAGCGCTTTTACCAAACGGCTGTCAATAGTCAGCAGTTGATCTACTAAACAGATTAACAGATGACAATCTTTTAATTAACCGGCACAGATAACCCGGGAGCGAATGACCTACATATAGGTGTTATTCATGTAATCCTGTGAGCAAATATAGGTGTATATCGAAAGGACAGGTCGCCAATGATTTATCTTTTAATGTTGGAAATTAAATGGTGACACAGAAAAATCAAAAGAAGTAGAAATACACTGTATATAAAATATATATGACGAGAAGAAATATAACTAACTAGCCCATCTCTGTCTTCAAACTTTCAAATATAATCATACAACAACAAACAAGAGGACAACAGGCGTAAAATCTGCTAATGTTTCCATTATATCTTTGTATAACTATTCATTTTTTGGCGCTTCTCTCCGAAGTATTACAAATACATTGACATGTAGAAATGATAAGTATGATATCTTCTCTAGCCTACGGGCATATATAGACAATATGAACCGCAGTGAGGTGAGCGAGAGGGTTAACTAACTATACATGAGCGGTATGTGGGAGGGCCTTGGTCCGGTCAACATTCCTGGCGCATAATTCCGACCGGTTCTAATATCAAGACCAGAAATAGAAACCTTGAACATGGGAGCAGATGTCTGATGCGATCATCGAATTACGGGGAATGGGAACAGCCCACACCCGTGAGCGTGTAATGGGACATTGCACCTTTCACAAAGGCAGTATATATGAATTTCCGCGATCCTTTGTGAGTTGTGTACACATGGTATCCAGACACTCATGAAACACAGCATTACATTCCTTTAACACTCCTTTAAATTCAATCTCGTTCCGCCGAAAAAAATGTCCTAAAATATCTTGTGTTCTTAAAGGAGAAGAATATATCAGCCAACATATGTAAGTAAAATACACGTACATGTTATATGTGAAATTATCATCAGTTTTACCAACATCTTACGCTTTACAAACATCAGAATTGTTCAATGTAACGAAAATCTACATTTCTAAATGTCTACTAACGAAACACAGCCTTATAATACAAAATATGTTATACAGCTCCCTGTAAATTCAACAAATCTAAACAATTCAGACTATGTCATGTATAAAAAGAAAAAGAAGACAATTATTACAAATTCTTTATCGCACAAGGTACAATTCATGATGACAGAAGATTGAATCAAATCAAATGATCTACATCAATTACCATAATCAAATCAAGGAACTTTTGGCCCCTCAATAATGTATGCACACATGCACTCATTAAACAAAATAAGTACAGACGGGAGGTACGTGCACCAATGATGCAAAATTGTTCCATCTGATGGATACTCCTCATTCAAATGATGAGAATGACATATGCTCTGCACGTCTTACGTGATGGATGTAGGCCCGACAACTTTTTAATCTGTCCGACCTCGGCCTCACTTGATGTAAGATGTTGTGTTTTGTATGTTTATACTATAAATGGAAATTAAAGTTCTTGGTTACTTGAAGGTATTAGAGGAACATATACATTTTAAATCTATAGGCTCACTTTGATATTTTTCTTTGTTCGCAATGTGGATAATAATAATAATAATGATAATAACAATATTCATAAAGCGGAACATATCCATCTCTAGAGATGCTCAAGGCGCATACAAATAACTTAAATTTGTATCAGGAATTCAACATACTTATTAAATGTTAACTTACATGTCAGTTCATCATGGCATATTATATAGATCACACAACTCCATGATGCCATGGTACATACAATGTGGCACAGGGTGATTATTTGTTTGGCATGCATTGTATAAAGAAAACATTGACATTTAACAATATTTTAAAAAAATCTCTTCAATGGTTTACCTTTCCCTTTTTTTTTAAAAATCATTGTCATTAACTACGTTTAATGAATATTTCATTATGTTTGTAATTGATAAAAAATGACACAGCTAAGGACGCCAAATGGAAAATATGATTGTTTGATACATTGAGTATAAACATTTTCACTTTGGCTTTATCAGCGAGGGTCTCTCAAATCAGAATAAATATCGTTGCCTGTCTAAACATAATGAAAATGCGTTTCATTCATAAACAGTTGGGTTGTATAATCATGATATTTAAACTTATGTCCTTGAAAATGACAATTGAAAATGTGTACAAAATTGATCTGGATGTCAAATATCAACTAAACACCCCACACTCAGATCATTATGATACTGCGTTTACATACATCCTCTTCTATCTTATTTGCCAGTCTGCTACATCTTTGATCTTACAAGAAAACTGTTGTTCTCGAGCAAAAGGTTACAAGAACCAATGTGTACCCTAACACTGTTAATTCGCTTTTAGCTCAGACACGCTATTTCAACAAGCCAAACCGCGGCCTATTTATACAGACGTTAACGGATGAGTGTTAACATAAACAGCTCGTGTTAGGTATACAAGGCATCAAGAGAATTAACCCATATAAACTAGGGATGTGAGACATTTCAAAATGTACTGAAAAAACAGATAAATCGTGTCTTTAACTTTAAATGTAGAAACAGAGGTGCGGAAATGTGTATGTAATCTCCTTACATAACCGAAGCTGATAATTAAAAATATGTCTATATCAATAAGCGACTTAGGTGATAAGTACAAATAATCTTTCAGGAAATTTGAGGAGAGAAACAAATGATTCTCCATTATTACCATAGTTATTTTATGAATAGTTATGTTATGTTTAAATGATACATATAAATAGAAGCTTGGCTCCTTTCAGTTAATTACTAGCACTATATGAAACAAATATAAATTGCGGTTTTACAGACATCGAATGAAATTCATATGAAATAGGAAAAATATCATAATTAAAGCTAACTTTTGAGTTATCTTAGTAATGGTTACGCCTTATTGCAGAATTTTTGTTTTAAATTACAATGAAAGATATTCTTTCAAACCGACATTATTGGAATGTTTGCATTTATCAGTGGTTATCACACATTGGCTAAGCGTTATTTGCAAAACAACTTGATTGAAACTTCAAATACAACAGGGCTTATTCTGGTGCATGTTACATTGATCTTTCTATCAAATATCAACGGGGGGGGGGGGGGGGGGGTCTTGGTTAAAGACAAGTGACTCGGTTGATTAATTATTTCATCAGTCGACCAATTAATGAATTAATTAATTGAATAAATGGATCGATACCGAGCCACTTCATATAAATCCTACTTGCAAAACTTCAAGTGAACTTTAAATACAAATATAGCATCTTTTAAGCACCAAAATTTGAGAGGTAAATCGTACTTGCTTTGTATTAGACAATACTTCTCAATATATTTCACTCTGTTTTCTCAACATTCTACTCAAGAGGGGTGCTCCAAAACAAAATGATTGATGTACAAACATCAATGATTGTTCTTGTTAGCATGTATACATGTATTACGGATTAACAGTCTAGGTTAACATTTTTAACGCTTGATGAGCGTATGCTCAGTAAATTTGCAAATTTGAGCTAATCCCGGCCAATAAAATAGTTTTCATTGACCGTTATGCAACACCCATAGCGCGCTAAGAAAATTATTAAATAGCTTTATGTGTATTTCCGTATTTGTTTCATGAATGTACATGTTCATTTTTCATGTTATCTAATATAATGTGTCGAACATCCTTGGAAAGGCGGCTGCATAATGAGATTACACATAGTGGGGTTATCAATGGTCATTAAGAAGAATTAACCCGCCGAAATGAGATAATTTTGAGATAATACTGAGTAAAACAGGTGCACTTGTATTGTATTACAGTACATGTGGCTTGGGGAATCAACATGTTCATTAAAATGGATAAAAAGTATTGTCACACAAAATAGTGATGCTTGCCTTTATGAGATACCAAAAAGGAAAAGCTAGTAATTTATATATTCTTCGATCTTACACGAGATAAATCAGGTAAATAGCTGTGGATAAATTATCAAGTTTCGATTTAAATTACCAATGGATATTTGAATAATCGAAGACATTTTTCTATTATCCTAATTCATATGCAATTTCATCAAATGAAACAAATAATTTTTTGTATCACATCGACACTATTACGTTGCAAAGACATGTGCAATAAATTCACTCAATCAATGATATAATCAGTTTTAATTTAACTACAAGTGAGCTTTATCAGATCATTAAAAAATAGTACATTGTGCAGGTATTTATAAAAACAATGTGTATAAAATGAACGCTAAATATGTATATATCCGTAATATTTTTGATCAATTTAGGTTTGTTCATTCACGTTCTCATGAAAAGTACGACCCTTCGATAAATGCACGGATGTAAGCGACACTCACGATAAATGCATACCAATTTCGTTGTCCCAAAGCAAGTGCATATTTTCGAGATACAGTTACTACGCTTCTAACGAGTCAATGCATTTTTATATACTGCCCAATAGCATCGCAATGGACCACATACCGTTCTGCGTTTAGCCATATTACTCAGTCTAATGCTATTCATCACCTAATAATAGACCGAAACGTCTAAACTTAAATGTTGGTCGCGTCACCTCTTAAAAGTATTACCATGTTACCTGACCTCTTACAGGCACAAACGAAAGTTGTTGCTTTATAATTGGGTGAGATATTACATGCAACGTGTAATAATAGCACTATACTCACTTTAATGTTAATCGAGTCGTTTTTGTTATTTCAAACATTTTTCCTTCGAGTCCCCGAGAAGTGAAACGAACATATTATTCTTGATGATATGATATGATCTAACTTTGTTTTTCATTTTTTCAATTAAAATTCTGAATCAAGCTAGTTGTACGTAGACGTAGATGATAATGATAGAATATTGGTATTTTGTAAGTTCACCCAGTATTTTCATCTCATGTCTGCTCACGATGACAGAAAAATATTTAATTCAAATTACTAAACAACTTTTACCAAATTTATATGTCAATTTAGAAGGAAATATGGTAATACAATCTTTAGACATTTTGTTGTCAATGAGAGTTACCAATATTTAAACATAATTACCCAAACGAAATGACAGTTGGACACCGTGAACTAAATACAGACCCCCAAAACGCTTTACGGAATCCCCCCATTGTGGTGTTTTTATTACCCCTCAACCAGTCACTGAGTCAACATGTTTACCCCCCAATGAATCACCGGAGCTCTTCAAGAGCAATTTACACAGATCTTAAGTGAATCAAATCTCAATAAACCACAATAAAAGAAACCTCGACAATACTCAGTCTGGCAAATCACTGGTGTAATTGTATTACAGACACAATGATAGAAGTACCTTGGAAATGCATGACACATTCTACAAACTTGTAGAAACAAGAACTTATATGTACTATTAAAGAAACATGTCAAAATATATGTGGCAAATCTATAGTCTCCTTAAGATGCTTACAAATTGTCTGGAAGATTATGTAATTATTGAATTTTTCAGTTCGTCTTTATGCTAGTTATAAGAGATATATCACAATTCCAACGTTGGACATCTCAAGGACTTTATTTGCACTGGAATGGCCTTTATTTTTTTTTATAGTAACTTGAATTCTGTGAAAGGGAGCATTTAATTCAATAACTTAAACATCCAACATGTTCAACGCCATTCATTTTAGATACAAGCTTAGATAATTAGAATGGTTGAAAATAAACCAACAAGTATATTGGTTATTTTTATTAAACAATGTACTTTCATTAAATTAAAATGTATAGAGAAAAGAAGGTTAGTTGGAACCATGAATACACATGACAAATGTCTACGATGCCAATGGCTGTTATATAGGTAGAACTTAGGTATAGGCGAATGATCTTGATGTTTTCAATGCTGGATATGAAGTTTGTAAATATGTCATTCATAAAGTAGCCTTTCGGTGACACCTCCTCAACTAATTGTCGCATTTCATGAATAGCATCCATCTAATTAGCCACAACCTGAACTGCATCTATCATTACACCTTCACCGATCAATCAATCTTTTAATTGGGTATGCTTCCCCGGTTAACCCTTACAAAACCACTAGACTAGGTAATACCACTCTGCTAGGTCGCGATGCCCATGCTTCGGTAGGGAGGCGCCGCGGCGCTGGGAACGAGAGGGTTTAACGCGGTCATCGCGTGCGAGATACGGCGGATGGCGGAGGGGGGCGCCAGCAGAGGGTATCAAGCCAACTCAGGCTAAATATGGGCATGAGACCGGCTGCATAAGACATGCACGGCATACCAAACTCATTCCGCCAGCCACCGATCGCCCGCCACCGCCGGTAGCTTCTAGGATGGCGAACCGATGCGAGCTTCTGGCTGAGGGGGGCGTGTACGCTGGTTTTACATCATCTCAGTGCAATGAACGAGATAGGCGATGGCATGCATGGGAGATGATAAAGAGAAGCGGAATGTGATAATGATGAAAAAGAAGAAGGAAAGGGAGATGAGTATAATTATGAAGGACAAATAACTGGTGGAACAGAAATAACATTTCATTGACCCGTGTAACTATAGTAGGCTGATCTTAACTCATCCCATGGAGTGAATACAATTTCGTTTATGTGACAGCACTACGATTATCTGTTCCAATCCCACCTAACTTATTTGACTTAAAGGACACATGAACGAACAAACGAACACATTAATAAGCGAATAACACTGTGTTCAGTTGGTGTAATCACTAAACACAAATATAACTATCCAGGAAAAAAATACGAACCACAAAAATGAAAATGAAAATCGTATATATTTTCTTATGACCCTCTAAAAAAACACCTTTCTCATTACATTTTTTTCTTACATTGCTTCATTTCCCCGTACACCAATACACGCATGACATGACGAACTAATGAAGAAATCGTTATATATGCATACATTAATTTATTCTCACTTTCAGTAAAACAATTATTTTTATTTAATTCCAAAATGTTCGTGAAGACTTTTAAATTTTTGTATTTTTGTGTGTGTTTTGGCAAATAGGATTAATGTATATAACTTATTTTGCACTTCTATGATTAAGTCAAAACTCAATCGAATGTGTAACTATTTAAATGATAATGAATCAATAAACATTTGCATGGATGAATTACTGTTGTCTTTTACTCTGATGTCTTTTCTAGAAACTTGTAGTTCTCTTTGGCCATAAAACTAATTGATATATCAAATCAGATTATAATTGGTAATTGCACGCATAAATCAATGATTTTAAAATGCCCAAGCATTGAGTCAATAGTCACCTCAACTACATGGCTGAGTGAAATAGAATTAAATGTTTTTTTGTTTTTGTTTCAACAGCTCCTTCTTCAACCTATAGACAGCCTGATGTATTCCATCGAAACATAACCATATATAGATAAATGTAATAATCAGTACGCTAAACAATTCGCAGGAATTTAATCAATACCTATCTCAATTGCAACAACGTTCTCAAGACGTTCGTAAACGTCTATTTCTAAAGGCCTTAAATATATACAACTCCAAAATAAGTCCCGAAAACGTCTTTTTCTGTTCCCTTCGTCTAACCGGAAATTTTTTCCCCTTCATTTATTTCCATTGTTTAGACTTACTCTGGTCTGTTCCAGAGACTTATTATGGCCTTAAATGCTTATACACCTGTAAATTAAGTCACGAGAACGTCTTTTTCTGTTCCCTTGGTCTAACCGGACATTTTGTCCCCTTTTCATTTCTTCCCTTTTCTTAGACCTACTCTGGTCTGTTCTGCGTGGCTATCAACCCATACCGTAGGCTCCCCATCTACACCGACAAGGTAGTCATGCTCTACAAGGGTAAGAGGCGTACCGAAATGCCTCCCCACGTCTACTCCATCGCTGACAACGCCTACCATGACATGTTGCAGAGTAAGTCCTTCGGATAGGATGTAGTACACCCTTGCCCATCATAAAGTTGGCATAATTTGCATTTTTCTCTTTTCATGAGAATATATTGTGACGATATTGATAGATAAAGTGTATTCGTCCTCAGAGCTTTCTTGGTCAATCTCTATGAATATTTAGATTGATCAATACAGTGCTGAGAAGATATAAACTTTGTCTATCAAGAACAAATGATATTTTCACAATCAAATTTCACAATTTGCCTTTCCTCTTTTCATGAGATTACATTGTGACAATATTTGACAGATAAAGTTACTCGTCCGCAGAACTTTCGTGGTCAATCTATATGAATCGTTAGATTGGTCATACAGTTTTGAGAAGATATAAACTTTGTCTTTCAAGAATAAATTATATTTCCACAATCACTTCCTGAAAGAAAAAAAAATGAGCAAAATTTATTCCGTGTTTATGGGCAACTGTGTAGATAAGTATGTGTGTTTAAATGTTTCAGTTTCAGTTAATTGTTATCCATATTTCTCATGATACAAATATTACAATATAAAACAATTATTTGTAAATTAAATACTGCTTTAAACCACGTCAAGAAGTCCGTTTTGACCAATAAAATATACATGTATATTAAAGCTCAGATCGAAGTGAATTCAGATGATTAGGAAACCGCCGTCACGAAAACACAGGAATTTAAAAATTAGTATCAATTCTAATTTTTCTTCTTCTTTTCCAGACCACGAGAACCAGTCCATGTTGATCACGTGAGTATGTAATTTAAGATACGGACCATAAAGGTCATGGAATGCACTCGTGCCAAAAATAGACTGAAATATATCATTCGTTACCTTAAATACCAGCATATGCTACAGATGAAGTTATATACGAGCAGTTAAACTTGAGAAAATTCGAATATCATCCAAGTATGCAATGCCATGAAGGATCATCTGAATAATTACAAGACTGAATGATACCCGAGTCATCCACTCTGTCAATTTATGTATCGCAGATAACTACCATCAAGTATTTTTTATACAGTACTATTTATATCAATATCATTGATTATAATGATGCGAAATATTCATGTTATTAATCTGATCAGAGATGTAAGTTTTTTAATATTGAACTAAAAAGTCCTAATTTTCTCAATGTTGAACTAAAAAGTCCTAATTTTCTAAATGTTGAACTAAAAAGTCCTAATCTAAATGTTAAAGATTGCAGTTTCTCTCAAATTTGACTCCTTACCATTTATGTGGTCTATTAAGCAGTCTCTGTCTTTATATGTTGTTTACAACCAACCTTGTGTTTCTTCTAGTCTTTGTTCTCTCCTACCTAGCAGCGTGTGCAGTCTCCGATCTCTTCCGCATAATTTGAAACTACCAGTTTTTTTAATTAAATAATCTTTCGCTTATAATAATGTTAACATACGGAGTGTTCTTTTAAACAGAGTGTATAAAACCCATATGGTACAATGCCTTTTTCCCTGTTACATAATTTGTCATCCTAATTTGTGGAATCTCTGACCGAATATGCGCTTGCAACAAAGGTCGAACAAAAAAAAACTGTATTCCAATCTTTACCCTATATACGAAGATAATAATTGTGCTTTAACAAGTATGAACGAAATAACAGCCAATGATTAAATGTAATATAAACGAAATAAACGATTTGACTTTTCTAAAATTATGTAGTTTGGAATACTTACAACCGAATCTTTTGTTCATGACAGATTTATAAAGACAAAATACCATTTTTAGAATCGAAACATTGTAACAATCGGGAAGACATTGTACCAATTTGTGTGGTCTACTCATGTTTATGTCACAGTGTGACTTACAAGTTATCTGTTGAAATTGTATCGTAATTCGTATATTAATATTGTAAGTTACGTTATGTTAAGAAGGAAACAAAATGATTTGTAAATTTTAGCTGAGTTCAAATTCTGTTAACAACCATATTTTCTGAAAACTCTGACGATATGACAAAAATATACTTAATTTGGAACTGATTTCCAATCGACTCAAATAGGATTGAGCTCAGCTAATATATGTATAACTATATGATCCTAGGTATAACAATTGTATTTTCTTATTTTAGTTAGGGTGACTCTCCAGACCTTGCAATGCACGAACTCAAAATAGCCCTATTCCCAAACCCTAAATCATTATTTTCCTATCTTTCAAATGATTCTTTTCCGCATCATGCATCCAAATATATATAGTAAAAAGCCTGAAAATAGCGTCAGCATGACAACAAAGTAGGAAAGAATGTTTCAAAATTCTTTGAATTAAAAAAGAAAGAAAACAAATATTGATGATTGAATGATGGCAATGCCGCATGAAAAGAATCGATAGCTTACGTTAAGTTATTCAATAGTCTAGTACTTTCCTTCGTCTTACATGTATATTCGTTTTCAAGACGTTAGGGAAAAAAGGAAGCTTAAACATCGTTGTTTCCCTTCTTGTCTTGATTTGAATCTTCGTAGATGTTGCACGTTATGTCAAATGTACTGACATATTCTTGCATGATCTGCCTTCCAGTCGAAACTTTAAAAAAGTGAAATCTCTATTTAATATCTTCTTAAATGTCCAGTAAAATATCTTGATGATTGTTTTAATGAAGTGCACGTTAGAATAGACTCCATCGCTTCTGCATGCATTAGAATAGCGCTAGCCATTATCATGTTTTTTCTACGCTAATACCACTCTCTTTAAAGGTAACACTACTGCACTTTTGATGAACTATAATCATGACAATGCTATTTTTTTTCTTGCTCCTATCTTCAATGAAATATTTCCTTCTACTCCGCCTACTTCTACTCCTCTTCTATTCTCTCAATACCCCCCTTCCTGCACCACGCCCATTCTTACCACCACCACCACCGCTCAGTGGAGAGTCAGGTGCAGGGAAAACAGAAAACACCAAAAAGGTCATCCAGTATTTTGCCAACATTGCTAGTGTATCCACCGGAGGCAAACTTCAACAAGACACGCCAGAGGGCGGCAAGAAGGTACCATGTCTAACGCAGCGCTCGGTCGCTGGCTGGCAGGACCACTGTTTTGTTTCATTACAGTTGTGGCGCCACGTCGTTGGTGCGCTTTAACCCTTTCATCGCCGCGAAAGCATTGTCCTGCATGGATCCAGACACGGGTGGGTTAATGGATGAAGGGAGGAGATTTACCGAAACAAAATCTTCAACCATCCCCCTTGGAGAAATAAAATCATTTGGACACAAAAAATACATCTTATTTCATATTTTAGTATGAAAAGTGGCATACAAAACCTATACTGTATAAAGAAGGGTCTACACGTACATGGGGATGGGTTTCTGAATTTAAACTAATGATGTAAAACACAGCAAAATACTTTTAGTAAAGAGGAGTGGGTGGCACATCTCAAAATGTAGACGAAGAAATGATCTGGACAAATCATTTCTAGAGTCGAATTCCTGAGATTAGTTTGGCCTTTCAATGTTATCACGATGTTTTTTCTATTCTGAAAACAGTTAAATTACAAGATATTGGGTATAAAATTGGACAATGTTTTTGCGTCATGAAACTGGCTATTAGGCACCTCTGTTCGTCTCGTATTTCATGTTTGTGGTGTATAAGGATTGCCGATGATTCAAACACATATGAATTCCTACCTCGTACCTATTTTGTTTTCAAAATATACTTTAAACACTTTGCTGGAATTAAATAGCATTCATTGTCCAAACAGCATTGTATACTTTAAAAATAATGTAATGCCTTTATTAAAACTCTGAAGGCTTCTTAAGGCTTCTGAAAACCATCAACTTAAGTTAGAGCCCAGATATACCAAATAATAGATGTGGAAGTGTAACATATTGAACAGATTTCTACTGCCATAAAGCTTAAATAATACAAATTTTTTTAAAAAAACCTATCATATAATTATAATTGCTCAGTATCAATAAAATCATAGTTTGAAACATAATCCCTGGTATGAAGGAATTCCATATGAGAGCATTATCTGCAATCTGTTTACGCCATAGCGTGACGCCACTCCTAGTAATGCATAATGTGAAGTGTGCTCCTTATGTCCGTCTGTGACTATCTAAATCAGTCTCTAACAGGTTTTTCACGTCGTATTGTAGTCTCCTTTTCTGCGCTGATTTGGCAGCTGCAGCGCGCGCTCTTAGCCTTCTGGCCCGGTCTGTTCAGACAAACGAAACGCGCCAAATCTTTCTTCTATCAAGAAAGCTTTGGACAGGGTCAAGACGCTCTTTCTTCCGACGCCGCTCATGCGCGCCTTTCACTCACGAGGGCGCGCGCGTAGCAGACGGAATATGGCTGCGTCTCGACCTTTTTGTCGTTGAATAAGACCAGAAGAAAACAAAAAGCAAATTTACTTCCAAAATCCGACGAATGCGCTCAATGAAGACTACCGGACAAAGCGCTAGCGTCTTTCATTTTCAATCTACGACGCATCGGCATAATCTGACCAATAGGTACCCCAGAACCGGGGTGCGGATGCTAATTTGTTGTTTTCCTCTGTTCACCACCATTTTTTTTTCTAGTTTAACAAAGATGGCGGTCTGTTGGGTATTTCCATTCATCACGTGATGCTGCGTCTAGAGACAACCGACACACAATTCTCCTCCACAAGTCCGTGTCTAAAAACAAATTGAATCCTTGAGGATTGATTGATACCTGTTCCTAGATTATTTGCACTCTTCCAACTCCTCGAAATTCATATAATACATGGAATTGCATAATGATATTCCTTTCCCCAAAATCGAATTTATAAGGAATTTTATGGTAGTTCTTTTTAAATTTTCAGAATTATTTTCATTTCTATTTTTCTTTAAAATATTATTCTTCCAATGTCATGTTATCATTATAGCTCACTTAAGAAGCCTACTCCTTTTTCTGTTTTAATAGATAATGCCTGGTATACACCCCCTGGAATGAAGAGGGGAAATGTGATGTGAAATGTAGTCACACCCCAAATTCCTGTTTAAGAAGTGGATTTTTCGATCAAATCTAGATTTCATAAATCGGTGCATTTACTGAATGCGTAGTAAACCTCAGTCTGTAAGGTATTGAACAACTTAAATTCGTTCAGAAGGTCCTTGAATCATTAATGTCCCAGATGTTTTGTTCATATATGGGAGGATTGTTGTCGGTTCATGTTGCCTTTCTCTAGACCGCGGTACGGCGTGCTTCGGTACGTTCAGTGGTTGAATGTGAAAATACCCAGCAGAGTCACCTTTGACCGTAGACAGTGTAATATTCGTAAGGAAATGTACGTACCAGTAAGTAGGTTTACACCATGCTGTACATGTAAGTCAAAGTGCACAGGGGTCATTGAACATGCTTCAGATTTAACCATGACCTTCATGCCAGATAGATGAACAGTATGGCCATTGAACCAATCTGTGGTATATATGTTACAGTCAAATAAGGAGTTTTCGACCGTGCTGTAGGTCAAAGGGCACAGGGGTCAGTGGCCTTTTTAAGGTCACGATCTCCTTACCGGGCGATGCACAGCATGGCCATGAATCTCACTTCGGCTAGAGCCTCCTTTCGAAGATTCTCTCCCCACCAATTCTATATTTGACCGACTTTATAATTCTGAGAACCGTGCTTCCAAACCACAAATGAAACCGTCCATGCGGGGAAAGGTCGTTGACTTCTCCTTGAGGTCTGCGGCCTGACCCTTATCACAATACATGGATCTGGAACACTTCTCACGCGACTTGCAATTTGAATAGAAAAATGCTGAATAGCGGACACGGTTCGGTCCATGCTGTCATGAGAGGCAACTCACTTTCCACTTTGGTCTCACTACGAGGCCAGTGGCCGTCCCCTTACCTTTCAGTACGAAGCATAGGACTGGACCCATACGGGTTGACAAAAGTCGACCATGATTGAACGTTGTCTCGCGGGATACAAGTAGTAATTGATTGGTGTAGTAATTATCACTATGATAGTTATATAAAACACACAGAACCCTTCTTGTGTATTGTGTGGTTTTGTATGAAAACTGTACATGTAGTCGGTCGTAAATGGTCATAACATTTGTATAAACATAGGTGCACAGCATTTAACGTCAGTTCCATTTGTAAGAACCAATTACGCTTACCGTAGTTTGAGAATATAGGCAACTTCAGTAGCAAATTATTTGCAATAGAAGTAGTTTTTAAGGAGCAAAGAAATTCGTCCATCCGTGCCAGGCACCAGCCGAAGTATGACGGGATAGTTATGACGTCACCGATCACGTGACCATCGAACTGGAGTGTCGAGAAGAATAAAGAAACGGCGTCACTGATCTGCTTACAAGACGTATGGTAACACCTACATGTGCCACAATATGAAGCTGATATTTGCATCATTATGGGAAAATATGAATTAATAAAGAATCTGATGTAAGAGATACCTATTTTCTTTGAAGATACGGAGAAGGCAAAATATATTATTCTATAACCGTTATAATTTCGGTGCAATCTTTACTGGATTTCTAAAAAAAAAAAAATTTAAGACTCATTTCAGTCAAATCAATGTTTAATGGTTGGAGTGATCAATACAGATTGTATCTCGTATCACCAAAGGTGAAAGGGTATCTCCTCATGTTATGAATTGTAAAAAGAGTTTTTGCTTGTTATGTTTGCACGGGGGAAAGAATTCAGAAAATACAATGGTGCATTTCATTACGCATGGTGAATGAAAGAACAGTCTGTTCTCGAATATAAGTATGATAATGAGAACGACGCATGCGTATGCATGCGTTATGCATCGATCACCATGACAACCATTCCTTCCAACCAATCACGTGTAGGGTAACCTTGAGGACCAGGTCATCCAGACCAACCCTCCTCTTGAGGCCTTCGGTAACGCCAAGACCATCAGGAACGACAACTCCTCCCGTTTCGTAAGTATCAAAACTCTTGTGGTCCGTGTAGTCCAGTTCGTAGATAATATTTGTGTATGGGCAGATTAATTAGGTCATGTTGTAAAAGCCACTGAGACGAATTTAGTCGTTTATGACTCGATAGTACACTCTATGGTAAACATGTGGAAGAGGGAAGCCCAGTGATCATCCTCCATCACTTTTGCAGAGAGCGTCCCAAATTTCACAAAGTGGGACCTCTCCATTTTTAAAAGATCTGTTGATATTTGAGTGCATTTGTAGCATTAGACCGAAACTTCTGTCTCCTATATCTACGGTTCAATGTCCCATTCCGGACTGCTACTATAGAAGTTCAAAGTATTCTTAAGGTCTAATAGTCCCTTTTTATTCCTCAAATTGGCATCAGCTATTCCTATTTTCCACCCCTAAATAGTACAACATGTTTATACCTTTTGATGACGATCTTGGCCCGAATTCACAAAGGAGGTTTGTCGACAAACCTTGGTTTTCGTATGTCATATGACGCGTTTTACGCGTTTTTTACAAACCTGGTTTGTAAAGAACAAAAGGAGGTTTGGCGAAACAAAAGAAGGTTTGAGCTCAAACCTTGGTCTGAGCTCAAATCTTGCTTTGTGAATTCGGGCCTATGTGTTTAGATTAAGACGACTTTTACATACATACACGGTACGTAGACAGAAGTAACCATTTGATTGGCCATTAAGCAATTATTGATTGATACAAATTCACTTTCGACGAAGGCTATGTTTTAGTAGATTTGAGCCGTACTTATTTATCCATAATATCCAGTAACATTAATACAATATACCAAAGCAAACATATTTCTCCTTTTTGAAATATTTACTTCTTCTGACCATCTTCCCTACAGGGTAAATTCATCCGTATTCATTTCGGCACAAGCGGTAAACTGGCCGGAGCCGATATTGAGACCTGTAAGTAGACAATCTAGCAATTGTTGTAGTTTTATGATAACAGGGTAGCATTGTCAGTCACAAAACTGCTTTTCATCATGGCCCTGTTAGCTTACAGCTTAAGTATATCAACTGTGTAAAGTAAAATTGAAATGATAAAACATTTAATTGCTATTACATGTATCACATGGTGATTTTAAGGCAAACTAGGAATAATCTATGCATAATGAAGACGAATTCAAACACTTTCCTTGAAAAGTACAAAAGGCAAAAGGATGAAGAAAAAAACAACAACAAACAAACAACAACTAATGAACAAATATTATGATTAAAATAATGTATTATAGAAATATCAAGTTTGTCATTCTACGTTTTTATGTAAATCGCTTTTTGAATTGAAGATATTATTGCTTGCATATTTGTATTATACCTTAATACATTTACATGTTCTAATTTATTCAGTTATTGTATTTGGACAAAAACAGAAATAAAATAAAATAAAGTATATTAATTGAACTGCAAATCTTCCTTGCAGATCTGCTTGAGAAGTCTCGTGTGATCCGACAGAATGGTGTTGAGAGGTCCTACCACATCTTCTACCAGATCTGCTCTGGGTACAGACAAGATGTATTGGGTAAGCTGAGAGGGCGCTGTTCGGGACCAAACTAACGGGCCATCTTTTCACAGAGTGTGATCGTCTCGGTGTCACAACATTTATACTCATATAAAGACGATATATCTATATATTGTTTTATGCTTGCACAACAAGGCAGTATTTGCTATATTGTGCCCAACTTGTACGGGTTGGCAACATTTTGCTAATCAATGTCACTGCCAACATATACTCGAAAATGAATCTAATAAACTGACTTCATGTAAAAAATAGTTTATTAAAGCGTAATTCTGTTTCCGTTTATCAAAAGATTAAAATCATAATTAGTTTCACTTCAATCGAATTTCTATGAAGCCGGGGTTTCTAAAAAATTGCCAGTATTGTTCAAAGTGACCTTTTAATATTTCTTAATGTAGGAATATATTTTAATTATTCACAACTTTTTGTGAGTAGTTAATTTCAAGGAAGTATTTTTTCTAAATTTGCTATTTCAATTGTTTTGTGCTTGGCATTTGTGCTTGTCAACAACAGATCAAACTATTATCCGTCGCTCTGAGGTCGAACAGTGTATACCTCTAAAAAAAAAAAGAGCAATTTGTCTTGGCAAAACTATCCAATTGAAAATAAACATTAATACTGTTTTTTTTTTTTTACCCTACTTCATCTGCACCAGACACTCTGCTGCTCGAAAAGGGCTGCAAGACATACTGTTTCCAGAACCAAGGAGAAGTTGAAATCGACGGCGTCGATGACGTCGAGGAATTCAAACTTACTGATGTAAGAATAATAATTATTCTCATTTTCTCAATACATACACCCACTAGCCCACTCTCGCTATTTACCTACTTCTCTCTTTTATTCTCTCTGTCTCTTTCTCTCCGCATGTCTCTGTCTCTCCTTGTCTTTCTCTCTCTCTCTCTCTCTCTCTCTCTCTCAGAGGCAGTCACAATTATACATTTAAAACAAAAACAGACCAAAGACTCATTTGTCCATGAACAATTTGTCTTCAGTTTAAAGTTGACTGGTATCTGATTTGACGTGTTTTTGTTATTATTGTCTGATTCTGTCTCTCTTCCTTATTCTCCAAAAGAGCGTAGAGACTGAAAAGCAATATTACAAGGATCGTTTATTAGCATTATTCTTCTTTTTTCTCTCTCTTTCTCTCTTAATTTCTCTCAATAGGACGCCTTGGATGTCCTGGGCTTCTCATTCGAAGAGAAGATGTCCATGTACAAAATGTGTGCCACCATCATGCACTTCGGAAACGTCGAATGGAAGCAGAGGCCCCGCGAAGAGCAGGCCGAAATCGAGTCGACAACCAGTAAGTTGTACTAAGCATTGATCCTTCGCGTTGAATTTGACTTACTCCATTCGACTACGAATGTTAGTGTTTTGGGCATCTTCTCACGGAACCTCCATAAGTACAAGTTCACCGACTACCCATTAAAACACTTGTTATATTCAATACATGCGTTTCGATGAGTTGTCGGTGAACTTGTACTTATGACGGTGTTGTGAAATGCTGCCATGGTAGTGCTTCTCATTTGGGAGTTAAGATCTTATCAATACACCATATGTATTATAGTGCTTCCTCTCCGGCTTAGGCCATCAAGTTGTTCCCCGATTTCTAGGATTAGGGATGAGGTTCAGTTTTTGGTCAAGGTCGAGGGTTAAGGTTAGGCATATGGTATATTCGGTTAATGTAGGAAAGTGACCGGGAGCACTTGGCGCATGAAAAAGGTGTCGTACAACCCTTCCAGTCATCTCTAAAGACTGTCCATCCACAATACTTTTCATCTTCATCTACCCCTGTCTTTCTCAATAGTTTTGCCTTCCTCAGTCTGTCTTGTTTTCCTCAATATCTTTCCTGCCTCCCCCATCGGGAATACCGGATTCTCCAATCTCACTATTTTATTCTTTATTGTCATTTATCCTCTATAGTCATCGACAAGGTCGCTTTCCTGTTCGGTATCAATCCCCAGGAACTTGTGAAGAACTTGCTGAAACCCCGTATCAAGGTCGGTAACGAGTACGTATCCCAGGGACGTACCAAGGCTCAGGTGAGTAGCGCACATTTCAGTTGATTCCATTCGACTCTGATTAGATTACCTAATTATTCTGCCTTAATAGGTTATCCTCACTTCGTATGAGCGAATCAGTTATCTATCTTCTATGATGGTCTAACAGTAACTCGTCTTTATTTGTAATGGGCGTCCCCAACACAAGCCTTGCTTTTCAGGTTTTCACCTCCTTTTATTTTCTGAAATATGCACTGTACCGACCTCTATGATTACCATAATGTTTTTGTACCGATAATAAAAAGGATATAGATGTGAACTTCACTTCAATTCAGGCTATGTATATTGTCATTTTGACCGTAAGCGGAAAAAATAATTTTGTTTCCTGTGGAAGACAAAGTAACAATTGTAAACGTTTGATTCGAAACCACTTTGTTTGCAGGTCGTCTACTCAGTCGGTGCTCTGGCCAAGGCCATCTACAACCGTCTCTTCTCCTGGCTCGTACAGCGTGTCAACAAGACTCTGGCCACCAAGGCTACCAAGGCTTTCTTCATCGGTGTACTCGACATCGCCGGGTTCGAGATCTTCGACGTGAGTTGACCGTAGTCATTGACCATGGTGGCGTAATGCCCATTGGACTTGATGTAGCATCTCCGTTGTGTTATTACCTGCGCTAATCAACATTGTTAACGCAATGAGTCCGTTCATTTGCCGGTTTTTGAGAAATGTTTTGAAAACCACTTTCCATTTTGCCTTCGCATCCTTTCAGATGTCACTCTCTTGTGGCGCAAGATGTAGCACCAGTCGATTATTATTAATAAATATAATATATGAATAAAGTACTAATATGAATTACGCTTCGTGTGCAGCGGACACTACAGGAGTGGCGGCAGGAGTCGTTTCCTCTTCGCCTAAGATCAGGGTTAATAAGATTATGTCATTCTTAAGCAGCCTGAAGTATTCATGTAATGATGCGCTGTATAGATACAAAACATATATTATTATATTATTACTATTATCGTAACAGGAATATGCTTGCAATTATCATAGCAGTGATGTTATTTTCATCATAACAATGACATACAATTTACTACTTTTATCACAACAGTGATATATTTACTATTATCATAACAACAGTGATACATTTTTACATCAACTGTCATAATAGTGATATAGTATAGATATATGGACTGCTATCGGAGGTATCACTGCTTCTATAGGCTCAAGGAGACATTACATCCTGATATGACCCCGAGGCGCACCGAGGGGTCATATTAGGGTGCAACGTCCCCGAGAGCCAGTATAGAAAAAGCTAAGCTTCGAATATTTAAGCTTGCCATAACAGTAATTTTTTTTCTCCCGCGTGAGACGGGATAAAGTTAAAGCGTATAACGGTTCGGAATTACCAATTTTTTTCCCTCTCCCTCTTCTTCACAGTTCAACACTTTCGAGCAGATTTGTATCAACCTGACCAACGAGAAGCTGCAGCAGTTCTTCAACCATCACATGTTCGTTCTCGAGCAGGAAGAGTACAAGAGGGAAGGCATCAATTGGGTGTTCATCGATTTCGGTCTTGATCTCCAGGACACCATCACCCTCATTGAAGGAGTAAGTTTATTCCGGTGTCAATGTTGATACTATAATGATAATAAGATGGCTCCTTAATTGAAGGACGCTTAGACATTATTATCCCTGTTGTGGCCGAACCGCTTAAAAAATGTGCACCCAATCAATGGAGCATAATTATTTAAGACTTTTTGGTGAAGAGTGGCAACATGTAGATTAATATATTGCCAAAGGACGTTACTGTTGCGCTGGAATTTGAATCTTTACAATCTCTGAATTAAAGAACAAACATACTAATTTGTATAGATCCAACTACCACCACATTTGAAGAAGACGAAAAAGGCGTTTAGATTTGATACGAACGATTCCCAAGCAAAAAATCGCAGCATACGTAGCGTATTTAAAAGTCCATTTGAAGAAAAGACAGATTCCGCTAAAAATCGTCTTATTATTCTTTCAAAACGTCCATCCCACACTTCTTATTTTCTTAGTCACCGAGAATAATCTGACACTCTAAGAGCATTTTGCCATAATTTCAAAAGCGTATTCAAAACCCTATGGCTTGATTCTCAATTTTGATAGATTCTTGCTCATTTTCTCCTCATTCATGATTTGGTTCTTACTTTTTTTCTCTCAATAATACCTTCTAACTCTCACAGCAAATGGGTGTGTTCGCCATGCTTGAGGAAGAGTGCATGTTCCCCAAGGCTACTGACTTTACCTTCTTGGAGAAGTTGCTCAAGCAGCATGCTAACAATGCCAAGATCACCAAACCCTCTGTTGGAGGGAAGAATGTGAAGAAGCACGCTGTCCACTTTGAGATCCATCACTACGCTGGAACCGTAAGTTTCTTTCTCTTTTAAAAAAAAAAACTTCAAAAGAAGGTTGTGTTCTGGTAAGAAATGGACAATATTATATGACCTTTTCATTCTTTGGAAATCAGGTTGGAAGAACATCCAAGTAGAAATGTCGTCTGAAATGGATCACGTCGAAATTGGTATTGGCGAGAAATTTGGTTAAAAGTTTGGACTAAACTTTCGTGCCCTATGCCACTGTTTATGCCATTCGTATATTTTTTTCTTCAAATGAAAACAATGGTAAATATGTTTCGCTCCTCGAGATCGTCAATCCAAAACGGCACTCTTTAATGCGATTGTCCGCATGCGTACCCACACAAGCCTTTGCTTTTAGGATTTAAGTCGTCTTCCTTGAGTTAAAACTGTTAATGCTCTGTTATATTGTATAACATTCATCTTCATCACCTTGAAGCAGCACTAACACTGGAAGAAGAACATTATGTATGTACAAATGTATTACTTGTGTAGTTTCATAATATTTAAAAGAAATGGAAGAAAATAAATGTGAATTTTCATTGATGTGAATGGGAAAAAAATACGTGATCATTGATCTCTAGGTGGACTACAACGTCGAGAGCTGGCTGGACAAGAACAAGGATCCTCTGAACGAGGCCGTTGTCGAACTCTTCCGCAAATCTACCGACGAGCTCCTCGCAACCATCTTCACAGATGCCGCAGCGGCAGGTGAGTCTTTGTACATACTAGTATGGCTAGCGTGTCCATGTTTGAGCACTGTGCGTCCATGTTTGAGCGCTGTCCTGACTAGGCTGTTCCGCCCGTATGTGGAAATAAATTGTTTAAAAAAATATATATATATATATATATATATTAAAAAAAAAACACTCAACGAACACAAAATGTTCGTTTCTATGATAGCGTAATATAATTGTGCCAAAAGCAGACTGCAAGCTTTTGAGAAAAATCTGATTTACGAAAGTTTATTCACGAGCATTGAAACGATACCATTCACGTCAAAATGACATCGTTGAACATTGATGAGATTGTTGGCAAAGTCACTCTTGAGAAAATGAGAAACAATATCAGAGTAAGCATAAGACTATACATGTCAGTTTCAAGTCAAATGTTAGTTCCGCAGACGTATATAGATAAGGCTCTATATCCCACATCCTTGCGGAATAGGTTGAACCCCTTAATACCGTGATGTAGGTGTGATCACACCTGATTTTGATCATTTAAATTTGCAATCAAACCTGTCTATAAATAAGTAAGGGGATAAATAAATAAAAGAGTTTATAAAAAATGAAAAGATGAATTAATATATAAATAATAAGTAGATGAATATAAACATAGATTAATAATTATATTGTTAGATGAACGGAAACATGACATTTCCAGAGATACTGATCTAACGAGAACAAGAAAAAACACATTTAAAACAACAACACACATATTCAGAATACAAAGAATGAAGGAAAATTTGAATTGACATAAAACTTGATATGAAAAACTTGAGCCGTAACAATTAAGACGAAGTGCCATAATTCTTCATCGTGCACATTATCTGTAAGGCTACGTACATGCGCAGTTGGTCCGTGATCTACTTAGAGTCATATTCAACTGCTTGAATGAACATTCTCGTATTTTTGTCCAAATCTAAATGTAATATATTCGCTTTCTATAATGAATTTAATATTTACATGGATGTAGCAGGAAGGGGAAGAGGTGAGTTAACATGTTTTTAATCAATATACACTCTACATGTAGCCTATATATCATCCTCACTACTGTATAGTATACCTATAGCGTAGATAACAGTCATTATTATCTCTATTTCAATTTAGCCACACATAATTTCGTCCATAATCACTTTCTCGTCAAAGGCATTCTTTACATCAATATACGTTATCATTGCAATTAGGAATGTTAAATATTTAATTTGTAATTTGCTTTTATTTTTATCACTTTTTAAAGTGGTGAAAAGTTTGTTAACCTTACAATTACTTGAAACGCCTTTTTTTGACGCTCATTACGGGTACACAATTTGAACTCTATGTTGTAATCATCGAAAGAAAGAAGACATTAAATCACTCTGCTTTCCGGTTAATGAACAGTAGATAAGAAGGGAATCACTTCAAAGAAATTTTGAAATAAATCTTAAATTTTGGTTACAAATTACTAATTCATCATGGTCATCGAATCATTTATACTGTTCATGGGGAGCAAAACTAATTCACTGGCTGGTGTCTGTTCGATTTATAAGTTAAACGTTACTACGAGCACACCCTTTACTCACTTCCTAGTACATCTGTATACCTCAAAGCAATTTCTTTATATTCATATATTTATATACATATATCCGACACCGCTCGTAGTATATCACAACTCGATAATTCAACACGTAAATACATTTTATATGCCTTAACGTTGTGGACTTTGGTCAAATCATTCAAAAGATTTCTTAACTAGCAATCAGATATAGTACACATACAGTATATAGGCATACCCCAAAATAAAGAAATGACATCTTTATAGATTTGTTTTCATTCTGTTGAAAGTCGAATAAGTTATATCTTCATGAAATTCTATTAATATATATTTTTTAATCATCTGTTTTGACCCAACTGTACCAATGTTAACACTGTAGATATTCATTATTAGTTGTAATAGTAGTTACAGTAGTAGTCGTTGTTGTAGTACATATTACGTTCTCTATCCAATCGATTCAGGGAAATCAAATATTAACCATGCAAAGATATAATTGTCATTGAAGTATATAGCTCACATGCAAAGTTCGAGCCTTTTATTCAATTAAATATCACCCATGCAAAGATATAATCATCATTTTAAACATATAGCTCACATGCATCGTTTAAATTTGAGCCTTTTATTCAATCAAGAATAACCCATGCAAAGATATAATCATCATTGAAACATATAGCTCACATGTATCATTTAAATTTTGAGCCTTTTATTCAATCAAATATCAACCATGTAAAGATATAATTGTCATTGAAGTATATAGCTCACATGCAAAGTTCGAGCCTTTTATTCAATTAAATATCACCCATGCAAAGATATAATCATCATTTTAAACATATAGCTCACATGCATCGTTTAAATTTTGAGCCTTTTATTCAATCAAATATCAACCATGCAAAGATATAATCATCATTGAAACATATAGCTCACATGTATCATTTAAATGTTGAGCCTTTTATTCAATCAAATATCAACCATTCAAAGATATAATCATCGTTTTAAACATTTAGCTCACATGCATCGTTAAAATTTGAGCCTTTTATTTAATCAATAATAACCCATGCAAAGATATAATCATCATTGAAACATATAGCTCACATGCATCGATCAAATTTGAGCCTTTTATTCAATCAAATATCACCCATGGAAACATATATTCATCATTGAAACATATAGCATACATGCATCGTTTAAAGAGCATTTTATTCTTTTAATGTCACTATTCGTAAATTTTCTGTAATATTCAAAATGTATTGAATAAAGTAGTCATATGGGCACACTATTAATTCTGAGTATCTATTTTTCAATGTGAAACAATAGTCATATTGATCAGTGTAAATGTGGATTAATATAATGGAAGACCCAAAAGGAGTACCAAGAGGCTTCATGTATGGGAAAATTTTTGTACCTCCTTTGCGATTTTCAATTTAGTTAACAAAAATGTTGCGCTCTATAAAATGATAATTCCTTTCGTTCCGTTCTAATTTTCTTTCATGCGAAATCATCATCGAAATCTTCCATTAGCATAATCCAGAGTTACGTTTAGTTTACCTCAATTATTCATGAACTATTCGTATATATTTATGTATCACGGATCTGAAAGTCATCTTTCAGTCTGCATTCTTTCATGTGTGCATTGTTTCCAATTCAGAGAAAATGGTGGTTTTTTAAACGAACTTTTTCGAACTACGAAAATAAGGCAAATGGAATCAATTGGAACTAATTCATTTCAGAATTTGGTAAAGAAATATGACACTCCTTTTTGACTTCACTGCGCCTTAGTAATTTATTTTCTTACCCATATCATGGGACCTGAGTTACGATTGACTGCCAAGATGGAAAAACGATGTTCAGATCGGTGTAAAAATGATTCGTTATTGATATTTGATGTTCTGCTCACTTAATCTGTGTTGTAATACGTTTACCGTTTAATCCAACACGTTTTAACGTCACTGCTTTGTATTTCCCCATTCACATGTGTTTTGATTTTGAAATGTATAGAACAGAATGTCAGTTTTGTTTAACCTTTTGTGTGGCAACCACGTCGTTGTATTCGACTGTCACTTTAACATTTTGGGTTGTATAGAGTACACAAGTGCTAACGTCATATTCGCTGGTTGTCCGGGTAACGGGTTCCGAACAATAGGGCCTGCGCATGAGGTTCCTCGCGAAAATATTTAAGCAACGGGTTGGAGCAGGGCAAATTTAGTGTTCAGTGATCACCACGCAATTGTTTACCTCGAAATTGTTTGGAACCAGCAACCTTGACAATTTGACCAGTATGACGTCACACTTCGGTACTACATATATATTTCACTGGTAGGGACACCAAAAGTAATCGAAACCTTCAGCAGCACAACTTAAAACATATCAAATTGAAGCTGCCTTTTATCACTTTTTACCCATACTCTGGCGAATCTTTAAGTAACAAAATAAATATTGGAATTTTCTGACCGGAGGGGGAATAAGGGTCGTACGCATTTGCAACGCTATTAATCTGAGTGATAGCAATTGTGTATAATTACAGCAAAAGCAAAACATAATGTAGTTTAGATGACCAACCATACATGAATGCTGAAAAAAGGTCACGATATATGACCTTAGGTTTAAAAAAAAATATACTAAATGAATATGTATTTTGTGATGTTCATGTTTTTGTTAAATGTCTTAATGTATCTAAGTTTTGAGATTTTATTTTAACATAAGAATTGATATTAATGCGAATTTTCAGTTTTCTAGATCGTCACCATGCTCGTCTCTTGTTACGGTAACGTCTTGTCAAATAATTTGTACTATCTGTAATTTCTTCGTGTATTCCGGAGTGCATACCCCCGAAGTGAGTAGAAATTAGTATAGATTTTTGACTAGCTCTGTATGCCGACCCGTTTGTGACGTGCTTGTGTGTCTTCTTTTTGTGTTATCCTAGGTTCTGGACGCAAGAAGGGTGGTTCCTTCCAGACCGTATCGGCCCTGCACAGGGTATGCTTACTCTTACCATGCATACACACTCACATACACACGCACACATTTTTATACATGACACACAAAAACATCACACATACACACACACACACACACGCATAGTCACGCTGCTTGTCCTCACTCTTTCCCAACGGCATCTACTGCATCTTCAAGCACTTCACACTTTTTTCTCTCTCTCCTAGCGAGCTCCAACCCAGGGACCGCACAAACCGCACGAACCCCAGAATGCATTGAATGCAGCTCTAATGCTTTCAAGCCTCACCAGAATGTGTCTCTCCTCATCTTTCACAGTGCATCTTTCATCCCGAGAAAGTCTTGCTTACCGGCACCCCACCCCCACCAAAAAGTTGCCCCTCCCCTTAATGACATGCAACCTCTTCTGTCATGTGCTTATGTTTTAATACCTGTTCTGTTGATATTCGTTCTTACAAAAGAAAAAAAACGTTCTGAACGCTTTTCGTCTCAACCTTTTTTTTAAAACTATCTTTTTATTTCTTAATGCATTTTGTTCTTTTATTTTTTCCTTGCTGCAATTGTTGTATACGTTGATTCACAGGCAAAGGCAAGGAGAAGAAAATCAAGACAATTAGCGCCGGGCACAGGGTTGGCATGTGTGATTAATGTCTTGATCGTGATCGTATAATCTTAATATAGATTTAGAGATTATCTGTGTAGGATTAACTGGGTTTTTTTGTTTGGGATGTATCTGTTGCTGTTTTGCTGTCTTATTTACATAGTCCATCTCGAGCACTATTTGCTCTTAAATCTTCTTTTAGAGGCCATTTGTTTGGGATCAATTGGGTCACGTGTTCCTGTTTGCTGTCTAATGTTGTTCACCTTCAACATATTTTGCACCAAGAGCCACAGAGAGTCAACCTATACATTTACTCTCCGCCTAAGATTAATTAACTATTAAAATTATTCTATCCAACTTACTTTTTGAATAATATTATCCCTGGTGTAAAGTCAACACACAGAGATAAAAACACGGTCTAAATTTTATTATTTAAAAACCTATCGAGTCCTCCCATTCCATTACCGGCATATGTACAAATATTCCTACAAAATATTTAGAAAATATTCCCATTTGAGCAATTCAAGCCTAAATTAATGAGTAAAATATTCTATTTGTATGTAGCTTAATCTTTCCAGGCTTAAATTCAAGAAAATAAATATGCACCGTTAAAAATGCTTTGTAATTTAATTGCATGACTAATAGCCTGATGTGGACTGATATTTTTCCTCAAACTAATAATGCATGGTTTTCTTTTCAAAAATTTCGACCATTAATTCCATACAAAAAATTATCTTTTTTGCAAGACCCCCATCCTTTAATATCATTTTGAGACTGCATTATAAAGAAGCATTTTCATTTGCATATACAACTTTTCAAACCCTGAATTGAACTCCTCAAAAAAAAAATGGTAAGACCCCCATCCTTACATATCATTTTGGAACTGCATTATAAAGAACGAATTTCATTTGCATTTATAACTTTTCAAACCCTGAATTTAACTCCTCAAAAAGCGTGAGCAATTTCAGAACCGAAATCTAAATGATATTTTATACGCATCTTATCAGCACTAAATCATTGCAAAAATGGACTAATATTTCTTTTGAACATGAGAACGAACCGCTGCATTGTGTGCATAATGCTGAACATTAAGGGGCATGGATTAAATAAATAAAAAACCCTAATCATGTTCAGATTAAACTTCACTGCTTACGAAGGCGGGTTTCTAAAAAAAAAAAGAATTTAATAAAATCACTTTTAACAGACATCTTCTCTCATGCATGAATGCTAAGTAACCAAAGCAGAGATTGCATCCGATCTTTAAATAAATCCTAAAATACCTTTCTTCTTCCCCTTCCGAATACACACACAATATCACAATTGAACATTATTTTGTATTTAATGTTTTCATAATGTTTTGTTTTCTCTTGTAGCTATGTTAGCCTACCCGACTCAACTTATCAAGTATTCAAGTATGGAAAATTCATTCTAGAACTATTCTACCTGTCGAAGCTTTTACGGAAGACAAAATATACACAAAAAGCGAAGAGAAAGTATTGAGGAGGTAATGGAAGAGAATTCCATTTCAACAGCTCCTGTGTCGTCCTATTTCAATTCACCTTTTCAAAGAAAATATTTCTTCGAATAATTCATGAAGAATGTTAAAAAGGTTCTTGATCAGTTTTCTGTATGAAGATATACTGCTGGTGATATTTTTGGTATTTGCCACGTTATAATATATACTTATCTCTCTTCCTCACTATTTTCGCCCACACGTTCGATAAAAACATGATAAATTGAGTCGAGGTAGAACCTTTGAATACGTAATATTGTAATGATGTTGGTATTCCAAAATTAATTGTTGTCATTTTCCAGCCCGTTTTGCTCAGATTAAAAAAAAGATATAATAATGCTCCTTTTACCTACAAATAACCTTTCAAAATCTAAAATAATTGTGAAATTTTTCATTTTCCATTAGGAGGTGATCCAAAAACTAAATATTGGCCCGAACTTTCACAATGAAAAAAATATTTATTAGTGCAGATTACACTGGTCTATTATTAAACTAAATATTTCAAAAAAATTATTAAAAATGTTGTACAAAAAATGGCAGAAATAAATAGTCGTTTGAACAATGAAATGGTGATATTAGTCAAGATTGACTGATTACCATATAACGCTCAACAACAACATAAACGAAACGGGCTGGAACGTTCACAGTACATACACTTTGCCGTATGTGGTGTAGAGCACAGTAGTTTTCTTTCCATATATTGTAACATTATCAAAATATCCTGTTGCAGTTTTGTGTGAATCTATATCAAAGAGTTTGCTTTTCAAAAGATAATTATTCACGGTAGTCATTATTTACCATTCCTACAATTTTCAGGGAATACTAAACAAACATAAACTCATCTTTGATTTAGTTATTATAAAGAGCAGAATCTGAACTGCCATGTCGATTAACCTTTATGTTCAACCGAGTATCTTTTAAGACCCACTGTGGATAGGGTTTAAATTGGTAGATTAAAAAATTCAGAAGAAAACTACATCATTATCTAAATCAGTCAAGTTCTGAAAGCAGACAAATATAGCTGTAGCTCACAATTTTCCAAATTTAGGAAGGGGTTTTGACGTGGGTATATCTAAAACGTATCAAACGAAAATTGACCGAAAGAGAGTCTAAACTATCACTTGCTGTTACCGTAACCATGGCAAACAATTCGTAAAGGATCCAACCACTAATTGATGAATTATATAAAATATGTTTTCAAACACGAATCTGTGGAAAAATTGTTCTAAAGTCCTCTCTTGTATATATATATATATAATACAAAGGAAAAGATCGATCTAATTCATACCGCAAAGATAACAGTCTATAAACAACACGTAGGCTTAAGTCGATGTAGGCATTAACGAACAGACGACAGTCTTTGGCTATATAGATGGTCGATATTTCACCAATTTCTCTCTTCCCGCCTTTACCCATTCCCGCCAACAGGAGCAACTGACCCGTCTGCTAGCCACCCTCTACAACACACAACCTCACTTTGTGCGTTGCATCATCCCCAACGAGAAGAAGGCCCCAGGTGTCATTGATGCCTTCCTCGTGCTCCATCAGCTCGCCTGTAATGGTGTGCTTGAAGGCATCCGTATCTGCCGAAAGGGATTCCCCAACAGACTGCCCTTCGGTGAATTCAAGCAGAGGTGGGTGATGCGAACCTGTCGGTACCAGTTCTAGTTAGGTAGAACCGGTTTCAACCAACTGATAATTCGTAGTGTGTGGACCCCTACAAAATAATATGCTGATAAGGGTATTATGTCCCACAAATAGAGATAAATACATGATACACGATTACAACTATTTCAAGAAAAAAAAAATCACTTCTGGGGGGTGTTTCACAAAGATCCTAAGTCGAACTTAACTCTAAGTTGGACATAAAAATTTTGAAGAGCCATTTGTAGCCTTAAATTAAAAATGTATTCAAAAGTGAAAATTAAAGTATTTCAGAATTTTTATAAATTCCACATCAAGAAAATGAAATTCCCTTGATAATAGAAAATTACGAATGATTTGAACCAACATTTTATGACTTTTAAAATAACTTTTTAAAAATATTTTCATAGATGCTAATGGCTTTCCATAATTGTTAAGTCCAACTTAGAGATAAGTTCAACTCAGGATCTTTGTGAAACATCCCCCTGGTAAATTCCCTACTGTATATCACATTTAAAATCATGCTCGGATTACGTGATACGTCAGTGTCGCGTTCGCACGTTTCAATTGGTGACGCATAAGGCTATCAGAATTGCCTTAGGTTAAGTTTATATTATGCGAGTTTTCTTCCTTTCTAATAACGATATCTAATCTTGACGGTTGCCATGGTTCTGGGTCACGTATCCACCCTACATTGGCGCGACATTAAGATATACCCAACGTTAGACTTGGGGAAACAACCAAGTGAGAATTTTTGTTTTCTTTGTCACAAAGTCAAGACTAATGATACAAATCATCCTTCCTCTATCCAGATATGCCATCCTTGCTCCCAGCGCCATCCCACAGGGATTCCTGGACAGTCGCAAGGCTTCTGACATGTTGCTTAAAGCTTTGCCTCTCGAGGAGAACGAATTCCGTATGGGACACACCAAGGTAACGGTCTTGCTTTGCTGCATGAACATCCTGCCACACAGTGGGGAGATTTCATGGACAAACTGTTAGAACACAGAAATAATTTGGATATTCTAATCTGTGGTTCCTATATACCATTTGTGTGATTCTGTCGGTGGATACAAAGTGTAACGCACACTGTGTCTTCCTGTGGAAAGACACTGTTGTACAAAAGCATTGTTTTTATAGTTAAAACTGAAAAAAGGGGCTAAGAATTATATTCCTTGGGCACACTCTTCGTGTGGGGCTGGCCAGGTCTGCAGGAATTAAAATTGTAATCGTCATTTAATTGTATCAAGAAGTATGAGGGACGTTTCGAAAGAAAGCATACTCAGAAAACCTTCCGAAATTTATTAGGCCAACAAAAAACAAAAACACCGCCACAGATGAGCACAAACTCCTCCTTCTTTGGCCATTTTTGTTCCTCATCTATTATTCATTTTGTTCCAAAGATCGCTCGCTGATATCACTCATTTGCAGTCTGAACCATTTAGTGCAAATCCTGTATGAAAGATGTTTACTGTCCGTTATCGAAAACCATTGTCAAAGATGTGCACATAACAGCCTCGATAAGTTCACTAGCCTCAGATATTTTAATTGTAGCCTCGACAAGCTCGGCATCCTCTGAACTCAAACAACAAACTCCTCTTTCTTGCACCACACATACAGGTATTCTTCCGCGCTGGTGTCCTGGGTAAGCTTGAAGAGTGGCGTGACGATCGTCTGGCCGAGATCATCTCCATGATCCAGGCTCAGATCCGTGGTTACCTCGGACGTATCGAGTTCAAGAAGATGCTCGACCAGAAGCTCGGTCTGGGTGTCATCCAGCGTAACCTCCGCAAGTACCTCATCCTCAGGAACTGGGGTTGGTGGAGACTGTACACCAAGGTAAGACCCTTCTGTCAGAATGCTCTACAGTATTCTCGTTCAACTGTATTTGGACATCTGGGCCCTGTCTCATAAAACTTGATATCAATAACAAGTTACAAGCTACTGTTATAAGCTACTGAAATCATGGCATCTGATTGGCTGAGAGCAAATTTGTCATAGAAATTTAGCATTTGTTATAGATAACAGGTTTTATGAAACGGGCCCCTGAAAGGAATAGTGATGACAAATAAGGGAGGGGCATTGATCACACTTCAGAATGGGGGAATCAAACTCATTAATCTGAAGCATATTATGCATAGACAAAACATCTTATGTTCTTAAATCATCAACTCTCTAAGCCCATTCTACACAGAATCCATAACCGTTATAATTTACTTAATGTTGATACCGTAGTTCCTTTCCGGAAATGACGGAAAACACGAGTATATATTGCTAGGGCCTGGCTATCTTGTGACACCCCGCCCCTTCACTATATCTGTCAGCGAACCTGAAATCATCTGCAATGGTTTTCAATTCTAAACCTACGTCAGCAAGTTGAACAAAGTAGGGCTGTTTTGTTTAAAGGTAAAGACCAGTTATGGTCATGCGATTGCATTGTGAAAGAAACGTTGTGGAATCGATCAGAAAAGGTTGATCATCTAGCATCTAGCATCTGCAAGGTTCTGGAATCATCAAAATGATAAGAAATTTGGCCCATTCTTCGTAAAGTTACAAGCACTATACACAGAAAGAGGTATATGGGACTACCCTATATCTCTCACAGACCATGAGAGAAATAAATTTACCAAATATATGAATTAGTAGGCGGTTTCCCGGCAAATTTTTTATCATCATGTGTTAGTCAAAACATATTCTTTCACATGATTGGTAATGAGAGCTTCTATTTCATTTTTTGAAATTGGGGCGTTTCCAATACTGGTCTTTACCTTTAAGTTGAAATAATCGGTTGACTAGCCTAGAAACCCGATCTCCGGTTTACCAGAGTCTAATTAAACCGGAGTTCAGAATACGGGTCAATGTCTAAGAGGTCTGCACTCCATGTGAAGCCAAACCTATTTACTAATGTCAGCCAAGGGAAACACTGAAAGTTGCCACTTTAGACAGGTGGTCTTTTAGTATTAGACGGGTTCTTCAACACAATACATATATGGTTGTATGAAGTGAATTTGACGAACATGCAGCAATAAACAATTAAATAAATCCCACCATTTAGTCCATTTCAAGGTCCACAAATTGTTCTCTTAAAATATGGCAACCACTGTCCCAAACGCGGCCTAGCGACGCTAGTGGTGACGACAATTCGCATGGTTGTCTTGATACAGGTAAAGCCTCTGCTGAACGTTGCCCGTGCCGAGGATGAGATGAAGGCCAAGGACGACGTCATCAAGAAGGCCAAGGAGCTGCTCAAGAAGGAGGGAGATGCAAGGAAGGCCATGGAGGAGAAGAACGCCGACCTACTCAAGGAGAAGGCCGATCTCCTTGCTCAGCTCAACTCCGTGAGTATATCCTTAACATACTCCAGGAATTGGCAACCTATGTTTTAGAACGGTCACATCGACGAGACCGACACCAAAGCGACAACAGACCGAACAACAATTACATTGACTAGAATGGTCAAGAATCGGTCGTTTTGGAGTCGGGTTGGCGGTGTCACTGGTCCCCGTCACACCAACGAGACCGTAAACCAGACAGACAGCAGTCCGAATGATAATTACATTACCATGGACGGATAAAGAACGGTTCGGTCAGTAGTCGGGTTTGGAATCGGTTGGCGGTGTGACTAATACACCGTTCATACCAATGTGACCGACACCAGACCAACAACTGGGGGGCATTTCACAAAACTTATCATCAGTGATAAATGACAGTGTTCGTTATAAGCTACTGACATCCTTGCTTCTGGTTGGTTATCAGCAGATTTGTCACTGATTTTTGTCATTTGTCATTGAAAAAAGGCTTTGTGAAACGCCCCCAGATCGAACAAAAAATGTCACTGCATGTACCTCGAATTGCGAGGCCAAGAATTTTTATTTTCTCAGTGATGATGCATTTGTTTTCCTATTTTTTAATTGTCATGAATATATAACCATTAGAATTTTCTGCATCATTCTTGGAAAGATTGATACAACGCTGCTTTCCCAACTTTCTGTGTGAAGCAGATGACGGTTCTTAGAATAGTAAATGAAGAGTTTAAATTTGAATATGATTAACATTTTTACGACCTGTACGCCCATTATCATAATCTTATTCCTGTCCTGTTTTTGGGAGGTCTTCTGCATTGCGATTGCGCTTTCTGGTTGTAATTGGTTGCATTAATTTTTATCAATGAGACGCTCAACTGACGTTGAAACGTTTGGTTAAAATGGTGTAGTGCGTGTTGAATGATAATATATGATATCCAGTTTTGATCCGTGTTTCCTTAAGATATGTTGATAAAATTGTACCGTCTTCAATATGCGTAGGAGGCTACAACATAATATGCCCACATCATACAATAATAGTAATCAGAAATTACGCAGAAGTGCGTTTAGTTATGGATATATTTAGATTGGTACATGAATAATTTACATGAAATTCTTTTTCTTCTCTTCTTTCCTCTTTGTATGTTAACCTCTTGTAGAAAGTAAAGTGGTGGTTTTTGAAATTTCAGTGAAACATATTTCGTGCAAGTGTTATGTCCCTGAGTGTTTGCTTTCGTTACGAATAGTTTAGACAATTGTGTACGTGAGTCCCCTCTTTAAGAGGGCATTTAACATATTTGAAAATAGACTGAGCGTTGTCCTGGGGAATGGTTCTATGAAGCGACACAATTCTACAAGTCTGAAATTATTTTGAAAGTGCTAATCTTCTAGATAAAAACATCAGGAAACAGCTATAAAAATAAATTACCCAACATTTCAAATGAACAAATTAATTTCGATTGAATTCTATTTGAGTTTGCTGTTTTTTCTTGGAGCTTCGAGAAGTTGGAATGTTCTGTCTGGAATTGTGTCGTTTTTTAATCAAAAGCTCCTCAAATGTTCCTCCGTCTAGGAGTTGATGTTTTCTTTAAGAAATATTCGGTAAGAAGTTGCCCAAACAACCTTCTGTTTAATACTGATTACATTTCTTTCGTGAGACCCAAATTCGTTATTGATTAGATAGATTTTCAATATTAACACTCTGTAAGAGGGTAAGTATAGCAGTCATATCGTATGTGGTAATAAGTGGCTATACGAAAGTGGTTTTGTTTCGGAACCAACTAACACTGAAGAAGGCTCCGAACATTTTCGTAAGAGAGAAGCGCATCTCTCTTTTAAATGTACATTTCATATCAAGATGCCTTTGAATCTATTAACGGCAGTTTCGATTTTATTGTTATCATACGATGACATTTTGTGGAATGGTGAAACTTTTTGTGGTACGATGTTAAATGAACTGGAACCTATCTAACAACTTTGTCCACCTTCAAAAGGTTCCAGACATAATTAAAGAGAGAAGTGTATCTCTCTTTTAAATGTTTAATTGATATCAAGATGCTTTTGCATCTATTAGCAGCCGTTTCGATTTTATTGTTATCATACGATGACATTTTGTGGAATGGTGAAACTTTTTGTGGTACGATGTTAAATGAACTGGAACCTATCTAACAACTTTGTCCACCTTCAAAAGGTTCCAGACATAATTAAAGAGAGAAGTGTATCTCTCTTTTAAATGTTTTATTGATATCAAGATGCTTTTGCATCTATTAACAGCCGTTTTGATTTTATTGTTATCATATGATGACATTTTGTGGAATGGTGAAACTTTTTGTGGTACGATGTTAAATGAAGTGGAACCTATCTAACATCTTTGTCTACCTTCAAAAGGTTCCATTCATAATTAAAGAGAATTGTTGCTCTCTTTTGAATGTTTGGTACCCGTAAATTATCGGTGGGCAATAAAACAGAATGTCAAGTGATAATGTTTCCAAAGTTGTCAACATTCCGCTAACTTGGGCCCCGTTTCACAAAACTTGTCATCAGTGACACATGACAGTTTGTGTTATAAGCTAGTGAAATCCTTGCTTCTGATTGGTTATCAGCAGATTTGTCACTGATATTTGTCATTTGTCATTGAACACAGGCTTTGTGAAACAGGTCCCTCTTTTCGATGTATGAATAAATGTAGGTTGATACATGTCAAAATGAATGTCACAGGTCTGAATTACTTCTTTGGCATGCTCGGCGAGATACACACATGGTAAACGCAGTAGTCATAAGCCTGTAGGAAAGTATATCGTCTTACCTCGTTTTACACATGTTAAACTTCATCTTTAAATTGAGTACATGTCGACATAGTTTTAAAACTAAGAAATATACGTACATGCAGTGGGTGACCTTCTCCATACATTTCGCCGATGTTCTGACACACACGAAGAAAAAAACTATCCATCAAGAATTTGAAAATATGATTTTAATTTTTTTTTATTAGAGACATTTTGTATACCAATATAAATATGCCAAGGTGAACCTTGAAAGGTAGTGCTTTAAAATATAGTACCACTCCGATATTCTGTTGCGTTTGGATGTCTATTCCACCAATTTAATCTCCAACAGAAAATATAGAAACCATGGGTCAGATGATTTTTCTTTCAAAAGTGTGTGATATTTTCCTTCCTGAAATTATTCAATTTTAAATGGTAGAAGAACGAAACTTTGCCGTTGATATTATCACCGGTGAGACAAAAAAGGAAGCAGTACTTGTTCAAAATTGTATGCTATTTTTTGTTGTTGTTGAAAATTTGTGAAAATTCGATGAACTAGACCCCGGTATAAAGATTTAAAGGTATTGAAGACATAATTTCTTGATTTCCCAACCCGACAGCAAAAACCGACATTGATCGAATCATCGGTAGAAAATTAGAAAGAATGACTTATTAAAACAAAAATTCATTCTTGCCATTTGCTTGATTTTGCAGGAGGCTGAATCTTCCGCTGAGATCGAAGAGAAGTTCACCAAGATGATGTCACTTAAAGCCGATCTCCAGACTCAGCTAACAGTAAGTCATTCAGCATCAGGGGCGGTTCCGGGAGAATATATATATATATTTTTTTTTTGGGGGGGGGGGGTGGGGGAACGGGGCTTGGGGAGTCTTGCAATCATTTGCAACAATTACCTTAATTAAATTCATCGATATTCTTGTTTTGGAGGATATAAGCTAAATGGTCAACAAACTCACCCTTTGCTGTGTTGTTGTCGTTGTAGTTTTCTGATACAAACTGATCTAAAGTTCGGGGTATAGAGGGCTCTTAGAGAGTAGACCCCTTGCAAGAGCTCATTTTGAGTTATAGAATACGATAAGTTCTGTCACGTTCTTGGAAGATATTGCTACGTTTGTAATGTTTTAATAATAACATTTTACCAATATTTCATGATTGTCGAACGACGGAGAAGTATATGCCCTTTCAACGATTACTAGTACCCGACAGTCATAGACTCGATTGTATTATCGTCTCAGTGTTAAGCGAGGAATTCTATTATTATGGAAAAAAAAATTAACTTATATACTATTCTGGACAAGCATACTTGGATTAAGAATTCTGACTCAGTCGAATTATTACATTACTTAGTGTACTCTCCTTTTTCGCCTTATGTATTAATGGTTTAATATTGATTTTACGTATCTTCCTTTGTATTTTGGTTCTTCACATCTTGTTTCCCTACATTTATTACCTCTTCACCCCTTTTATTTACTGTAATTCTTCTGTTCTTTTTCTTCTTTTCGGTCTGTCCCTTTAATTTCTTCCTCACTACCTTTCTAACTTTTATTCAACTCTACTATTCTTTCATTGGTTTCACTCTTCTATTGTTTCTCAATCATTTCTTCCCTGGTATTCATCATCACCACTCCCAACTCTCCTTTGTGATGTCGTCCCTCCCCTCTGTTATTTCCATCTCAAATATCCTCCAATGTGCCATCCAACAATAACAGGATCTGCAAGACCGTCTTGAGGAGGAAGAGGACGCTGGAGCCAGCGCCAGTGCCGCCAGGCGCAAGCTCGAGCAGGAATCCAGTGAACTCAAGCGTGACATCGAAGATCTCGAGATATCTCTCACTAAGGTACTGCGACGATAACCCATTCGAAAGAGTTTTCACGGTGACGCGTTCCTTAATCACCATACCAGCGTCAAATTGATCAGTGTTGATGAGGTGCCAGAACGTCCTTTTGGTACACCGTTGTCATATACTCACAGCTATCAATGTGAAAGACACCGCATTGATCATATTGACACTGGTACTGGTATAACTAAGGTCCGCTAAAATGTGCAAGGTCTTTCAAGGGCTCGTTCCCACATTGGAAGTGGTATCCGCAAGGGGCACTTGTTGCAACCATACACAGAAGCTAAACGTGCATTTACAATCAGCTAAGAACATGGAGTTGCAATTGGTGTGCCTTGCTGACACCATCGTGGAAGCGAGTCAAACCCTAAGGGATTATGTTGAACGAATGGCATCTTTCCAAACCATTTTATATTGACACGAGCTATTACACCATCACACAGTCTGTATATTTGTACATGCTCTAACGATATTTTCATTTGTTGGAGCAATTTGTGACAAAATTGAGTTATTACGCCATTAACCAAAAGGCAAAAAAGCAACCCGAACTATATTGACGGGAGAGCTGTCTTTATGAAATAAAGATGCATCGGAATTTGTCTGTGCCTTATCGTTCAACACTCCCTTTGTTTACCAGTGTGTGTGCTAGCATCGGATGTAGCAGATCGTTGAGCATTATAAAACAAACTTTTGTGACACCAAACGCTTTTGATCCTGTGAAAAATAATACAAAAAGATTATATATATGCCAATGGTAATGTTGCATCCGTTGTTTGTCTTTTAACAGTTTTTGTGAAGTGTCTTATTCATTAATAACAGTGTGCAGTCATGCCATCTTCGGCTTAATCATTCTCCACTTTAAAAAAAAATGCATGATTTTTCATAACATGAAATATCTCCACAAAAAAAAAATCTCAAAATAGTCAACCGACATAACTTAAAAGGCTTTGCTGATTTCTTATCTCTTTTTGTTTTCTAATTTTCTAACAACATTTTGCCTGACATCTTTGAATCATTTTCATCAGTACAACGATTAAAACTCTTTTTTCATATCTTGCAGTGTTGCATGACTGATTGCCATATAAATTATATGAAAACAATTGACATCTATTATTTTCATAAGCAATTTTATAAAAAAATAAAACCCTATAAATGAGTATGATTTATTTTTTAATTAGTGCAAAAGCTATTGCTTTTTTATTTGGAAATCTTAATGAGATATTATTACCAACCTCATTCAAATTTACATAGCCCAATTTTTTAATAAATCTTGATTTTCTTAGTGTAGATGCTTTTAATGACAACTGAAATGAAATAAACTCTTTAAATAAACACAACATCACATCATAAGATATTTAATGCTTAGGACAGACAGGTTTAGTCTCACCTCTTCCCCAAATTTCAAAATTCTATGAAAACGTACTTATATAGCACTAGGAAATAAGGAGGGTCTAAACTTGACATGATCTGCACATTATACTTCACTTGAATTGTTAGCTACTGGTCTACTTCATTGTCATCTGTGGGTTACAGTTGCAGTGCCGTAGTTTGAATTTCTCAACCATGCTTTACATTCATTCGCTTTTTATCATCTCTCGCATCAAACAGTGACGTGCGATGGAAATGTTTATCATGCGTCAATCCATGCCTTATATCTTTTTAAACTTTAGCTCCATCACAATCGAACGTGAAACATTCAGGAGCTTAAATTATAAGAAGATACCCCCATTTCATTTTTTTTAAATGTAGTAATAAAATCTGATAGTGCCATGCTTGACATTCCAAGACGATGCCTAAACGGTTATGAGCATAGGCGGAAAAAAAAGGAATCCGAACCGACTTCGGATCGGCTTCGAATAGGACGCACCAATTTAGTAAACGGATGATGAATATCCATTTTAATAGTCGCTAAGATAGGAAAAATATTAGGATTTGTCCCCACGGCCTGTTAAATAGAGTACAGTGACACTAAATCATAAGAGAGTCGAAATGAAAATGAGGTTAATAATGTTTGTAAAACTCTCAAAAATGCTATAATCTTATTTTTGAAAGAGGAATGTTAGGTTGCCAATAAACATTACTAACCGTGTGTTTATAGAGAGAGAGAACCGTGTTAATAATGGCTACATCCCTCCAATGATTTTGCGTTGAATTAAACTTAATCGAAATCGTTGCCCTCAAAGATAGCGTACTAACTTTAATACCGGTTTATAATTAACCCGTGTGTTTAATTTTGGTTGAAACCCGATACTTTCTTTAAATCGTGCATGCCGTTGTTTAAAATAAAGATTTTAATCCCAGTGTAACCGCCTATTCTATCCCTTTGGTGTTATGATTTATTTTATTTCTTATATCACGATCGAAATTATTTTCCATACAGTGAATCGAGAGTTATTATTGTTGAATCAAACAAGTGACTAGTTTTTGGTGAATTCAATATAAAATGTTTAAAATGAAATATCGATAGTTATTGAGGCCGTCAACTCATGCCCTTTAGTCAACCGAGACAATTTAAGAATACCGAATAAATAGCAGCGCACTTGTGAACCATGACAAACAAGTTGCGATTTTGCTGTCGGATTTCAATCAATACCTATACCGGTCAATCTCAACCGCGCTCTCGGACCGAGCGATCGTTGAAAATCGAAAAGAAAAACAAATCGGCATGATAACATCGGCCTCAGAGCTTTATGATCATAGCGCCCAATTGCTTCTACTTCGCTTCCATTAGTCCGAAGAGGAAAAGAAGCAGAAGGACGCTGCGATTAGGAGCCTGAACGACGACATCGCCGCCCAAGACGAGGTCATCGGCAAGCTGTCCAAGGAGAAGGCCAACCTGGAAGAGGAGCACAACAAGACCCTGGACGCCCTGGCCCAAGAGGAAGAGAAGGCAAACCATCTCTCCAAGGTCAAGGCCAAGCTGGAAGCTTCAGTCGATGAGGTATGTATGCCCCTCCCCCGTTTTTTTTTGTTGTTGAGTGGGGGCGGTTCTCCACTTACAACTTACCTACCACTCACATACATCTGAAAATATACCAGCATAATCTGAACCGAATCTAAAGCAAAACTAGCATTCATTTCAGAAGATATAATTGATTGTGCTGAAATGAGTTTGTTCAATTTCTAGCTTTAAATGTTGAGTCGTTTTAAATATTTATGCAGAAAGCATCTCTCATTTAGAAGACTTTAGTTCCAACAGATAATCGTCTTTCACAGAATAGGAAGGAGACATCGCTACTGCATAGAGAAAATGAAAGTACATACGTATTCCATATATTCCTACATATATGATGGAGAATTCCACAATGATATCATATTTGTTATATAATTAAATCAAATGCATCACTCTCTTTCAAAAAAATATTTAAAAAATATTTCACGAGTCCCTTTTTATCAGGTAAATAAACTCACTCCATTTCATAGTATACTAAACGCCCACAATCCATTGCGTAATGAGGAAGTCCAGGGGCCCGTTTCATAAAACTTTTTATCTATAACAAATGCTAAATTTATACGACAAATTTGCTCTCAGCCAATCACATGCCATGATTTCAGTAGCTTATAACGGTAGCTTGTAACTTGTTATGGATATCAAGTTTTAAGAAATGGGGTCCTGGTTTAGTTCAATGTATCAAGCGAATGTCGTATTTTGTTCTTTTCAGCTTGAAGACGGCCTCGAGCACGAGAAGAAGATCCGTGCTGATGTCGAGAAGGTCAAGAGGAAGCTCGAGGGCGACCTCAAGATGACCCAGGAGACGGTAGAGGAACTGGAGCACGCCAAACGCGAGGCTGAGGAATCCATCAAGAAGTAAGTGAACCAGCACTTCACCCAATGTGGTAGCTAGTGAGGTGGTGGTGAATGTGGTAGTAGTGGTGCTGGTGGGGTGTACTATTGATGATAGTGGTTTTTATGTTGCTCGTTCGTTCGTCCGTGTAGTAAAGAATGCAGAAATAGAGATGTAGATTACTGTAGCACAATAGATCACAGTAGATCACTGATTTGGTTGGAATTTGATTTGGCTTTCAGAACGTTGCTCTAGTCGTGCCAGTCACGTAAAATAGTTACTTCGACCCCAGATTATGTTCATATTGCATCCGTGGCAATGACAATGGTTGTTGTCTTTTGTTGAATATATGGTGGCGATAATGGTGATGATAAAGATATGGTGAACACAATGCCGGTGCTATCTTTACACATCGTGTTTGATAAATACGTGGTGTGGTAGCGGTGATGGGTCTGATGATGTAGCAGTCTAGGATTCCTGCCGGGAAAAAGACACCGATGGCTTTCTTTCCAAAGATAATTACGACCATGGTATTGATGTTAGAATTAAGCCATTTGGTTCCAAAGCATTCCTAAGGTTTATCTGACCTAAAAGCACCCAAGATTTGCTAATGCAATATGACCACTCAGAGAGGGTGATTATTGAAAGGAATCGTCACCAGGCAGTATGAGAATGAAGTATCCATGGATTTTAATTCATTATGTAACTTGTGCTTATCGGACAGTTAGAACTTGGGGGAGGTAAAAATATTCGATTCGTGCCACTGGATCGCCCTAATGAGGAAGTGAATAAATTTCCGGTATTTAAACCTAACATATTTTCTGAATGTCACAATGTTACGCGAATTATTTAGGCACATTTTCATGAGTTGTCCAGTCCGTAACATTTCAACGGCTTTCCTGTATTATTTTACTTGATTTCTCAAAACATATCAACAGGATATCTATCATTTGGAACAACTGGGTTAAGTGTTTCATCTACTGATTAACACAAAGGAAGTGCCGATGTGTAATCCATTCAGAAAATGAAAGATTTGATATGACCAGTATGATTGCCGTCTCCTTTACACCATACTAAACGCAATTTGTTTTTACCTGCAGGCGTGACTTCGAGGTGTCTCAACTCAACACTCGCCTTGAGGACGAGCAGAGCCTGGTGGCACAGCTCCAGCGCAAGATCAAAGAACTCCAGGTAAGTGCCATGTTACATATGCAACATCGCTATGCAACATCGAAGTGCCACATTGAAACATCCCTTTGCAACATCATTGTGCTGTATGAGATGGCGTATCTTTTTAGCAATAAATCATGAATTACGGCAAAATTACTATAGTCCGGATTAAGGCCCATGTCGATACATTTTTCGGCATTGATGAGTTTGTGTCTGGCATACTAAAGTCTCAGACGCACATTGTTCCGGTCAATTTTAAAATAGAATGGTATGAAACGAAAATATTACTTCCATTTTTTGTTCATTCATGATCTGGAAGTGTAACTGAAATGGCATATTTCAGCTTTGGAAAAAAATATGAAAGAGAATGAACAATGATGTTTCAATCGTGGCACTAATTAGTATGTAATGTTGAATTATGATGATGTCTACTAGTGTGTTCGTGTGATTGGTTATGAATACCAGATGAATCTAAAAGTTTAAATTCCTTTTCATCCAAATGTCTACAAAAGTTTAATTCACCGATTCTAGTTACGAAAGGTAGGTTTGATCATAAGATAAATAGAGAAGAGAGGTGTGATGAACAGTTGATATGAGCGAAGTGTGGTAGGATAAATTCTCTATAATCTTTTGGCGATGTATGAATTTCTTAACATTGATCGATCACTGATAAAGGTGCCCTTTAAAGGGGCAGTGATTTACTTCTTCTTCCTTTAAAAAAATGTAATCTTTAGGTAGATATGACTTTTGACGTAAAAGTAAATGAGAGTGAAACAAACTTGAATGTGTTGATGGTTGATGTGATATGAATGGAGCACGCAGCATATTTCAAAATTGAAAACGTAGAAGAGTTTTATTCTCTGACTGAAATATTCAATAAGATGTATCGTCTTGAATATCCATGGTACGTCCATTATATTTTGTCAAAAACATTACAAACACTATTTAAAAATAGTGCTATACAACGATAGATGTATTGATTTGACAGCTATTGTAGGGCGATGACCTGCACAAATATTACATACATTTTAGACCGGAGTCTCCTTATTCCGTTGAAATTGGTAACGTATGGGACAAATCATGAAAACACATTTAACTTGCTCTCATTCCTTTATTTCTGGAGGGGGCATCATGCTTGAGAAAACAGCGCCATTTTAACTTAATGTCACTTCATCCACACCCAGCCAAATTCAATTTCCGTGAGCTAATCATTGCGTAGGGGGTAACAATTTCGCGCGCAGACGGTCTGAAACATGAAACAAAACCAGACCAGACTAAAACTATGCCAGGAATGCTACAAATTATTTACCTGGGATTCGGTTTCTTTTGAAGCCCCGTAATGTACCCGGCATGTGCGTGTCAGGTGTGGATGTCAAACACATTGTTACAACTATTTTCAAAGCCGTAAATTAAAGCATGTTGCGCCGGCCATGTTTCAATTTTCGGGCTTGTGTAACATGGCCGCTGTCAAGTTTGTTACGTGCCATAGTGCAGGGGAACCCATGACGTCACCGTTTACCTTGAAGAGCCATTGGGACGTCTTTAAATGCAGTACCCATTACAGAAAATGGCAAACTGCTAGGATATCCATACTCGGGGAACGTATAAGGTTTTCTCCTGCGAATTTGTTATGTATGCATGTTACATACATATCAATACAATTTTGAAAGGTAGTCTGTGAACCTTTGCCCTAGCTAATGTGCTATTCTTTCGGGATGCTACACCTCTGGCTGAACTCTACTCCCTCTACAAGGTCCTGTCAATGTGTTAATGGAGAACGAGATGGAACCAATTCACAAAAAGTACAATGAATGCTATTGAAGAAAATAACGTATGATCACGTTCAGTGATCAGATGGGTCAAATGCTTCCACCCAAAGGCCTGGCACCCTTTCAAAATTATACCAATATACAGATGTCAAAGTAACTCCACGAGATTAAATTGACCAAAGATACCCGCCCTCCGTCGGTATGAAACGAGATGAATTACACTTGTCTAGGCTTCCCTTGATGAATAAACAAACGGGATAAAACAAAATATAGATACATTTCTGTATGCATTAGCCAGGTATCTTTTGCTGGCAGTAGCATCGGCATGCATGGTTGAAAAAGCTAGGGGACACTCTTGCCAATCGCTCAGCGCTTCACAATGGAATTCGAGCGGTTAATTGCTGCCAATTGGCGCTGGCAAAAAGAAAGGGGTACTCACCAGGGAGCTTTCAAAATTCCCTGCATAGCATTGTTAGTAAGTTATCTGCTGCACCCATCATCATTATCAAGGCAGCAGTACTGGTAGTGGTGAAGAACCTTTACCAGGCTATGCTGATGCAACTGCAACAGACAGGCTTATCGTTTGGCAATGGACTCATTACTCAACACATGCACTTAGACTTGGGTACCCAGACGGGGATTAGGGTATGCATTGCAGTCAGCTTGAATGAGTGTACGGGAGAAATGTTAGACCACCCTTTGAAACAGCTGGCTCATGTTTCTAGCATTCCGACATGCTTCCCGACAAGCGATATGTTTTCGAGATTGTTTCGTCCGGGCATACTTCCATATGTCTGTCAAGGACGCGCGTACGTGCATGCAGAGAACACATAGCCTCTCTGTGAATGTTGAACAAATGTGACATTGTTCTAAGGCATAAACCATGTTTTGAAGATCAGAAATTTGTCAGATGCTATTCATCATGCAGATATACAAAACAACATTGCTTCATAAGTATGTTGAAGTACATTGGCATCCTTCTAATCAATTGATCATTGGGTCAACATTTTGAACAAAAAGTTCGATTATATTACAATATTGCAGCTAGTAATTACGGTTTTTTTTCTTCAACTTATGGCGAATAGAGAACACTACTAACAGATTGGGTTGACTGCTAGTGCAATATCTGTGCCAATGCAAATTGCTGTCACAGATTGATAGAACCAAGTATCCAGAGTTCAAGTATCTTACAATAGTTTTTATTAATTGAAAAAATTCAGGGCGTTGCGGAAGACGTTCCTGGTATTAAACAAAAATTCTTTGACAACCTCAAAAAGGTTATTGCTATCTCATCTCAATATACTACCACGGAGCCCTTAAACCTTTACTACCGCGAAACAACGATTACTCTTTATGTAGACCACGAAGAAACACAATTTTGTATGTGTCGTCCTGTAGGCAGATAGTACTAACCATACAATTACTACGGTCTTATTCTAAACAGTGCAATCAAATGATTCACTAGCGTTAATGTTTGTAATAATGTACTCAATATTAAGAATATCTTATCAAACAACGAAAAGGCATTACAACTTTTAGATATGTAAAATGAAAAGCCCTTAAACTTTACTTGGTATCCTTAACTAAAACGTTAGAGAAGAATTGTGATTTGATATTGCAATTCCACTTGCAAAGCTAGTCATAGCAAAGGAATTAATGATATTACAAGCTGGCAGACAATGTAAAGAGCGACAGCCGCAAATGGCATGAGGATAACCTCAAGAGAATACCAAGCTGTCATATAAGAAATCGAATAATTGATGAGTCACAGGGCTCGGTATTCACGTAATGACAAGGGTGGTGTACACAGCTAGTACACGAAGGTCTGCATAGCATGGTGATACGTGTGGTAATTTTGGCGGCATCTGTGACTAGTTCGCGTTGTCCCACATGTAGTATTTCTTGCTGGATATGCGACAAGCATGTCCAGTGCTGCTAGCGTTATACCGGTAAAGAATTCACCACGTTTTCCCTTGAAATATGAAGTTCATAAAGGCATGTCCTCGTGCAATACAGATTCCGAAGCACTATACACACAAGGACCATATAGCAGTATAAACAGCATACGACCTTAATCAAAACATTAAGAAAGCGGCCGGGCGACAGGCGCACAGCCATGACATATTTACAAGCTTGGTAATCGGCCGCCAGTTCCCCTTTAAACATTCCAGAAATACCAGGCCCAGGGCCGCATCAAGTGATTGGGACATTCCCTGGTTGGTCTTTATCGGGAGAGGTATAATGATCTGGTTAACAGCTAATTTGCACCGCCCACATCGACCATCTAGATAAATCGTAATGCCAGATGAGCAAAACAAACGGGCATGCGGTAGGTTCATATCTAAGGCTGATGGTTATCACTGTAGGCATGCAATGGTATCTTCTTGTTTTAAGGAATTGAAAAACAAACCCGTTGATGTGAGATCGCATGATCTAAACCCCTCGCTCAAAAAGGCGTACACCATACTGAATAAACAGGGTAACGCTTATTGCAAGTACGAAGGTATACAAGAAAATGTGTTCATGTTGCCCATGTCACTCACCTCAATTGAAACAAAATATGTTTGCCACAATATTTTGGATGGGACATAACACAGCAATCACAATATTCGATAGCCTACATTATATATAAGCATACTTGAACAGTACTGCAATCTAGACAGCATTAGTGAATGGTTTGCACTATGTCAATATCTACCGTAGATAGCTATGGGGTGTGCATATCCAATGGTAAGTGAGACATTACCTCGGAGAATGCAGAGACCGGTATTTTGTCTCATGGGGAGAGAGTTTGTTTAAAGAGGTCACAATGTCAACAGGACGACAGGGTATAGGACAGGCAAAGCAATGGGAAACCAGAGTGGGGAATAGGAAATAGAGATATAGGATGATGCTAGGATCGGATGGGGGTATCTAATCCAAAAACGATAACATTTGGGTTGGTATTTGGGCTCAGTGGGAGCTGGGGAGGAGATGTTTATGGTGATACTATAGGGGCTTGTTGTTGATGTTAGGAGGGAATGATGATATAGGGTAATGTAGAACGTTTAGAGGGGAGTAGGAGAATGGGTGGGAGGGTATCTGGGTGTCTATGAATGGCCCTAATGAGAATGCGACATGGGATCCTCACCACGAAGGTGTCACAGATCGGCTAATGAATGGGAGACGTGATGTCACTTTGCATTATCAATATGGGGCATCCACATTTGGTTCGGAATGCCAAGTATTGCTCTAGGGTCACATTGGAGGGTATCAAAATCCACCCAGAAATTTGGGGTGCTATCGAATGTTGGGTTATGAACAGTACAGTGTTGGGTGATACGCCGTGTATGTTTTCATATACCGTATACCTGATATACTCACCACTCGACTATGATGCAAAATGGGCCGCGTGGTATGCACATATGGACCCTCCTAAGCAAGCCTCATATATAGCTATAGGGATGGGGGTGAATCGGGTCGGATTACCGGCATAGTGGTATGCACGATGCGTAGACAGATGGAAGAGGATCTACCAGCCAGTCGCATACCAATGCCAAATAAGCTCAGAGCTGGCATCACGCCTGCTGAGCCCTGATTGGCTGAGGCTCTCACAACTCATCACGATTGGATGATGACATCAGCAGGCCACAGTGGGCAGGCCAACGCATCCCAACCCATCATCCCTCAAGACACGGAATGTTAAAAGGCGTCTGTGCCTACCCATCAACGATCAGTACTTCCATAGTTGAGACAAGAGCAAGGCGGTCCTGTCTTTACTTCCCAACTACTCTTCACTATCAGTGCCATTGCCTTATCTGGAGATAGTAGCCACCACAGGGGAGCGTGCAATACAGCTGGAATATAATCGGAGCTTACACCTCGCATTGGTTAGATCCCTACTCACTTCATTCGAGTGGAAGCCTTCTTCGAGTGAGCATCAGCCTCTCTCTCTTTCTCTGATTAACTTGGATATAGCATACTACACACATCAGCAACCATGTCTAGCTATACTAGTAATGTTAGCAGCAGCAGCACCAAGGTGGTCCAGAGGAACATCACCGGTGGACATGTAACGGATTACAGCGCATCCACAGGCAGCAACATCAACTACAACAAATTGAGCGCCAAGTCCAGACAGCTCATCAGGCGTAGCTATGAGTTGGGTGACAGTGCAGCGGGCATGAGGAAACTCTATGAAGTAGGCATCTACCAAGTCTCTACATTTCTATTATTTGCATGATCATTGACAAGGTGTAATGGCTTGTGCATGCGGAAGGATGCAGGGTACACACACACTCTCTCACACTGAAAGGTGTAAAAGGTAGGACTAGTACTTACCGGACAGGAACAACTAAACCGAACGGGTAGCTAGACCTTAACTTTCTTTTGAATTATACATGCCTACATTCAATTAGTTCATTACCATGTTATATGCTTTTCGAAAGGAACAATTATTGGACGATACGAAAAGGTTCTTGAGAATACCTCTTAACGGAAAAGAACCGTAATAGAACTTTGTTAGATTACAGCAAGCATCTACTTGAATCGGAATCGTATATTAGATTGGGAAAGGAAAAGAAAAGCATAACGCAATACAATAGGCTTCTGAACATGTCCAAACCGAATAACTAAAGCATATATCTTGTAAGAATGGAATTGGCAACTATTGGGGAAGGGGCAGTATTCAAAATAGACCATTGAACCTTATAGCATGCAAAGATATATAAGCAAAAACTGTTTAATTTCCTACCTTACCAATGTATCGAACAAAAATGGGCTCACTGGCCGAATGAAAGTAGAATAGAATTGGTGTAGTAATCCATTGACATCTAGGAAGAATGTGAAAGGGAAATTTGAAACATTGAAAGATTAAAATGTGCTATTCAATATATTTCTGGATAATCTGCATGTATTGTAAAAGTGGTTAACTAACAGAGGAAACCAAATGAATTGAAAGTGAAGGACTAGAAACCCAAAACAGACTATGCATGGAAAAGGAAAGGAAGACGCGAAGAGAAAGTGAAAGCGATTGTAAGAATAGAATATGGGTTAAAAAATTATCTTGACTGGTAGGGAATAAAGGCAAAGAAAGAGACCCGAGCGATTAGACAATCAAGAACAGTGATTGGTAGAGGATTTTGACTGGAAGGACAAAAGTAGGACATAGGTGAAAAGTTTAAAAAAAAGGAGGGAGTATGTCCCCGAGTCGAGGAGGAAACGAAAGGGTCATAAAATGACTGGAAAATGGGGTCACTGGGTCACAGGACTTGTTATGACGAGGACAATAACTGAGTCACTTTAATTGGCAAATAAAGACCAGTTTACTCGACAAATAACGAGCGCGAATAGGAAAGGAGATGTCTGAGACGCGCATGCTAACTACTTCAACAAATCAATTGCAAGAGGGTGTAAATCCAAGCAACACAGCGCGACATTCCTCGGAATATAATGTTTGATAAAAGGAACAGAACCAGAGTAACGAGCAATTACTGACTTAATGACAAGCGAAATGTCATTGGACTCTAGATTGACGCATGAAGAATATATTCCACACGGAAGAAAGCAGTTGTGAAAAGTAAGACGGTTGAGCTATAGCATTCCATGTTTTCGAGTCGCACAAAGTAGGATCAATTTTTTGTTCTTGTTGGACCAAGTTTTACCAAAGATGGGTTGGACGCAGCAAAGTTATTCCTACCATTATGAGAGCCCGAAAACGATTGGTGGAAAGTTTAGTGGCGAACCAACAGTGCGCATGGATATAGCAACATTTCGAAGGCTAAAGGTAGAATTCCTCTTAATCAGGACGAGATACAATCTGCATAATTCAGAAAAGGAATTTAATGGACACTGCATATTGCAGAGATATTAAGTTTTGATACCTAATGTTACATCGAATCATTTGTAAAATTGTAATACAAGATTGGCAAATTGGCAACGCACAAAAGACATTTGTGGATATTTATATGGTGCAACCTTTTTTTCTCTGGATCTTACTTATTTCATCATGAGTGCAGGACTACATTACCATAATACCTACGAAAATAATGACTGGATCATATTGGATATACACTACGTCAAGCAAATCTTATATAGACCTTTGTTGTTTTATACATAAGAATTGCGAACGAAAGATTATGCTTGTGTTGTTTTAATACTGTCATCTTTATCATGTTACTGAAGAGATGCGGGAAATACTTTTATAGAGCCATACACATTTTTATTAATTTTAGTACATGGATACCATCACAGGGCTTGTGGATACATTCGTTTATAGGGGCTTGCCGTATTCTACGCAATCGCCAACGAAAGGGTGACGAAAAAGTCCTCTTGCCATAAAAGACGCTTAATGCAAAATTTGCAATAGAGTCATTTGATAAGTGTGTGGGGTGTGAATTGTGTGTGCGTGAATACGCTTTGATATTAATTTTTGTGGAAACATTGATTTCAATGCCCAAGCTTGTAATTTTCTTACTATTCTATTCTTGCCGTTTCCTCTTTCCACAATGGCATTCTTGCTCTTCCCTCTATACATCACTGTATTTCTCGTCTTCTCTCTCTCTCATTCAGGCCCGTATTGAAGAGCTAGAAGAGGAGTTGGAAGCAGAGAGACAGAATCGTGCCAAGGTAAGTCAGCAATTCAAATAAGATCTTGCATCTCATAAATTATAAAATGTGCTTCATTTTCTTTTAAATTGTAATATCGAATCTGAATAATTTTCAAATGATTTCTATTCTCAACTCAGTCAGTTCCTACAATTTCCATTAATAACTCAGTCGTAATTAGCCCTTCGAATAATTTGGCGAAAGGCGCAACGAGTTTTTCTATTTTTAAATCATATTTGGTAGGCGCATAAATATCATGAGACATTTATTATTGTCTACGAATAAATCTAGTTTCGCTTTTCCAAAGACATGCATAACTCTCTATCGCTTGTTGCAATATCTCACATTGTATTGCCCTTATTTGAGGGATGCATTGGACGCTATCGGATAGGGCGATGACGTTAAATGGGGGTTGGTGGAGGGGGGTGGTGTTGTCGCTTGTTGATTGGTATTCGGAATGGAATTCCACCTCTCGGCGGGAGACGACGGGTCACGGGAAGAATGTTTGATAAAGCAACACGCCATGGCAAGCAAGGCATAGAATCTTCGCGCCATGCATGAAGGGGAAGTCTTACCCTTCATGTTAATCATGTGCAAATTGAAAACATCTCAAGATGTTTACTGAAACCATAACTGAATTTTCTAAATGAAAGCGAATCACTACAAAAGAGTTGATTAGTATGGTTTAACAAGATATACGTTTTAGATAACAAGAATTGTAACGATATATACAGAATATATTTCTTAGGTAGTCTCTTTTTCCATAGAACCATCATGTTTAAACGGTTTTAATAAACGAATAGACATGTCGAATAAATGAGAAGAGAATAAGAAAGACGGTCATTTTAAGAAATGGGGGGGGGGGGGATATCTCTGAGAAGTTGAATAAATGGGAAGGGAAAAAAGATGGCGTCATTAATCACTAGAGGCTCAGCTGAAAACATGCCTGACATAGGGCTCATACCAGACATAACAATGTGTCGAGGATCTAGACGTCATCGGTCTTAAATCGGGTCTATTAACTCGCCTTGGGTCTGATCGTTGAAGGCGCGAATCTATTCTTAGCCGTACAGTATGTCGTATCACCGGCCCAGTCCTCACGCGAATACCACAGAGGTCAAATACATAGGTGGCAATAACAGAAGTGTGAAGGATATTCTTTGAGATAGTATGGGGTTCTTTTGTACTGAAACATCATTAGTATAGAGACAACTTATAATGATTATCACTGTAGGTCCCTTAAAGAAGAACATCCCGTGATTTGTAGGGAATAAACTATAATCAACTTAGATTTTGGCTGCATAGTCTTTGAAGGTCTACTGTTTTAAGGTGGATAATAATGTTGATACTAAATACTGCTTAAATTCTAGCAAAGATTAACCATTTTAGTTAAAGTAACCTCTTCCTGAAACTTGAACAAGTTTTTGTTCTCTTGCTTTTGTATGGATCTGTTGCAAATCATTTACCTTTGTTCTGTCCTCCCTTAGGCCGAGAAGCAGCGCGCAGATGTGACTCGCGAGCTCGAGGACCTTGGTGACCGTCTTGAGGAACAGGGAGGTGCCACCGCCGCTCAGATCGAGGTCAACAAGCGCCGCGAAGCCGAGCTGTCAAAACTCAAGCGTGAGATCGAAGACCAGATCGTCCAGCATGAGTCCGTCGCCTCACAGCTTCGCAAGAAGCACACCGACTCCGTCGCCGAACTCACCGAGAACCTTGAGAGCGTCAACCGCAACAAATCAAAGTGAGTTTTGGCCACTCCATCGTCCTCTTCACAATATCAAAACATATAGTGCACAAACATAATTTTGTTGATAATGGTACTGATACGATAACGATGTCTGATATATCACGAGGAACGGCTAACCATGGCACTCGGTCGAAATGAATCTTTACTTAAGTCAGTTAAATCATTTATTTAGATCAGTTAAGCTGCGAATAATATCCAAAATTAAACAAAACCAAACAACATAACAAGACTCAGTTTTTAGCTTTAAGTTTACTCCATTGCCTATTAAAGAATGGATCCTTTTACATGCATTCATTTTCACTATCATTCATATTTTTTTAACAACCATAGGATGGAGAAGGAACGCACACAGCTGAGGGTAGAGCTTGAGGATGTCAGCAGCAACATGGACTACATCACCAAGGCTAAGGTGAGCAGAACATCATATCAAACCCTTCGCCCACGTCATCAATTAAATTGCATTCCCGGAAATGTATATACACGCTATACATTAATACAAATAATAAACGAAAAGAACAGTTTAGCCCTTCTTGCAGAAAGCATCAACGTTTTAAGTAACTGAATCATTTATGAAATACTTATCCTGTTTGCAGATAGCATTTTAAAAGTAGGATTAAGCTGAAAACATCACCTTGGCTTTGACTGATTAACAAAATACAGGTGGATAAATGGAGAAAAAACAAATTAGACACATAGATATGAATAACATGAGGCCTTTGAGAACTTAGAGTAATCAATTTTCCATTCCTCTTTTACCTTCCAAAACCCCATTATACAGCTCAATGCCGAGAAGTCCTGCCACCAGCTCGAGTCCCAGCTCAGCGAGGCCAACGCAGCTCTTAACGAGCGCGACCGCGCCATCAACGACCTCCAGAACTCCAAATCACGCCTGGGAAGCGAGAACTCCGACCTGGCCCGCCAGCTTGAGGACCTCGAGAACCAGCTTTCTCAGCTCAACAAGACCCGTATGTCCCTCTCCATGCAGATGGAGGAATACAAGAGGAGCTCCGATGAGGAATCAAGGGTAAGACGCCAAGTCGAGCATAGATCAATTATTGTCTTCTAAGAATATATTGGTCATGGCAATTAGCATGATTGCATAAAGCTTTCTCCCTTCGTCTTGAGAAATCATAGTACAAATATAATTTTTGGTCTTGGCAATTAACATGATTGAATAAACGATTAACCTTTATCTTGAAATTCATTAAACAACTTGCTTATTGATCAAGACTGCAAAAAGGAACACCAAAAAAAAACGGAAAACGGAAAACTGACATACAAAAAGTTTATAATCACAAACTTCCCGATGGCTCAGGAGAAATTGTAATTATCAACTGTCTGATGTCACATTCTTTTCTGCAGGCCAAGAACTCCCTGGCCTCTCAGCTCAGGCAACTCCAGGCCGACAACGACCAGCTCCGTGACCAGGTCGAAGAAGAGTCCGAGGCCCGCGCCGAAGTCCAGCGCATCCTCACCAAGGTTAACGGCGAACTCAACCAGATGCGCGCCAAATTCGACGGTGAGGCCGTCCAGCGTGCTGAGGAGCTCGAAGAGGCCAAGTAAGATCATAATCCATTACATTAATGTGTGCCCTCGATTTCCTGAATCATTAATCGAAAGTGGTTATGCGGATTTAGTTCAAAGAATTACAGGATACACAAGGCAAATGCCGGAAGTTTATCACATAGAAAACGTTTATTCCAGGCTCCAAACCTGGTATAGTTACAGAGTGAAACGATTAACTAACGATTAAGCAGTACCTTTATAACTTGCTGTATAACCTCTGATTTAAATATCATGATTAAATAATAAGTTCTTTAAACCTCATACATCGTGTTGTTTTTTTTGTTCTGCAGGAGGAAACTGATGATCCGTCTTGCACAGGTCGAGGAAGAACTGTCCTCCGCCCTGTCCAAGAACGGCAGTCTTGAGAAGACCAAGGCCCGCTTGACTGGTGAGGTCGAAGACCTTCAGCTAGACCTTGAGAGGGTAAGTTTAAATTTTCAAACTATTTTTCCCCTGCGAAATCTTAGATATCATTCTTTAAATTTGGCTATATGCACTTCAGACAATTTGAACCGAATTAGATGAACAGTATTCCACCCAAAGATCATTTTAAATTTACTGACATGAACTTTGAATCATTAAAGATGTAAAAATAAAAAGTTTGTGTTGATACCGATGCCGTCACTAACCTTTCACTTGTCTTTGATCTTACACAGTCCAACCAGCTGTGCGCCACACTCGAGAAGAAGCAGCGCAACTTCGACAAGGACCTTGCCGTATGGAAGGAAAAGTGCGAGTCTCTGGCTGTCGAGCTTGACATGTCCCAGCGCGAGGCCCGTACATACAGCACCGAGCTCTTCAAGGTCAAGAACTCATACGAGGAAAGCCTTGAGGTCATCGTCAACGTCCGCCGTGACAACAAATCCCTTCAGGGTCAGTGTCGTTGCACTCAAATTATGTTTAAATCTCTAACACTTCAAAGATAACACATGGAGCTTATATTGCTTATCAGCACTCGCCTCGAGTGACAATTTTAATAGTTTTCCGATTTGAAAACATTCCTTGAACTCAAGTGTTGTTTCCGTAATATGAAGTTAGTGATACTGGCAGCGATATTAGACTTTATTCCCAGTAAGCAAATGGAATCATATATGACGTTTTCTAACATCGTATTAGTTCTCAGGTTCAAAACCACGGAATTACTCTGTTAACTGCTAAATCATCCCTCACTTGATGTTGACGAAGCTTATCTCATAGGTAGAACATCACTTTTAAACGTGCAAGGTTGGTTCTGATTTTCTTTTCCGATTCTTCAGATGAGATCCAGGACCTTACCGACCAGCTCGGAGAGGGTGGCAAGAACTGCCACGAGCTCCAGAAACTCGTCAAGCGTCTCGAACTCGAAAAGGATGAGCTCCGCGTCGCATTGGAGGAGGCCGAAGCCCACCTCGAAGCCGAGGAAGCCAAGGTCATCCGTGCTCAGCTTGAGATCACACAGGTCAAGCAGGAGTGCGATCGTCGCATCATTGAGAAGGATGAGGAATTCGAGATCACCCGGTAAGATTCCTGACAATTCTTGCTGGCCATAAAAGAGGTCACCAATCATTCGTGTTGCATCATCCACACAAGAAATTGAAAGAAATTGAAGAAATGGGAAAAATATATCCTTTGGGATTTTATATTGATGCCGAATTCTGAGATGGGTTTTCAATTGGTTTTAAAAGAAATTATTGATATACGGCAATTCAACCTATACTTAATCTCGTTGGACCTAACATGCCCGATTGTATCAGTGTTTTGGTATTCTGATATTTAACATCACAAGTTTGATGTCATTTCTATCTGATGTTTACGCTCATCTTATTTATCTGCCTTACAGCAAGAACCACGAACGCTCAATGGAATCCATGCAGGCTAGCCTTGAGGCTGAGCTTAAGGCCAAGAGCGATGCCCAGAGGCTAAAGAAGAAGCTCGAGGGCGAGGTCAACGACTTGGAAATCCAGCTCGACCATGCCAACAGGAACAGCGCCGAAGCCATCAAGACCATCAAGAAGCTCCAGATGCAGGTTAAGGAACTCCAAGCCACCGTTGACGAAGAGACCCGTGCCCGCGAGGACATGCGCGACCAGCTCCAGATCACCGAGCGCCGCAGCATGATGCTCATCCAGGAACTCGAGGAGGTCCGCTCCGCCCTCGAGACAACAGAGCGCCTTCGCAAACTGGCAGAGGGAGACCTCCAGGATGCCAATGACCGTCTGGCCGAAGTATCTGCACAGAACCACGTCCTGAGCAACCAACGCCGCAAGGCTGAGGCCGAGCTCCAGACCCTCACTGCCGAGCTTGAAGACGCCATCAACGAAGCACGCAACAACGACGACAACGCCAAGAAGGCCATTGCTGATGTGAGCCATCATTTTATTCCTGTTTCATTTAAATCAATAATATTTCGATAATATTTTCCATTGTGCCATTCTACATGATGATTATGATAACGATGCCTTCTTTGATAACGCTTGTATCCGTATTTGCTGGCTCATGGCGCTTCCTTTAAATAAATATTCCTTTCAGTAGGGTAATCAGCTCACATTTAATGACATCATCGTCACTTTCCTTTTCGAGGCTTTAGTGTCCAGTAACATGAAATCTCAGATCATTTTTTCCAAAAGAGATCACAATGAGCCAGCTCATATCAAAGTTTAGCGTTGTAGAAACCAATGTTGCGTCAAATCAGCTCATTTCATTCATCAAAAACAAAACCCGTCTCTTCTCTTCCACCACCCTAGGCCACCCGTCTTGCTGATGAGCTCCGCACCGAGCAAGAGCACTCCGTCCAGATCGAGAAGTTCCGCAAGTCTCTGGAAGTACAGATCAAGGACATGCAGGTCCGTCTCGATGAGGCTGAGGCTGCTGCACTCAAGGGAGGAAGGCGCACCATTGAGAAGCTCGAGGCCAGGGTGAGTAGCCTTTTTTTTTTTAGACCTCTTCGGTCTGCTCCTCTGTTCCACATCGCAGGGATAGTGTTAAAACGATCATGGATGTTAAATACGTTCAAATAACCAATATTTTATCAGTTCTGCTCCCTAAAGGACAGTTTTATATTGGAATACATTCTTGTAAAGAGGCTGATTTTCTCTGGTGGTTATCGTGGCGACCTTAATTCAAAACAGAATTAAAAAATCTCAAAAGGAAAGCATATTTATTTGGAACGAAGTACGGAGAATTGGAGATATTGGTTCGAACAAATGCAAATCTTTGACAGTACCTAAACCACAATAACGGCATCTGTACTGATGACCATCGGGTTGAACTGTAACATGAAAATATCCCCTTTTTTATTCTTGCAGCTTCGTGACCTCGAGGGAGAATTGGAAATGGAGGCACGCCGCCGCTCCGACGCCGAGAAGGCCGTCCGTCGCCAGGAACGTCGCGTCAAGGAAATCATCTTCCAGTCCGAGGAGGACCGCAAAATCACAGAACGCATCCAGGAATCATGCGACAAACTCACCATCAAATGCAAGACACTCAAGAGGCAACTAGAGGAGTCTGTAAGTCATTCCACATCTTATTAACACCTTCAAACTATTTTATGTGCAGTGTTTGATTGAAAAAATGTCATTCATCAGCAACGGCACAAATTGTAAAGATTATCTATTGCCATTGGATAATTTGTAGGTGTTCAACTACAATATTTTGTATTGGATGCCTTTAACTCCCAAATAGGCTTAGAAAACTGACCTGTATTAATGTTCAGTCGTTAAGGGTATACTGCCCTATAAAATCATGCAAACAGTTTTTTTTATTTGATGTCACAAAACAGTTTATACAGATACCTCACAAAGGTTTAATGTCTCAAATCCAAGCGATATCACTTTGCTTACAAACCTATTCCTTTCTTTTTGTCTCCACCCTACAGGAGGAGAACGTAAACCAGAACCTGGCCAAGTACCGCAACGCACAGCGCGACTTGGAAGACTACGAGGAGCGTGTAGAGCTTGCAGAGACACAGGTCAACAAGTACCGAGCCAAGCAACGCAGCCAAGTCACCACATCGACCCGCGTTTCCTCGGTACTGCTTGATTCAGATTTTTCAGATTTGGATGAGTTTCTGGGCCGCAATGCTGACTCTGATAGCGATGCTGAAGAGTTTTCTCTATCGGCCCCGACGTACTCCCATTAACACACCAACATATCCAGCCATTTTATCACGGTACTTGCGCATTTCTCGTTGAATGACGTTGCTTGGGCTTAAACCTAGTGGATAGACCTCTGAGCCGCCAGCCACAATGCAGGCGAGGACGAGTGCACTTCTTGTTTCTTTGAAAGAGTCAAATGGCAATGAAGGGTCAAGAGCATCCCCTTCTCTTTACCCATCATCACCCCTTCTCCTTCCAAAATATCCAACAGAGAACCATTAAACCGCCAACTTTAAACCTTTCACTAAAATAATTGGGGTCTCGGGGATGCCCTTAAACCGGCTTTGCCTTATGACCGATTTTGTCTTTCCTATTATTTTTTGGTTGCTGTTTGTTTTGCAAACCAACAAAAATTCCCTTTGTTCGTGGTCATAACTATCCTAATCCAGGGAAAAATAACCCACTTTGTAGCGGAAAATTAGACCCCTATCTCTATGCATTACTTCCGGAAATTTGTTGCTCATGATTCGTCTAGGTCAATTTTATAGAAGCCTGCCAAAGCAACTGCAAACAAGAAGTGCGTAATTGCCGATATATTTCACCTCATTTCATCTTTCATCATCTCTTTCATATGTTTCTATCCATCATTATTATCTGCCCCTTAATCTCCCCCCAATTAGAAGAAAATTTACTTTTTGTTTTATTTTTCTAATCCATAAACACATTCATTTTTATTCTACTATATCCCCCTACTATTGTATCTAATTGTTATTTAATAACGATGTGGATATTATTCAAATTTCTTTGGGAAATTACATGCTCTTGCAGTAAATAGCGTGAATTAAAACATCAATAACTCAAAGGCAACAACAATATAGTTTTGAACCCGTCTAATTGATTGGGATTCTGTTCTTCAAATTCATTTTCAAAAATCCCCATTAACATTAACATTTCTGTCGATATCTATTTTGCAGTCAGCTTATCTTTGTCTTTAATTGCTTTTGAGAAATAACCAACGTTATCTTGAGGTTTGGTGATATAATCTGACACAAATTTTTTTTCATTGACTTAAAATCAATTAGTCCTTTTCCACACCTCAATTAGTTATAAATAGGGTTTCAAGTGTTTTCATGTAGTGTGATTTTCTTGCCGTTCCCGTGTACTAGACTGATATTATGTAAGTATATAACATATCAGTGAAATATCATATCCACTATATAATCTCTCTCCATCCATCCCCTAGCCGTATCGCCTGCAGCTGGGTTCGACCTTCCCATCTTGAATTCGTCCCATTTTACCACCATTTCGTTTCATTCCAGGTTTGACTGCTGCCCACAATTGGGCAGCTCGTTGATTTTAATACGCACTTTGAAGATGACCAAGTTAGCGCTTCACGAGCTAATTCACATTTGGGCTCCGTTTCATACAACCTGTTATCAATAACAAGTTACAGTAACTGTTATAACCTACTAACATCATTACATGAGCAAATTTTGTTATTGGAATATGACAGTTGTTATTGATGATAAGTTTTGTGAACCAGGATCAGACCTACTTTTTTTATAATATATCGAGATTCACAGCAGCTTTCAAAAGCATTAAATGGCCACGATGATTAGATGAATTCTGATTCTTCACTCGAACATCGTTTTAATTCGCATTTAATGAATATCCAGTTTTGGCTTCAGTGCGTAAAACACATCACTCTGACCCTTTAGTACTTCACTATAATTAATGTTATATTAAACCTCACCCAGTATACGCCTTCAGTCACAATTATCTCACGATATTTATGATTTCACTACTTATATGTTGAGTTCACTATATACCCTATTAACTATACTCTCGCTTTTATTGTCATTTTCTCTGCCCACTTATATCTAACACTACAAGTTGCTTAATCATTTCTTTGTGACGTCAAGGTGCCTAGTTCAATATAGATCTTTTCACTGGTTGTTGGTTTCTCTCTATCGCTTAAGCCTCTAACTCTGGCACATGTTCATGTTTCTCTCCCACACAGAAATCATCAAAGTTCTCAAAGCAATAGAAGCCTACCGTTGTAGCCCAACTCTAGGTTCCACATGGTAAACATGGGATGCATCACGTGATCATCATCACCTGACCCACTGCTTGGCAGACCGGGTCGAAGTTCGTCTGCATATCTCTGATTTTCGCGCCACCTAAAGAATATCTGAAAAATTTGATGGTCTACTGGAGATGCCAATAGAAACTCTAGCGAGTACAGGCACTCCAGATTATCATACCAATAATTTTCGCTGATTTTCTAAAAATGTGATCAGAAAGGATTTCATTTCTTTAAAAGCACACAAGCTGAGTTGCCTTATCAGAGATATGCAGAAGTCATCGGGGTGAGCACAGAGATCTAGTGGAGGCCCTTGTTGCATCATCTCTAGCTACGTTTTTGACATGTGTACCTTTTCTCTCTCTTCTCGTTCCTTTTCATATACCAATCACCCGCACACCAATTCTGACAACACCTCTACCATTTGTATGCATTTATGCTTCTCATCTCTTCAACACCTGTGCATGTTTGCGAATTTGATTCGAAAAACCTCCAACTTTTCAAATCACAAACCAAACTGATCGATGATCATCCACCATACCATCATCTGCCACTCCAGTCGGGTTCTAAGAGCATTCGTAGCTCAGCGAGGAGCTCACAAATGGCTGGATCATCATCTTACTCCGCATCTTAGATCTTCAATGGTAGGGAGAGTGGCCCGTTTATACGTGATGCGTGTGCTCGCAAAACCCTCTTATTCACAGACACGTCACAAATGGCGCCTCGTTGTGATACCACGTGACGTGCGCATAGTGGAACACGCTCCCTTAATGAATTCCAATGATCGATTTCTCTCCAAAATCATTAAACAAGGAAACGTAAAAATTCTACATATGAAATATGATTGTGGATTCATAAAAGACGAGAATGATTCATTTTAGAGGACGTCACTGGTATTTAAATGAGGGGCTAGGTCACGTGCAGTAGCAGGGTTTTGCGAGCTACGTCTCCGTGGCGCCGTGCTTGGTCACGTCTCTTTCGGGCGGGACATGATGGTTTAGGATGTAGGATTTTCAGGGCGCGCAGATAGAAGAGCTTTCTTAACTGGTTGGAAACGGGTTTTTATCTGGGAAAATTCTCCTACTTTTCTGTATTCCTCTATATATCTTTCACTAATAATATGAACGATAGATAATACTGACAACTAGAAAGCAATAACTCTGTATTGGTATTCTTTAGGAACTAGAAAGCAATTATTCTATTTAAAGCACAACTTTTTCAGCACTGCAGAAGCAATAATAGTTTTAACATGTGAACTGCACACCATTACTACATTTAACAATATTATATCGTAGTCAGTTGAATCTATGCATATCCAATATTTATCCACATGGCTGTATTTATGTAAAAAGCGTAAGGTACACACAGAAATTCACTAGTTTATAGTTTTGAAATGTTAGTGCCTGTCAGCGAACATTTTTATTCACTCTTGAAGAAATGAGAAAGAAGGTGGGACCATGGTTAACTAATGTTTATGATCATCATATACATCCTATCTTTCCATCATTTCATCAGAATGAGTATGTGTTTGATTTGTTATTGTTTAAAGATAATGAATATAATCATCGTCAAAAGGGGAATCGAGCTCGGACAAGGATAGGTCTAACAGTATGACGTGTTCATGAATTTTGTTTTCTCGTAGTAAGTTAGGATTTTAGCATGTTTTACATTTGACGTAAACCACTTTTCGAACCTTTGAAGAAAGCATAATGTCCCATGATTAGTCCAATTTTTAAAATTGTTTTACTAGTCTGATGAGTAGAACTTTGTAGCTGCATTGGTGCATTTTTGCATGATCAGATTTTAAAGTTTCTCAAGTTCATTCTTTAAGAGTTTTTTTGTTTAATGGAGATTCTCTGCAACGTTCTATAAATATGCTTTCTCCGTAACTTAATACTCGGTTAATAAATTTACAATCTTTTCATGCATGAATTTGGGAAAATAAAACCTAGTTCCTGAAATACAGCAAAACTAATTGTCAACTTAAGACGGAACTTTCTTGATGGAAATTGACATATTTTGAAACCCTAAAAACGCATGACGTTTGCTTATAGTAGTTTAGAGTGTATCTGCGTTTCAGAACCTTTGTGTGAATTTAATACTCAGCATGAACTAATTTGTTTTTTTGTTTTTTCCCTCTCTCCTCATCGATGACGTCATAGGGTGGCTACAGTCCGTACAGTTCTTTTCGGCGCGTCTCTAGGAGTAGCTCAGTACTTAGTGCATTTTCCGCAAGGGGGGACGTCTCCACCCCATCTCTAAGAGGGGACTCGAATCATGAAATCAACCACCAAGCCAAGAAAGAGTAACACATTCATCGTAACTAAGCAACAGAAACTTCTTCATCTATTTTTCGCGTTGTGTATTCAGTCTTTTTTTTTTCTTTGCAAGGTGGAAGGGATTTTTTTTATAACTTATATGTGGTTTTGAAAAAAATTGTGATTCTCTCACTGAGGCTTGTGAATCATAATAGACATGCATGGTTATGTTCTGTTCATCATGGAAAAGACTGTTGATTCATTTGTTTGTGAATGAATAAACTATTTTGGAGAAATGTGCTTGCTTTTAGCTTGCTCTCCGTACTCCAATGATATGGAGCTTGAGTTGTGTAACTTCATCATCGTTTTTAGATACTTATAGACACAGGAGCATTCGATTCATTTGCGTCTTGTCATCAAATCTATTTAATTTGTAGAAATATATGTGTATTTATATTTTCGAGGAGGAATCCTTTTTTTGTTGTGCACTTTGATAAATTATTGAAAGCTAGAATAATTGGAGGCGACGGAGCCTGGCGTTCCCGTAACATGTGCATTAGAGAAAGTTTAATTTATTTCATCATATTTATAGTTTACACTGAAGTATATTATCATGATTATGAGAACTATGTAGTTTTATTAATGAACTTAGATTCGCTACTGATAGTCCGGAAGGATTGCTATAAATAAAATTTAAGATTGAGTGATAATAAATCTCGTATTTGATTTGAACAATGAGAAAAATATTGCAAAATAATGAAATGAGAATGTGTGGACTGAACCTGTATTTTTCCTAACGTGTGCGAGTGATGCATTCATTTTTTTTATTTCACACTTTATTTTCACAACTACTTCGCCAAGAAGGAAAAGTCGTTTGTAAATGTCACGTGCAGGAGGAAAGCGCTTCTTATTGGTGTGATGGGGACAATGCATGGTGCCCAGTTCTGCCTCTGATAGGCTGATGTCAGGTCGGAGCCTTCCAGATATAAAGACTGGCTGCACTCAAAGCCAAGTCATTATAACGTGCAGACCAATCAGCGTCGAGGAATCGACACATACTGATATGCAATGCATATGACTTGTCTCATGAATTATTCATCATGTCATTCATATAAGGTATGAAGAGAAGCCATACACACAGTCATGCTGAATGAAGCAAGCAAGTAATTTCTAATCAGCTGTGATTTAATAGTGGATCAACACGGACGATACTATAATTTCCCCATGTCAAGCTCAAGTATCTAAACCTTGATGAAATGGAAACCGAAAATGATATATTTTTTACTATTCTATCGTGTTAATAACAGTGTTGATAACTATCAAACCATCAATGAAACGTGAAGGAAAAGAGAAAAGAAAGCAGGCATTCATTAAAACCATACATACTCAGTGAAAGAGACGTTTTTAAAGATCATGTTTTTTCTGTCTGATCACTGGCATGATTCGAATGGCACGATCCTCTGATTCTGAATGCATCTTGAGATCATGAAATGAGCGCCATGCATAGCGCACCAATACTAATTTCCTTCTAGTATAGTCATTTCCTTACCTATTTACTCTCTTATAGTCTTTAGCAGCAAATTTTGTTCTCCCTTTCCATATCGTCAACGTATTGTTCCCTCAATGTCTATTTTAGTCCCCTCACAAAATTATTTTAGACGCCCCTCTATCTTTAGAGCTCATGTCTTATCATTTTCTTTCCTAACAAAATTTCCAAAAATGGCGGAAAACACGATTGAGCTACTGCTAAAGATAGCCACCCGTGTGTGTATATATATAACCTCCTCATATCTAGGTAGTATTGTGTGCAGCATGGGCTTTAATCATGCACTAATGTAGGTGCCGATGTGTGCCAGAGAAAAAAAAACCTTATATGAGGAAAAATACTTTGTTCTACCACACATGCGTCAAAAAGAACTATTAGTGGAACGACATGAAACCGTTAATTTTTGTGATGACTTCTTGAAGTAAAACGAAGCCTCATCTTAACTCTTAATTTTCTCCTCTTTTGTAAACTCATGCTTTCATTGTCAACAGCGAATACAAAAATAAATATGTTTTGAGTTGGTACTGAATCGAACAGGGTCTATGTGCCGTTTGAATTATGCCTCTTTATAGATATGCTAAGGTATATAGATTTTGATAGTGCACTGGGTGGCGATGAGTGCTTCTGGTGGAACTGAAGTGTGTAGTAATTGATATGTTATGGTGATGACGTTGGGCGAAAGCTCTCGGTGAAATATCATACCGAATGTAGCACAAACCAGACGACAACCTTGTTGAATGGAGTGGAGTTGAATGTTTGATTGATAAGTTGGTTGATGGCAGGAATGTTAGATGACTTCTTTATTGTTCCAGGATTGGTAGGTTGTTTTACTTAGAGAGGAATGGATGAAATTAATGGTTGGTCGAAAGTGTGTTTGTTCGCTTGTCGGTGGTTGGTTGTTTGGCTGATTGATTGATTGAATGAATGAATGATTGATTGATTGATTGACTGATCGATTGATTGGTTGATTGACTTTTTGGTTGGTCGGTTGGTTGATTGTTTGCTCGATGATCAATATTGATTTGAACGAATGAATGACTGATTGATAGATTTGTATAGGTCGGTTACTGAGAATGAGGCATTGCAAGACTGGGGAGTAAAGTAAGAGTCGTAGGGGAACATAAGTCTGGAAAAGCAACTACCCTATAGAGGATTACAAATACATGAGTTCTGAGAAAATGAGAGAGAAAGACAAAGAGAGAGAGAGAGAGAGAGAGAGAGAGAGAGAGAGAGTGAGAGAGAGAGAGACAGAGAGTGAGAGAGAGCGAGAGAGAAAGAGAGAGGAGAAAGAACGACATAGAGGAAGAGAGAGAGAGGGTGAGTTAGAGAGAGAGAGAGAGAGAGAGCAATAGGGAAGGGCAAAAATATTAACTGATTGAAGGAATAAGGAAAAGATAGATACATGAATAATATTAGAAGTGTTATCCATGGAATAGAATCAGTGGTGTTCGAGTGGATCTTAAACAACATGGTGCCACAATTCCACCCTTTAGCCATACCAATAAACAGGTACGAGGTTAACAGTGTACATGTACTTTGTTAAAGTTACCTGTACTTCTACAATAAGTTTTGCTTGTGAAGAATGATACAAGGAATTAAATAAAGAATTACACACCCTTACAAATGTCACACCTTCACAGAATTATAAATACTTTTACGGGCTAACTTCTTTGGAAAGGTAAAATATCAGATAGCGCATGTAGAAGATTTCCAATGGGGATCAAACCCATATCTTTTGAGCTAAAATTATTTTTATCCCTGTAATAGTTGCTGAGCTGTGGGATATCAAAATGACGATCGGGTTATACACTTTGCAGTAACGGCAATAAACTATTTGGCTTCCCAATTCGAGCTATAAATATATTGATGGGCAGGCGCGTACGCAGAATTTTTTCAAGGGGGGGGGTTTAACATTTATAAATCGGGCCGAAAATTTCGCAACGACTCAGCCAGCCGCTGAATAAGCGGGGGGGGGGGGGGGGGGGGGGGGGGGGAGGGGGGTAAGAGGACACTTTTTCTTTTCTTTTTTATCTCGAATTTGATAATTTGAATTTGACAATTTGACGTTTGGCTCCGTTGGGGAGGGGAGGGGGGTAAGGTCACCTTTTAAGGTCATCCATTGGAATTTTATTTTTATTTTTAATAATTAAAAAAAAAAAAAAAAAAAATCCAAAGGGGGGTGTTTTAGCGGGGTGGTGGTGGGGGGGGGGGGGGTTTACACACATAAAAACCCAAAGGGGAGGGGGTTTACCCCCCCCCCCCCCCCTGTGTACGCGCCTGCTGATGGGGCAATGATGACTATCCAGTGAAAAACTGGAACACAAACGGAGTTATATTTTTCAACATGTTTTCTGGACTTGTCAATAGAGGGAGATGTTAGTTGTACAGATCAGACAAGGCAAATGGGTGAGGTCGAGTGCAGGGTGAGAGAAAGAGTGTGTGAGTGAGAGAGAGAGAGGAGAGGGCAGGGGCGGATCTAGCTTTTTGCCAAGGAAGGGGTTTGACCCAGTGGCGGATTCAGGATTTTCCAAAAATCGCGCCGTTTTACGGTTTTACTGTTTTCTTCTTCTTTTTCCCCTTCCTTTTCTCTCTTTCCCCTTTTTTTCTTCACTTGGCCGCCCAAGGAGGGGGGGGGGGGGGGGGGTTAAACCGCCGAACCCCCTAGATCTGCCCCTGGAGGGAGGGACCGAGGAAAGGGGGAGAGTGAAAAGGAGGGATGGTGGAGAAAGGGAGAGAGGGAGAGAGAGAGAGAGAGAGAGAGAGAGAAGGGATGAGAGGAAGATCAAGGGAGAGGGAGAGACGGAGCCGTAGAAGGCGAAATGTGAGAGAGAAGGGGAAAGAGAGAGGAGGAGATATAGATGGTAGAGAGAGAGAGAGAGAGAGAGAGAGAGAGAGAGAGGGGGGGGGGGGGGGGGAGGAAAGAGGGAGGGAGGGGGGGGGGGGTGAGGGAAGGAACAAAAATTGGAATGTTTTAGATGACAGAACCATTTTTAGCGATGCTCTTATGTCAGATTACAGGCCTACATGCACCCGTTTAAATTTACATATTATCAAGGGTAAATTCGAAAATATCGAATAAAATTGTCCAACAACTATTACAAGTTTCTATTTTGTTGAGTCAACAATAAATTACAGGTATGCGTGGCGAAATTGTTTTTGTCAAACATGAACATTGACCGACGATAATGATAGTCCAGAATCTGGCCCATCACTTGCACCATGTCTATGTATAATTCCCGATATGGTTGAACTTTGTTCTTTGTACAACGTGATAACTATTGTGTTCAACTATTTACATAACCAATGTTGGGCTATTCACAGCTGAAACGCAGTAGTCAAAGCTATTTACATATTTAGTCATTTATTTATATTGTCATATCAGTATTTTATTACAACACTATAGGTGCAAATTAGGCTTACTGCTTGGGGGATGCATTGTGGAAGGGGAACGTCTTTAATGATGGACGGCACAAACGATACATCGCTTATAAAAGGAAATTGGTGTTGAGTATAACAAACACCAATTAAAACTGAAAGGTCATTTTATTTAATAGATAGGCCTACCAAATTCCTTCTTTATTTGATAAAGTATGAGCAGCCTCTTGGATCCCCGTCCCGATCCCCGTATCAATACAATCAATACCTTAAGCCAATGAATCTTTAATTGCAATATCATTACGTGATAAATCGACATCCAAGAGCGAGCGAAAACGTTGTAACGTTCGGGGCGGCGTTATGGGGGCACGGAGCACCCACCCCTTTCAAAATGGGGCATTGGAAAAAAAGCAGGCAGAGGTGATTTGTCAAAACTAGTCATCATGCTTCTGAAAAAATATGAGAGAAGCCATTTATTTTCCTTAGTTTTCAACATGCACTGTAAGAGACAAGACGAAAATAGACCAGTCACTCAAATATTCGTATCGCCTCCTCACAAAATTATGTGGCATCGCTCAACAGGGGGTGGGAGACATATCTCTTTCGTGATAGGCTGGATAGCCCTTTGAAGATTAGGAAGAAGAAGAAGAAGAAGAAGAAGAAGAAGAAGAAGAAGAAGAAGTAGAAGAAGAAGAAAAAGAAGAAGAAGAAGAAAAATAAGTTTAACTATAGAGGATATTTCAAAGTTTGTCATTATTTGTGATGTATTGGGCTTCGTAGGAGATGCGTGCATTCCGCGACACGTTGGCCCATTTGAAGTCGACAATTTTCTTTTCCTTTTTTTCCTTTTCATTCAGATTAATATTAAATTGTTTCTTTCTAAATAAATGCAGATTACATATACATAAAGTTTTGATTTGAAGTTTGTGGAAAATTTGCAGGGATCAGTAACTGTTTGAGAGAGGCGGGGAGGGCCTTGAGCCCCGGCGCCCCCCCCCCCCAAAAAAAAACAACACAAGGCATATGCAGAAAATGAATACTAGAACCTCCAAGCCCCCAAGTCCCCACCGAAAAAACCTCGACTGCCCCTGACTGTCAGAGATGCCATTTCTCTGGAATCTAGACTCTCCGAATGGATAAGCCTACTGTCAAAAACCCTTTTCTTAATCCAATAACTTGATATTTCGATCCCAACCAAATTCTACAGGCCTAATTCCTCCCCTGAAAATCGATTTAGAATTGTCAAATTCATAACGCCTCGTAACAATGTCAACTTTCATTATCACAAAAGATGACCGCATTTGTGTGCTCTAGTGATGTAAAGTATACTTAATTCGTCAAGCTTATCTGTCATATAGTATTTAGCTTCGACAAAATAGTCATACAAATTACGATCGACATGTGACGTCTTTACGAGATACTTTTCATTTCTTTTTCCATAAAACTTGATCTCCGCTCAATGGCATCACAGCCAAAAATAAACTATTAGTCTTAAATCACAGACATGATTATGTGTAGTTTAATGTCTGATGATGGTTTTACTTGACTGCTAGGGTTGTAAGCCTAAATATTGTTCCAGTTTCATCAAAAAAACAACGACAAACACAACAACAACAACAGTGGAGAACTGCTGAGTATTTATGATTGGATACGTACCGGAGAGAACCACATTGACCCCCGGGCCATGCAGCCCCCTATTGATTGGTGATCTCGCTTGCCGTAAAAACGGTAAAACCACTATATCTGTTCTTTGATAGATCACCTTATATAATGTTGAATATGCCATGTGTACCGTACCTCTTTCCCAAATAATGAGTTGTTCTTCATTTAGTATTCTTCACATGCCTTTAAAAAAAAAGTACATGTAGACCCTATGTCATAGAGATGTCTGTCTAGGTACAGCAGGTCTTCAATGCAAAGACTAACAAAATAGTCTTTTTCCACACAAAATAAAAATACAAGAACATTTATGTCTACCTTTATGTTATCAATGATGAACTTTTACTTGAGATATACTTTAAAATGAAGTCACAATTAATAAATATTAACAATTTTTTACGAGATATTCACGAGAAAACGATTTGCTTGTTATACTGCATTGATATTTACTGAATTGTTGATGATTTTTTTTTCTTCTTCAAAAGTCCATGCGACTTGAGCGGAAAATAATCTAAATTACCAAAGTGTAATCACACAAGATACCAGTAACGTATACGTTTGTGTTGTGCGTTAGGCTACTGGAAAAGATAAGCAATTTCATCGGAATTGGGTAGGCAGGCTTTATTTTCAGTTCAGTTTCAGTTTATTTCATATTTCACATGTTGTATAATATATCATTACATGAATGATTTGGCATGCTTCATTTTTTTTCACTTCATTTTTGTTAACTCAAGATCAAGCCACAACATGTCAACACAAGGGAGCTCCGCCGCCTTGTTGGGCGGGGCGGCCGCGGTGGAGTTCCACTGGAAGCTGGAGTTACATTTTTGTTATAAAAACGAAGAGAATAATACATAGGATCTAAAATACCTAAGACTATGTCAAATAAAGGTATAACATTGATATAATGCTGTGTAACATATAATTATACCAGGGACTTGATCAAGTCCTAGTCCCTGATTATACTCTCTATAGAGTAGTGGCTCCGGTCTGCGGCCGATCGGCGGGAACTGCCGATTCTATTTTTATTGGAATACTCACAGAATACTTCAATACCCTCAATAAAGAGTCCATATACTTACTTATTAAATAGAAGTCACAAATAACTTAACTGACCCACAGCGTGGTCAGCATTGACCACGTTTCGAAATGCTTCGAGTTCCCCGGTTTGCGGGCACGCAGTACCGATTTGCGGCACGCGTACGTCACAAAGCTTTATGCGCTACGTCACGATGAAAGCATGTACCAAATTACTACGGGTAACCCAAATTCTCATGTTTATCTGTTGCTACGGTAAATTTGTCAAGTTTTAAACAATTTCACCTTTCCTCGAATGGATCATCCCATACGGGGGTACGTACTACTAGAAACTATCGGGTCATAGCGGGTACACACATCAGCACACATACCATCATACACGATCCCGCATGTTATGTGTGTATTAACACCCCCGCCGCAAACCAGAAAAAACACGTAATTACGTGCCGGTTTGCGGCCACCCCATGCAACTGGCCATGCGGTGGCACAATCAAAATATCTGCGATAGGAGACAGACCACAGCCATCATACTTCCACAAAAACATCAAATTTCACCTCCAATCGGACAAATATCGGACAAATAGAGCTACTAGTCATGCCTCGATCTCTTAACTTAAAAGTTAGCACCTGCTGGAATTTTCATCGGCGACTGGTGCCGTAGATTTCCGACATCGCTGACGGATACTCCGTACCGACAGGAGCACCTGCTACGGACGTTTTCGGCAAAGCAGAACTTACCGTGGAATCCACGGTAGGTTTCAACGATTATTATCGAGTCATATTCATTTTATTTTTAAAACAAATACCCCTGGCCGCAAACCGGGCGATGCCGCAAACCGGAGACTCTACTCTAGACTCTAGACCTAGATCTAGGATTAAATTGGAACTTGCTAACTTGCCTAGACTAGAGCTTACGTAATTTAGTACGACTAAGTAAGGTATTAAAATAGGTAATATTGCATTGGTCATAAATACTTGGCAATACTTACATTATTACATTATCACTAGTTACCTGTCTTCACAGGCTATAATGCCCACCTTCCTTCATTCAAAATCCACTGCACGTGTCATAATTTGCAGATATCAACCGGCGCGGCTGTACACAAAGGCAATCTCATTAGAGACTGAGAGTACCATAATGTCGACATCATTTGAGAGTGTCTCTGGCTGTAAAGTGCAATGCTATGCGTAGAAACAAATAAAGTGCAGCCATGTAGGCTATGCTGGCAAAAGCTGGTGGGCACTTGGCAATGACGTTAACATCTTGGTATACTTGTAATGGAAGTATGGAACATACATGAATAGAAGATTTTTGTGATATACATTTATTTAAAACTATTAATGTTTGCCTGGTGACATGACAAGCCGTCACATCCACCACCTGCTTTAATGCACTGAACCTCAACAGCAGTAGCGTGAAATGCATAACTCGTCGCTGCTAGGTCGGGCAGAATAACATCCCAGCAGGCGAAGGCAACAACCCATCACCAGGCTTGAGGCAACAAAAGTGTTTTTTTTTAAAGGAACATTTTTCAAAGAACATCATGCTACCTCTTCCAAGTTCGAGTATAGCATAATTGCTTAGTAGATGACGTTTTAGCTTCTGCTTGAAGGAATGTAGTGAAGTTGATTTTGTGATATCAATAGAGAGGTCATTGCAAAGCTTGGGGCCCGTAAACGGAATGTTTTTTTTTAGCAAACAAAGTTCATGTACGGGAAAGGTGAAATAGGTTTCTTACTTACTTTGGCGAGTGAAATAAGAATGCATTACCAGTATTTTATTTTGTACAAATAATGCACAAAATTTTAGCTGGTAAATTATTTACAGATAATCGATACATAAACACTCCTATGTTGTACATATACATGTACACAACAACAATTTAGAGAACTTTATCATTGACTAAGGTAGTATGGGAAAGGAATCCAGCATGATTTACAATATGTATGTTTCTTATTGTGATTTTGCTCAGAATTATATGTGATCAATGATGCATAAACAGTTATATTTACATGTACATGTAAATTGCATTGTTATTCCTGGAATGAAGCTTAAGATGTGCAATAGCGGTTATGAGACACCTCCGGATTCAGTGGCTTGCAGCCTACATAGTATTAGTTAGTCCATGTATGATGTACATTTTGTAGCAAGGCATCCCATGCCATGGCCAATCGTACAAATGTACGTAACAGCGTTGACCAGCGCCCAATTTGTTACTGATCGGTTAAATGACTCAGTGATAATATGAAATATGATATTGATATCGCCCATCCGTAATAATTGGCAGTTTTGGCACCCATATCCCTGCGTGACGGGTGATGTAAACAAAACCTAAAATGTGTTAGTACATGTAATCGCCCATTCCTGCACCCAACGAAACTTGCAAACTACAACTGTACCTTCTGAGTTTGATTGTGGAAATTTCTTTCCAGTTTCTACTCGAACAGAGTCAAAGCACTTTGAAATAGGTCAAGAATTTGACCAAAAATTTGAAAAATTGATACCGGAGTGAAAGTGAAAGTGAAAGATAGATAGATAGATAATTTATTGGTCCATATTCAAAACGAAAGTGATTTTGCTTACCTTCCACATCTTCCTGATGTTAATGAACTGACATATGGTTTACCTACAGGTGGTGTAAGTACAAAAATGCTAACCTCTCACAAAAGTTTGCGTGGTTGGCTCGGCCGGAATTGCAAGTACATGTACACGCGATGTACACAAAAATAGCTGTTTTTGCATTGCCAATTTGATACTTACTTTACAACAAGAGTGATACGTGTAAAAAAGGCGTGCGTGCAGTGAGTTCTCTAAATTCAGTGTGCGTCTTAGTACACTAAACTAATCTGTCATGTCTGTCATGCTCATGCATGATGTGGTAGATACATACATGTACATGTACACCAGGATCATGTCTCCTCTCCTTCTCGTGTACACAGGGCCGGCAAGTTCAGGCATTTAAGCCTGAATGAATTAATGTTAATTTATACATTTTTATGCAGTAAAAAAAAATTGCTGTAATTTTCATGCAACAACTTGAAAAGTGTCACTACAGTGTCCTTATGTCACCCCATCAGAAAATATTTCAGAAGAACTGACAAATTTGAAAAATATTGTTTTGGTGGGACTTTTGACTCCCATCATTACCATTCAGCAATTGAGCATAATCAAAATCTAGCAAATAATGCTACAAAATTATTATTATTATTCTTAGCCTGTTTATACCGGTAAGTTACATGTACGGTATGACTTAGACTGTTGTAACACATATTGCGAACTTATGAACATTTAATTTACAATATCCATGTATCTTGTACATGTATTCCTAGTGTCTTTTTGAAAATTTTCTGTTCAAAGCAGCAAGTGATATACTGTACATGTATACTACTGTACAAAGCATGAATAGCTACATGTAGGTTGCAAGTACCGTGCATCAGATTGATAAATTAAAGTATCAATTATTCAGGTAATTAAATGGATGGTCTCTTCCATGCTTGGTTATAGTAAGAGTGTAGAGAGAACTTTGCCAGATACGTACATGTACCAGTACACTGCAATAATTTTTTTCTTCTTTCTTTTGTTCTGCAATCATCATGCAGGAACTGTATTCCACACGTTTCTTTATACATGTAGCATCTCAATGCACTGTTCTTAAATACATCATTTGAATAGTTGTTAGGCTAGCATTGTTGTTTCTATATCTGCAGCGGCTCTGAAGAAGTACGGTAAAAAGAAGCCTTGATTATACTTTTGTCACTCCTAAACTGACTCTTATTTTTGTTTTCTATCTATTCCCTAGACGTGATTGAGAGAGACCTACTTCATCTACAGTACTTGTATCACAGACAATGGCAGACCAGGAGCCAGATCAACCACCTCCACCCTACCCAGGGGAAAATAAAGGTTTGTATGACGTTAGGAGATGATCCAACATGTGGTCTGGACTCTTCTGTTTCATCAAAGACAGTTCAAGGAGATAGGGTTAGGGTCAGGTCGGGTTGTATTTGGTAGGTTGCCCTTGTAGGTTTAGGGTTAGGTTCAAACCATTGAATACTGTAGTGTTTCATTCTGATAAGCTTTAAAACAGGCATGGGTTGCCCCCCCCTTTCATCTCAGAGTGGTGAAAAAAGAGAGCAATGAAACAAAAAGGAAAGGGAAGAGATATAAAATAAAAGAGAGCACACAGGACCCAATCCCATTTCCTTTCCTGCTCCATTGCTATGCTCCCTCATATTTTATTAGATTGTAAGAGTTTGTAAGATACTATACATACATGTACCGTTTACTTGTTGTCAATGACTACATGTACAGTGCTGAGGGTGCTCCTTTTCAATATATTTTAAAAGGCAGGTCACAGTGTTTGAACTTGTATACATATAGCTACATGTATACAGCAGATGTGCCCCTTTTCAATGCATTCAAAAAGGCAGGTCACGGTGTTTGAACTTGTATACATAGCTATATGTTTGTACAAATATACATAGTTTTTTCTATTGTGTGGTGTTGTGTGGGCGTGCGTGTCGCACAGATAGTCAAAGAGCTTTGAAGAAGTCTCAAATTACAACCCAACCATTTCCTTTGAACTAGAAGATCCTGTCGGTTTGTACAAAACATGTCTATGTAGATCCTGTTATACAGGAAGGGAACAGTTGCAGTATTTTTTATTTATTTTTTGGCAGGGGGGGGGGGGGGGGTACTGGTAATATTTATTTTCCACACATGGGAAGGATCACCTTTTTCAGCTACTGTACAAGCTGGTCTTCAAAGGGGTGCATCCGCAAGATAAAAATACAAATTCTTGCCAGTACAGGTTGGACATAAATGTAAACCTCCAATCAATTCCTTTAAAAAAAAGGAAAGTGATTCAATTGTTGAAAAGTAAAAAAAGAAAAATGTAAAATCAATGTGCATATTTGTATAGAACACTTCTGTTGATGTTGTTATTGTACATGCTATTAACATAGGGATTATCAGCACCTCATCAGATGAGTCCTTTGGAGAGCTGGATTCAACTTTTAGATAACAAATTTACATAATAATAATAATAATACATTACATTTATAATGCGCTTAATACAATGTTTCTAAGCGCAAGAGAAAGAAGAAAGGATCAGGAAGGAAAGTGAGAAATACTAAAGTAACATGTTAAAAACATTGAATTACAAGTAAACGGCAAAGAAGAATATGACATTACACAAAATAAGGACCGCATCAAAATTGATTGAAATATATATTTATAAACCAAATATGGACTCAGAAGTATAATAAACCATATGAAATATTATAATACAACTTAAATGCAAACTATTATATATATTCAATATAAGAATTATGCATCTTAAAATACATATCATACAACATAATGCAATAGAAATTACAACATCATTAAACTGCAATATCATTATTGCAAAATAAGGACTGCATCAAAATTGATTAGTGAAACTAACCTAATTGAAACTACATCAACTTACATGAACATGTAAGTTGGGAAAGTATTGCAACATGACCTGAAAAAGGCAGTGATACATGTAGATGATAAAACTTAACATGATTTCATTTCAGGCCAGACATTTATAAACCTAGCGAAAATTTGCCTTAGGCCTATAATTTCAGGAGGTGAAAGAAAATATATTATCGAAGGTGTCATTATTACCATTGACTTTTCATGAATTATTTCATTCTCATTTTTAATATTGCCCTGAAAAGCAGTACTGTATTGATTGACCCAAACACATGTAACCTACATGTACATATAATTCCTTACTGTACATGTAGTATTTTAATACTTTTTCTTTTTCATTTTTCCTACAGCGCGTAGAGATGTTAACAAATGTATTATGCGTTTTATAAGAACTGTACTATCATTATTATTACACAGTAACAATGTCACAAAGGTACCAGGAAAATTGTTAAAAATAAGGGGGGGGGGATTGATGCATATTTTCAATCTTCAACAATGTTCTTATCCTCCAAATCCTTTCTTTCATTCCATTTAAGTCCATTTTTCCATTCTTCCATTCTTCCATTCAATTCTGACTAAAAAAACCTGCCTGAAACCTGTACAATTATAGATAAATGATTGACAAGTTACAGAATTTACATGTTGAATAGTACCCCTGAAACATGCTCATGACATAAGTTTGAGACAATTAGAAAACATGTGCATGCATGAGGCCAAGTTTAGGATAACAGTTTAATTTAATTTAAATTAATGTAAAATGAAAATGAACCAATGTCAATGTGAACTACAAAATGAAAGAAAAGGTTAAATACAATGTACAAGTCTATATGACATGTATCCTTGAAATACATGTAAGTGATTATAATTCCCCCCCCCTCCCATATTGACAATTTCCAGTGTGTAGGGGCTTTAGTGCCTACTTCCAATGAAAATCTTCCCTTAGAACCTCCTATTCATGAATGGCACGATATACTGCAACAGAAATGATCTCAATATTTTCTGTGACCTTCACTCTCTCATGTAATCCATTGCATTTTTTTTCATCAAAAGACAAATACAAACACATCACTAACATGTTTAATAGTGACACATGTAGGCATGGTAACAGCCCTGCAGTGCCATCCATTACATTGTGTACTCTGAACAAATGACCAGATGACACTGATTCATATTTGGCCTTCTGATTTACATACTGTACATACATGTAGTATACAGCTTGATTGTGATTGCATACATCATGCATGTACCTGCATGTAATGTGAGCTTTGGCAAAGGGAAATAAATGCAGCAAGTTTGTAGAACACATGGTCAGCTCTTACAATGTCGAAATTAACAGGTTGCTCATAATGAACTTCAATAACAAAATGTGTCCTTTGTCCTGGTATACAATATATATACATGTAAGAGAATTAGGAATTTTCATTTTTCTACCTTTTTCCAATTTAGACGATTTTGTATTATGGGGGAAAAGAAGAGGCACAAATTGTTATTCTAGGGAAATCTTGGCAGTGAGATCAGGGGATTCCGGATATGAATTAGTCCAACAGTTGCAACCACCCGTTCCCCCTCCCCATATGAGTTTTGTAGGGATTCCTTGAAATTTCCTGGGGGACACAATGTTTTCAGGTATGTGTCCCCATTCTAATTAAATGAACATGTATCGTAGATCTATGTAAGGTACATTTAGCTCAGCCAAATCTACCGGTACATGTAGTGCCAGCGCTAATAGATGTGTTTGTATCGCAAAATGCGTAATGCATAATAATGAAGCTTGTGAATTAAAAGTTATCTTGTGACATCTTTAATCGAAATTTTAGCTGACATACATGTATAACCTCATCGAGATTGTACATAAAATCAAACCTGCTTTAGTGACCACCTGTCTACAAAGACCACATTTTTGGTTTCCCTTGAAAATGGTTTCTCATTGAGACATGTAAAAGGAACCTGTTTACAAAGACCAATTTTTTTGTTTCCCTTGGGCGTTTGCTATAGACAGGTTTGACTGTATATATTGTTTACCAGCTCCATATCCTAACCATGTGGTTCCACCTCTGTGTGATAAAATTATGCAGTTTGGCGTTTTGGACGCATCCTTTCATGCCATATTACACTTTGCTATTAAATGTACCGGTACTTCAACTGTGTTTTCTCAATTTGACCATGTTACGTTACCTTCCATTAATTCTCTTCACAATATGTATACAGATAAGTTACAGCCAGTCTTACTTTATTCTTTTGTCATGATTTTGTAAAATTTGCAATGTTTTGTTTGTTACATACTTGTAAAACTGCAAAAGAAAAAGAAGAAGAAAATCAAACAGAAATAAATAACTGAAATTGAAACTGAAAACTGATATATTTACATGTATCTATTCATTCTACAGCTTACCCGCCTGGAAGTACACCGTACCCTCCCCAGCAGCAGCAGGCCTACCCCCCTCAGGGTCAACCGGGCTATCCTCCTCAGGGCCAACCACCCCAAGGCCAACCGGGCTACCCCCCGCAGGGCCAACCAGGCTACCCCCCACAGGGCCAACCAGGCTACCCTCCCCAGGGCCAGCCAGGTTACCCCCCTCAACAACCAGCAAGCTACCAACAGGTACTGTATACCCCCCCCCCCCCCCCCTGATGGTATCATGGTACCCGATTTTGGCTTTGTGCGTGCATGATACATTCAGTTGGAAATTTCATATAAAAAGGGGTAGCTTTTCGGGGATGTTCACAAATAATTCCATGTTCGCGTATTTGAAAGTTAAAGGTGTATTTTCTTGAGAGGGTAAGAAATTTTACAAGAAAGGGTAATATTTTTCTCTTTGTTCTCATCTGTTTGAATGCATATCTGTTTTCTCAAATTGGGATACATTTTGTGAATGTGTACTCGATTAGCCAAATAAGGCTTAGTTCGAAGCCCATTTTCCCCAGTCACAAAAAGGGGTCATAGTTTGTGGACATTGTTCTTAAACTTATGTGAAATAGCTGTTTATTTTTTTACTCCGCTAACGATCATGTGTGACATCTTTGACTACCGTGTGAAAACACCTCACTCAGTCATAGTCCCTCGGGTGTATCTCTATTGCAAACACTTGAACACAATGAAATTTGCAACACACAATCATCATTACTCATACAGTATAACATATACATGTACATGAATATAATATATATAACCCTACACATGTGGTTCTTTGAATAACGTGAATGACATGTTTGACAATCCACCAATAATTAAGTTTGAAATTAGAAAGTCAAAAATTTGAAATGAAAGAATCTGACATTCCCTCAGAAGTCCCTTTTCTGCTTTACAATTCCAAAGTTGTTTTTTTTATACATGCACAGTGTATAAAGCAACTTGTGTTTTACGCTCTTACAAAGAATGCAACATCTTTTAGGGTTAAAAAAAATATATTTAGAATGGACTACCGGTATAAAGTTACATGTAGTTCAAACTCATCTACCTATTGGCATTGTACTTTAGACTACATATACACGAAAAAGTATGTACATGTATGTGTACCGGCCCATAGACTGAAGAAGAAAAAAAATATCAGGCATTAATTGGTGCCCACAGCATTGTAGCAATTTGAATAGAATCTGTAAATTATCCTCAGCTACATGTAAATACCTCCCTCTCAAGCATACCGATCTATTCAATAGATCTGTGCAAACGAAAACATTTATGCTACTTATTAATACATTTGTGTAATAGCCGGAGTTTCAATTGATACGAGACTGAAACTTGCATATTTTTATTTCCACTACATATGATATCACTTCTGTAATATACATGTTTGCTGCTCTTCAGAAAATCATAAAGGTTACTTGCGTACCGAGAGTCTTTAAGTTTCAATGTTTATTGAGGAAAGAATCGAGAGGAAGACAAGGGTAACATGAAGTGGGCAGTAAAGAAATTAATTTCATGGTACTGGAAATAGAACATAGTCATTCTTACTGATTCAGTGCAGCTACATGTAATATGATCCATGTATAGTGGGTGTACATTTTGCTGATATTTTCATGTATCCTGTTAATTCAAATATTTCTCAGAACCTAGAAAGTACACTCTGAAAATTAAATGTGTCATTTTTAACATGCATGTACATGTAGTACGTACTGTATTTGAAGTGAAAAATTATTAAAGACATGACATTTTAACATTTTGCATTGTACAGTGTACCGGCATTTTAAAGTAAAAATGTGATGATGTTGAATTTCATCTCCCTATTATACATGTAAACATCTAACCATTTCTGTCTCCTTTATCTTATCCATTGCATACAAGTACTTGATCACCCAATTCCATAAACCTGTTTGATGTACGGTATAAAGGTGTGATACGGGGATGAATGCATGGGAATCATATCATTTCAAAATACCCGAATGCCCGCATCATTTTTTGCAGGAACACATGTACCTCTCTCAAAATGGAAAAGTCTAGGACACTTTGGCTACGCCGATTATTATTATTATAATTTTGATAATTTTTGTGTTAATAGTTTTTTTTAATATAGTTTTTGTCTCCCCAATTGACCCAAGGCAAGTCAAGTGGCCTAGACCTTAAACGGGTGAAATTTATGACTGCAATATGGACCCCCCCTCCCCCTTGTAAAAAAAAAAGCCTTAACTTTATATTCATTGTGTCTTTTGTATTTTCCATGCCATAACAATATAGCCTTATGCTCAACAGGTGAGAAATGTGGTGTTTGTTGTGTGTGTCAGACACTGCCCTCACCCCCTTTATGTTCTCAGGAGGACTTGCAGACGGACCCCCCCCCCCCCCCGACACATACTCGCACTCACACAAAACCCCAAGAAGTGTATCAAAATTGGATTGATTGTTTCGCACATATTTGCAATTTTTAATTGTGATTTTTTTAAAAAAATGATTACCGGTACATCAGCTTTTAACTTTAGGCCTAATATAGTTACATGTAGAACTAGATGTAGTACATGTACGTGTGTTAAAATACTATGCATTGGAACCAGTAAAAACATTCTTGAGCTTTCAAGCCCCCCCCCCCCCCCCCCAAATCACCTGACTTTGCAAAGTGGCCTGTCCTATCAAAAACTGATGGCATTTTGAGGTCTGCACCATTGACACACCATAGTCTACATGTAGCACCTTTAATATTATGATACTTTTTTTCTCTCTTTTGTTCCATTCCATTCCATAACAAACTACATGTAGCCTTACCCTCAGCAGGTAAGCTATGTGATAAATGTTATGTGTCAGAAACTTCTCCACTCCCCCTTCAACTTTTCATTGTTGTGGTTGGTTTAATGGCCATTTTCCATCTACGATCGGATTCGTTCAGTCAGACCAGTTTATGTGACCGTCCCTAAAGCAATGCATCAAATCTTGAGTCATTGTTTTGTACATGCAACTTCAAGCTTTTCTAAATTGTCCCTTTTAAAAAAAAAAGTCTATCACCGGAAACATGAAAGAGCAATTTCTGAGTGGTATACATACATCTTCAGATCTTTAAGTTTATGTCATAGCACTAAACAGTGCCTAGTTTACATTGGTTACCCAATTTTAACACCAGGACCTAAAAAAGGTATATATTAACCCATGAGTGCATGTATAAAGACACTGAGAATATATACATCAAGATCTCCAGTGACCAAATTTGGCTTGTACCTATGCTTTCATGCTGTTACATAACAGTGTTACTCATGAATAATGTTTTATGAATCAGCATTAACTCCTACAGTGTGTGTAACACAGAGTTTAAAGCATCTTTGTGGCTTCAGATATACAGTATGATGATTGCCTGGGATGGTCACATAAAGCCTGTCTTCATCAGCTTGAGTTTGCCAAATAACCTGCTATTTTAACTATCCCGATCGCAAATTAACCAGTCAATTTGCATCTTCATCAGCTCGCTGTTGAATTAGCAGGATATTTAGTAGAGAAAATGTCCAGAGAAATATTGGTCTTGTTTCCAAAATTCCCCGCTATTTGAGAAATAGCGGGCTGATTCGCGCCCATCCAAGCTAGTTTGTGATGAGCCTATCGGTCTGGTGAAAACGCAATTTAAAGCTTCGCGATAATCATAATATCCCGAGTCTGAAAATAGCGGGTTATTTGGCAAACTCAAGCTGATGAAGACAGGCCTATATATATTACATATAGGTTTGACTGTGCATACTGATTGTTCCTAACAATATATGTGTTTGCTGTGTACCCAAAGCAGCCTAAAATAATTAGCCGTAATAGCTGTTTTCCCTTTTTTTTTCAACAGACCTTTTAACCTTTTTCCTTATATATTAATGTGTTGTGGTGGACTAAACATAATTTTGTGTTTTTTATTGTGCATACGGTACATATTAACCCGGTTCTACTAATTACATGTAAGGTAAAATATGTAGGAAGGTTTGGGGTAAATAATAAAATAATTTGGGAAAATAATCCTGGACCCTGCTGCATAAAACTTGCCACTGATGGTAACTTTGTGATCAATATCAACAAGTATGGCAACATCACTCAACAGCTAACCAAATCCAAGTTTCCACGGAAGTTACCATTAAAGATAAACTTGAGTTCTGGTAATGCGATTGCATTGTGAAAGAAAAGGTGTGGAATGGATCAGAAAAGTTGATCATATAGCATGTAAGTAATGGTGTGTAATGCAAGGTTCTGGAGTCATCAAAATCATCATAAATTTGGCAGAGTCTTGGTAAAGTAACAATCACTTACACAGAAAGATGTATATGGGACAACACACATGGTGTTGGGGCTAGTACTACTGATTTCCTTATCTTTCTATGCTCATTACTCAGCCAGTATACATTTTCTTTCAAAATTGTTTGGCACATGACATTTATTTGTAATCTTGAACATTCAGTGTAAGTTTCGTTAGATTCTGTGAGAATTCATTTTCTTTTTTTACCAGAACTCAAGTTTATCTTTAATTGCAAAGTTAACATCAATGCTATTAAAAGTTTTATGCGACAGGGCCCTGATCTTGTAATTACTAACCCCAGAATGTCTTTAAAGTCTGTATGCATGAATCCATTAGTCCCGGGCGCCTGTAAACTGTCATGCCCTGTATTAACCTACATACATCATATTGTACTGTTTTAATGATTAACTTTTACATACATATTCACCAAATAAAATTGATTCTAGGCATTACAAGATGATTTCAAACATTTTTACCAGTACAACATAAACTTATTCTTGAGGTTTACAATGAACACTGAAAATAGTGAGCTTAAATTGAAAACAAAAGTAAAGCCTTCACATGTATATTAAATGACAAATGTAAATTCTAATATGTGTTTTGAACACCAATGTCTATCATGCTTTTCCCCCGGCTTTGCTTCCTTGTTTACATTAATTGTGTGTTTCAATATTATCCTCTTCTAATATGCGCATGGATATATATGTATATCACATAATGTGGGTGAATTGTTTTTAATACCAATAAATATCTCACAGCAGTTAATAGTGTACTTAAAAGGATCTGGTAACTTTGTCTCAGATTCTGAAACAAAATTCTGGATTGAGCTCATGCTGCAATGATAATTATAAACCTTTAGGTCAGTCAGGAACCTCATGACTTTTACAAGCCGATCGCCTGTCTGATTATCAAGATATTTATGATTGGAATTACAAATTTTGAAAACCGTTTGCCAGACGGTTTTCATAACACTACCATCTATTGGGGAAAATGAGTATGGTAAAAACCGGTCACTCAAGGATTTTTACTTTTTGGAGGCATTTCTTGATCATTTTGAAGTGCAATGTTTGTAAGGCTTCAACATATCACAGACACTGATAACATGTAGGGCCGTGCATCTCAGATTTATCATTGTTAAACGATGCCTTTAAAGGAGAATGAAACCCTTCATTGTACCTACGTCATTATGTAGAGGACAATTAAACTCACATTTTCATACAACAATCAGGTTCGCAGGATATGTATATTTACTAAAGTTCCCAAAATAAGAAGACAGTTATCGTCTGCTATAACTTCAGAAGGGAGCTGCCATTATGATGTATTTGTGCTGTACTCCGCCGGTACCTCAGCCTTTACAGCACTGACCAATTTGCCAAAGTTGACTTCTGGAGGATATGCGTGCAATTCACAAGCCTTAAAAACAGGGACAAAGGGTATTCACATGCATGTCAATGAATCATATTACAAAGTAATACAAACTCTGCATCATTGTGTGCATAGCTTCTATCAACTCTCTTATTATCTTCATCTTTTTTCTTTTTTAAATCGATATGGACAAAAATTCAACAAATGGGTGGGACTGTTTATGAACTTTGAACAGGGAAGTCATATAGACACATCTAAAGTAAGTTTAAAGGTATTGAATATTGAAAAATTGCATACCGGTATACATTTATATGCTTCCAATGTATCCATTTGAACCAAATTCATGACCAGGACCCCATATCAAAATTTGTATTACCTTTCATATTACAAACCTCATGTGAAAACAGCCATGAACATCAGCTACCGTACTTTGTTTTACAGGGCACCGCACCACAGTGAGACAAATTGAGTAGATTTTGAGTAAAAAGAAAGAGCAAATGTCATAAATCAGCAAGTCAATTTACAGTACATGGATTTAAAAGTTTTTAAAACTTGTTATGACAAAATCAATTCATTTGTTATATGTTATATTGCTCTGGCTCGTAATGTTATGAACCAGAGCAATATAACACTGAGTTCCTATATAGGAAATCTATTTATTCAGATGGTCATATCTCAGCCAATACTTAACTTATTCAATTGCTTCACCACTCTATAGCACCTCCCAAGTTGTCTCAGAGAGTACAGGTGTAATACATATTTCTGTAATATTTTCACCTCTGTTCTCTCTTTTTGTCTGTTTGCTTTATACCTTAAGAAAAATAAACCCACCTACCGTTGTGTTGTATTTGTAATTAATATTACATGGTAGTTTTGCATTATTTTTGTATTGATTTAAATTCTTTTTATGTCAAAAATTGTTGTTTTTCTGGTGATTTATAGTGATTGTTATTGTAATTATTATTATGGTTTTGTTTTATTTTTTACAATTATGATTTGAAACGTTATTGGTATTATAATGTTTGTTTAATTATTATTATTTTCATTATTATTATTATAATTAATATTATTATTTTACTGTAATTGATGTTATTATTATTTTGGTATTCATGTGCTATTTATTTGGTTCCTTCTATTCTCATGACCGACCCCTGTATTGACCCATGAATGATCTCACAGCCTTATAGCAGTGGAGTAGTTGTCACCGGTCCCCCTACAACAGTGACCACTGTACTGGTCAATCAGAGTATGTTCCGCGACCTCCCCGTGCGCTGCAAATGTACTAACTGTGATACTGAAGTGACAAGCCAAGTGACCCATGAGCCAGGCCTTCTGGCTTGGCTGATTTGTGTTGGATTCTGCCTCATAGGGTAGGTTCCGTCCTTCAAACTTCCTGTGGTCTTTGAAGATGATGATCTGTTGCCAAGTCATTTCTCATTGCTTGTCTTGTAATCCACCCATCCTATGGTCTTTAAAGATGATGATCTTCTCACATCTTCCTTCAGACATTAAAATGCTAATTTTATTGGAGGAGCTCGCGCCTTTGAATGTTTTTTGAAACAGATATTTGGCACCATACAAATGCTGTTCATCGTCATTATCATCATCTGTTGTCAAGTCATTTCTCATCACTTGCCCTGTGATCCACCCATTCTGTGGTCTTTGAAGATGATGATCTGTTACCAAGTCATTTCTCATCGCCTACCTTGTGATCCACCCATCCTGTGGTCTTTAAAGATGATGATCTGTTGCCAAGTCATTTTCATCGCTTGTCTTCAGATCCACCCATCATGTGGTCTTTGAAGATGATGATCTGTTGTCAAGTCATTTCTCATCGCTTGCCTTGAGATCTGCCCATCTTGTGGTCTTTAACGATGATGACCTGTTGCCAAGTCATTTCTCATCGCTTGTCTTGAGATCCACCCATTCTGTGGTCTTTAAAGATGACGATCTGTTGCCAAGTCATTTCTCATCGCTTGTCTTGTGATCCACCCATTCTGTGGTCTTTAAAGATGATGATCTGTTGCCAAGTCATTTCTCATCGCTTGTCTTGTGATCCACCCATTCTGTGGTCTTTAAAGATCATGACCTGTTGCCAAGTCATTTCTCATAGCTTGTCTTGTGATCCACCCATTCTGTGGTCTTTACAGATGATGATCTGTTGCCAAGTCATTTCTCATTGCTTGTCTTGTGATCCACCCATCCTGTGATCTTTGAAGATGACGATCTGTTGCCAAGTCATTTCTCATCGCTTGCCCTGCGATCCACCCATTCTGTGGTCTTTGAAGATGACAATCTGTTGCCAAGTCATTTCTCATCGCTTGCCTTGTGATCCACAGGGCGTTCCCTCTGAAACATGTCAAGTTTGTCTTCATCCGATGTTGAGTTCATGTTTCATCCGTTCATGTTGGAAGTAAAGGTATTGGTATTTGATGCTGGACATTTTCATTTAAATACACCATGTCTGGGAGCAGTCTTATTTACAGCTTCAGCTCATATGTCCTACATGATAATGGATTTTTAGTACTCTTGGCAATCTTCAAAGTTTCAAACAATCCAAAATATGGAAGTGTCCATCTTGTATCTGCTCATGTGGTATACATTCATGCTTGCATAGTGAAACAGAAAACCAACGAATCACCAAGCCATGAAACATGACTGTCTACCCACCTTTGACGGTCACACCATGTGTTTAGAGGCAGAGCTGGATCAAGAAAAATCCTATCTACTACCCATTGTAGATTCATCTGATACAAAGAATGTATTTGCATGACATGGGTCATATCTGGTCATAAAAAAATTAATGCTATTTCAGCTCATAAACAACCATTAGGATGTATTGAAACTGTACTTGTTACATGTGTATGTCTCCTCACTTGTACATCAGACATCTTTTGTAAACTTGTTTTGATGAAACCACATCCAATAAGTATGAAACCACATCAAATAAGATTAGACACTGTAATCCTCTATATTCATCCTCTTGCTAATAAATGTCATTGGGAATAATTGTCAATGTGCCTGCAAGCATCTACAGTACAAGGTTCTACTTGGAATTATTGAATGATGTCCATGAAGCACTGTAGTGTGATTTATTTCCTCATTTGGAGTGCACTGGACAGGTTCTTCAAGTGATTCATCTGTCGTGGTACTGCAAATTCATCTTATTATTAGATTCGGAGGTACCTGTGTTCTGTTGAACACCACGACCTTTAATGGAGAAAGAAGAATTCTTGAAAAATTCATTGATTCGATAGCAGTAACTGTAAAATATATAGAAAATAAAAAAAAGAGGAAGAAAAAAAAATATATATATACCAAATTATGCAACCCTACATGGTACATTAACCAGAGATCATAAAAAGTGGTATATTAACCCTGACCCTAACGCTAACCCTAAATTCAAAACAATATAACTAATTAAACTATGTTTCTTGGGAGGCCTTTAAGTTTCCACTGCCTGCAAACGTATGTAGAGGGCAGTAGCTCTATTGTTCAATCTTAAACAGGACATGACAATGTGCTGCTAATGATGCTGTAAGCTAAATTTTTATGCCCCCTTTATTTGTAAAGATTGTACAAAGGTGTTGGGTTAATGAGAATGATATGGTTGTGATAATTAAATCATTCTTGATTGGTACATGATGTGTTCTGAATTTAAGGTTTCAGTTAAAGGGGTAGTCTGTCTCTACTTTTTCTTTCTTTCTTTCACTCTCCGTCTCCATCATTCCTCCTCTCTGTCTGTCTCTCAGCCTCCTTTACCTCTCCATCTGCCCCTCTCTTACCACCCCATCTCTTTACTCTCACCTTTCCTTTCTCTCTCGATCTCCCCTCCCTCTCTCTCTCTTTCTATCCTGTCTCTTCCCCCACCTCCTTGCTCTCTCCATCTCCCTCCCTCCCCTATCCCTCTTTCCCTTTCACTCACACACAATGTAATGTTAAAACGGATATAGAGAAGAACATTTGATGGGAAAAGGAAGGGAAAGAACATTTTGAAGAAAACCTGATTATCCTTAAGTGGCAACGGGAACCAATGAGGAAATACAGGAAATATCTGCTCATTAGAACTACCGGTACTAGGAATGATTCTATTCATAAAGGGAAAAATAGGCTTATAGTTAGTGATAGGGCAATGTATATCGTGGGAATTATGTTTTTTTAATCAAATGAAAGGATGATGAGATATACTTGAGTGTGGTATAGGATTTCATGTCTTGTGTGTACAATGTTACAAATCAAAATGTTTGGTAATGAAAGATAAGTGAGGGAGATTGTGCAGATCATAGCACAGGATCATATTTGTGGTTCACTGTAGCATTTTTCTTTCCATAACACCTTAAGCATTGTCCATGCAGGATAGCTAACAATCATTCCTTGGGATTCTCTGGCAATTCAAGGAACTCCTGTCAGTATGTATGGTAGTGTTCCTGTAAGTTGAAGATATATTCAATGCAAGTATGTACCGTACTCTGTATTACATCCTCACCTCTCTCTCTCTTTCATACTTTCACGTCTTCATGCAATGGCCTATGAGGATGACCTATGACATACTCTGTGTTACATCCTCACCTCTCTCTCTCTCTCTTTCTCTCTTTCTCTCTCTCTCTCTCTCTCTCTCTCTCTCTCTCTCTTTCTCTCTTTCTCTCTATCAATCTCCTTCTTTCTTTTACATCTTCATGCATTGGCCCTCGAGGATGACCTACGACTGCAGGTGTCAATTCCATTTCATATATATCTTGTGTCACAAAATGTATCGCAATGCACATTAATCAAAGCTTTAAGGCAAATTAAAATCCATTCTATGTTTTTGTGTCACCCTCACACCACACCTTTCTCCCCCACTCGTTAATCCTCACAGGGTGGCTACCCCGCCGGTCAAGGGATGCCCCCGCCGGGCGGTCAGCAGACTGTGGTGGTCGCCCAGCCGACCCAGATGGTGACCACGGTCGTTCAGCACTTTGGTGACGCCCCGTCCAACACCAAGTGCCCCAACTGCCAGAACCAGGTCACCACCATCGTGTCCCACGAGCCGGGCACGATGGCCTGGCTCTCTTGCTTTCTCATGTTCATCTTTGGGTATGTGATATTGCACATTCTGTTCATACTAGCTAGCACAAACTTCAGGAAGTATTTGTTGTGTTTTGTGTTGTTGTTGCCCATCCTACATTGAATTTCCATACATCTAAATGCAATTGATTGTTCTGTTGTATGTTTTAGTGTGTTTTTTAAAAACAAGATTTAATGTTATTAGTTGCCCTTTTTCTATTATTTGTACGTCGATTGATTTTGATAATGCAATGACATAGTTTGGCACAACAACAAAAAAGTTGTTAGGTATTGAGCATGATTGTAAGCATAAATTTTGTTGATGCCCAATTAATCCAAAGGTCAAACTGAAACAGCCTTTTTCTCCTTAATATGGCGACAATTATTTGTATTTTCCACTCTTTCACAGATTAAGAAAACACTAAATGAAACCATGCGAATGAAAACTACAAAAATATGAGCAAAAAATTGCCAATTTAGAGACTTCAATGATAATTTTTGATGATGAAATCTAATTTATCCATCAATGTACTGCAACATAAATGGACTCAAATTCTCCAGGGTTTCTGCTCAATGACTTTGAATGTGTTGCTAATTTAAGGATTTTAAAACTTGAGTCCTTTTTTTTTAAAATTCCTGGCATCAAGTCATGCCAAAAAATAGATACAGTGTGAGTGCAATTCTCCGTCTACCGTACTCATGCATCTGACACATATTCGAGGGCTCTGAAATCACAAGTTATTGAGCCAAACCACAAAATGTAGAATGATTTTAGGGAAAGGGTTTTAAAGCAACAGATGTCTGGAAGTTTTTGCTGGTGTATAAATGTATGTTTCACATGACATGATCTATGTTAAGGTTTCCACATTTTACACGCTGATATATGTTACAATTTCACTGCTTTTTATGTTGTACAAAGGCTTAAATACCATGTTGATCTCCCACAATCAACCACCCACATTTTTGTATTCTGAACAACATTTCATGTTTTTCAAAACTTATTATCTCAAATTATTTGATCAAATTAGAACCTAAGCACATTGTTTTATGTACAAAACCCATAAAAAAGATGTTACATCTGTTTGCCAAATATGATAAAAGACATCAGCCAGTATTATCCAAGTATGTTTTTTGTAAATGTATGTAATGTTTTTTTTAATGTTATTCATGTTTACACATAGGTTTTAATTGTTTCTGTAATAATTCTTACTCTTCCTACAGGTTTTGACTTTGTAAAACAAAAAATAGACATTAATATCAGTCGATAATTCAGAGTACTATCACATTTGATTCCATTATCTGGTATGCAAAGCAAAGTGACAAACAAAAGCTGAGAAGGGTTGTAAAACAAGCCGGCAAAATGATGAACCATACTGTTGACCTAGATGAAGTCTGTAAGGAAAGAGTAGTATCTAAGGCCCTATCCATTATGTCTGATCTAACCCACCCCCTTAATGACCAGTACATATACCTGAGAAGAAGAAGAAGAAGAAGAAGGAGGAGGAGGAGGAGGAGGAGGAGGAGGAGGAGGAGGAGGAGGAGGAGGAGGAGGAGGAGGAGGAGGAGGAGAAGAAGGAGGAGGAGGAGGAGGAGGAGGAGGAGGGGAGGAGGAGGGGGAGGAGGAGGAGGAGGAGGAGGAGGAGGAGGAGGAGGAGAGGAGGAGGAGGAGGAGGAGGAAGAGGAGGAGGAAGAGGAAGAGGAAGAGGAGGAGGAGGAGGAGGAGGAGGAGGAGGAGGAGGAGGAGGAGGTATATTCATCATGAGCAGGTATATTCATCATGAGCATGTATATTATATTGAATGTATACTAAAACAGGGCCCTATGATTGTCAATTATATGTTGTTACTCTGTTTATATGTTTTAGCAAGATTGCTCATGTAAATATAAACAATTATCCTATATGGACACAATAAAGAAATGAAATTAAATATTTATTTTTGTTATTGTGTCCACTTTTCCTTCAGATTCTGGCTCTGTTGTTGCATTCCCTTCTGTGTTGATGGCATGCAAAACGCAAACCATCATTGCCCTGTCTGCAAATACCGCATCGCCACCTACAGCCGCTAGCCGTTGCCATGGCATTGAGTCCTCCATGCTGCAAGATACCTAGGGGAGGAGGAGAAGGTGGAGGAGGAGGAGGAGAAGGAGGAGGAGGAGGAGGAGGAGGAGGAGGAGGAGGAGGAGGAGGAGGAGGAAGAAGAGGAAGAGGAAGAGGAAGAGGAAGAGGAGAGAATGTCAGTGATACTGGGGCATTGGGATCAAGTGGCTCCACAGATTCTTTCATATTTTAATCGCATTCTGTTTTAATATTCCAAATCATAGAACTTTTACATTGTCAGTGTACTTAATATTAAAATGGAGAATCTCTTTGGCTTTATTCAGTCACGTTTCTACGTATTTGATTACAGTACATTATCAGGCCTTTGAGGTACGTGTACAAGACTACGGATGTACCTTCTATGGGTTAATTCAAAAACAACATTCTATTTATATTTTTTTTACAGAAGTTTAAAAGAGGGGGGGGGGGGGGGGGTGGGTGGGCAACATGAATTCTTGAAAAGAGAAAGTCACGTTATATTACGGTAAAAATTAAGATGTGGTGGGTATTAAATCACAAATTTTCTGGATAGGAGCCTTCCTGGTCCATCCATTGTTTTGGATTTATACACTCCAATGAAAATTCCTTAAAATAATGAAAATGAGAATCTCTAGAATGGCCTGATTTTGATGCAATATGCCACGATGCTGTAAACAGTGGCCTTTCATATGATTTAACTGATCTAAGGTGGAAGTTTTGAATTAGCTGCATATTAAAAATGAGGTTAAAAACTAGTTATGGAAGTCATGAATTATCTTTTTTATATGTTTGTTAGACTCCATCAATTGTATCTTATTTTTACAGATGCAGAGATATCTTATTTTGAATTAAGTTAAAGATTTGAAGAGCCATTATCAATGAAGCAGCTCATATGTAGAATATTGAACAGGGAAATGTATTTTTTGTTGTTGTAATGTTCTTTTTTCTAGATTATACCATATATCTTGTTTGATGATTTTACATATAAATACTATATATATTATATATATACGCCTGTATTTGGATTAAGTTTTGCTCTATCAATGTCCATCTACATCTTTTGTTCTATCTACAACTCGTTATCTATTCACATACTACTGCTTCACTTATCCCTTTATAGTGTTAGTCGACTGGCAGAAATATATGTTTTTGATGAAACATCAAGCATTATTATTCATGTCAACATAGGAGAAGATATTCATTGGCAAAAAAAAAAAAAAAAAAAAATGGATGGGGATCGATCGAGTCTAAATGTTCTGCTGAATAAATGTTCAAGTTCAAGTTCAAATTTTATTTCCATTATCAACGGGAAAAACACAAATTTTTATATAGAATAAATAAATTACAAACAACAGTTTGTATTATAAGTATCCTTTTCAGTATTCAAAAGTAATTATACAAGTGTAAGTGTTATTTTTCTTTGCATAACAAAAGACATTTTTTATATAATTCATAATTTAGTTACAAGGAGTTATACGACAATCAACCATAATCATGGAAGAACTGCAAGACTTCAACATTTATTATTCATAATGACCATTAGCAACCTAAATCTATATAATTTTTAAGTGTTTAAATTTTCATATAAGGATGATAAAGCTGTTAATTTTCAAAATAGGATCACAGTCGCTTCATACAGTGTGTATTGGGCTGGAGGCATGGCAGGTGTGCATGAGATTGAGTTTCATTTATTTGGTAAATGTTAATAAATGCTTATCGTTCAGAAATTAAAACCAATACTTCTAACTGTTCTTAATCGTTCGAAATAGGGATAGCGTTTTGTGCATTGTAAGTTAATGCCAAGTGTTTATATAGATATATATTGGTATTTGTAATTGTATGTGTATTCATAGTCTATATGAATAATATAAATGTAATACATGTTGCAGGATGCTTCAAAGTTGAGTGATGACAGTGATGTACCCTCGTTAATCCCACTTTATTTGTTAAATTTGTTTACTAAATTTTTTGAGCACAGAATACAATCTACAGGTGCCACGTTAATAAGTATGAGAGGATCACTCAGCAAACAAATCCACACAGTTTGAAATCTATATACATCAACAGGCCTAAATGAACTATTTAATTTCAATAATTAAATGAGCATTGTTTTTAAAAACTTTTAAAATGGGCTGCAGACAATTGTTTATTTCTGCTTTGAGCAGGTTGAAATATGTAGCATGCATGAACAAGTTGCTGAAGCTAATTGACATCAAATATCACATTTTGTGATATAGGCTGAAATCTGTAGACTCAAAAAATTCAACTGAAATAGTATTAGGCTTGTTCCAGGCTTTCTTCATGTAAATGAACAACATGATTCCCATTACATGAAGCCTAATAGTCTCACTCAAAGAAATATACTTCAATCGTCATAGCAACTCATGAATCAAACATTGCTAGAGACGATAAAGTGACATATCATTGTCAAGTTGCAGAGTAAGAAAGGCTTTTTAATCAAGACAATTTGGGACAAATAAAAATAAAATTAAAAAAAAACTGATGATAGGAACTTGAAAGTGTGATGTTTTTCAATAAACAGGTAAATGGAAAGGGTACTATACATGATATATCATGATAATAATGTTATTTCCCTGAATGTATGTAGATTATAAAAAACAACTCAAATTAAAGAAAGTTTAAATCCTCCACTGAAGAAATGTTGTCAAATGGGTTGGCCGTTAGAGGTGAAAGTTAATGAAAGCATTTCTGAAGAGAGGAAGAGAATACTATATATTGACAAGTTATTAATAAGCATTTTGTCTTGATAATGGACTATATAAACTTGTTTCCATGTAGTTTAGTGTAATTTAAGTAGATTTTAACTTCCTCTACGAATCAACATTCTTTTATGATCATTCTTATTTAATTTTGTGAAATCTATTTCATATATTTTCTGTTTTCTTTTTCTTTTTATAGTGAATAGCATATCCTATACTCTCATTGTAACATTTATCAATTTTTATTGTGTGAATTTATTGTTAACTATTTCAAGAAGATGTTACAGTTTATGTCTTTATGCGATCTAAATGCATCATAAGTTACAGATATATTCCAAATTTTCAGATTAATTAGTTTTATTTCATAGACAGAATATCATGTGAATGAAACAAGTATCAATAATCTTTCAAACTTTTATAAAAAGCAAATTGCATGCTGTGGTCTTAAAGGGAATTGTGTAAAGTGTTGTTGCTGTGTTATCTTGAATTATTGCAGATACTTTTGTAAGTTTATACTTACCGGCTTACCAATATTTTCCGGTAAATAAGATGCTTATCAAAAAAAAAACAACATTATTTTAGCAGCATGTGTATATATAGTACCATACTGAACATATAATTATTTGTTTTTCTATTCTTGACCTAAATATTTTATTTTATTTAACATTTTGTAATCTTATTATGAACTGTAATTATCTCCATGTTTGATCATTTGTGTCGTACTAATTTTTTTTCACAACTCGTACTTCTTTCATACTTATCATATTTCGGGATGAGTGGATATCATTCTTAGATTTTTTAACTCTTTTGTGTCAAATGTATCTTAATCAGGAGGAATAAATTAATTGGCGTAAATGTGTTAGCAATGTACCATTTTCTTTGAAAGTGTCTTTATTTGTTCTTAAGAGTGAATGGAAAAAGCATGTGTACGTTGAGTGACAAGCAATTAACTCTGCAAAGACTGCAAGGAAGAATTATCTTAAAAGCTTATAAAGATTTTCATGTGCAGTTTACTGTCTGCCACATAATGTTAGATGTTATGTTTGCTATGTGTGGAAAAGCCAACTGATTTTTGTTCCAGATGTTGTGATTATATGTGGTTGATAGACGAGAAAGTAGTAGTAATCCTTGGGAGGGGGTAGCCCTCGGTCCCCCACCCTGCCCCCCCCCCCCCCTGGCTCCACCTCTGCAACCAGTGTAATTGATTTCAGAAAAATTGCACAAATTCAGTGTCTAAAGTGGTAAAGGGTGGTGTCATCATTTTATTCATGTAGGCATATAGAAATATTTGAGGGAAAACATGCAAGGACCAGGGATATAAATATATATATATATATTTTTTTTTTTTGGGGGGGGGGGGGGTGGGGTAATGGTTCCCTCTTCCTTTTGGGGGATGACCTCTACTATCTTAATTATCCTCCTGCAGCCCCATCGGCCACTACAAAACCACATGTTAATTTGTCATATAAATCCTTGGTTCAATATTGACGTCATATCGTAAATGAGAGCTTGTGAGCAGTGCCGGGAGAAAATTCTTTTTTTTTCTTTTTCTCTCTCTTCCTTTCTTTTTTCCTCGCTGTTTCGCTTGCGTAAGAACCATTTCAAAATAGAGGGCGACATGTCAAAACTGGTAAGCGGTGCGGCCATCTTGTTACGATTTCCGCAGAGAGCAAGAAGAATGTCTGTTTCAACTTTCAGACCAGCAGTTGTCTCACTTTCGGTAAGCTTAAAACGAATTTATATCGTGTAGATCATTCCTATGGTAGCCAGTTACACAATTGTATCACTTTAAATGAATTTCATTTTGAATACCATTAGGAATAAATGATTTTAAAAACGCCGGTAGTGGCTAAGTTACCATCTTGGATCATGTGCCCGGTGATTTGACACAATGACACTGGCTGTGCTCGCCGGCTGAAGGCCCACGGTAGAGCTAGAGACGCAAGCTAGCAAGCAAGAGTTGGGCGTTGCGCTCGTTCTCGGTCGAAGCAAGCATAGACGATGGATCAATCAAATACATGGAGAATTTACATTTGATTATGGTACATTAAAAAACATAACCTCAACATGAGGAGGCATTCTTAAGAAATAAGCCACTGCTCATTTGTGGCAGTTGGCTAGACTTTATGAGTTTGTATTGTAATTGGTGATCCCGATGCGTTGAGAACCATCAAGAGCACTGCTTATCTTTCGCTAGTAAGACCTCATTTAGAATATGCAGCTAGTGTCTACGACCCCTATGAAACCAAGTACATCAAGCAGCTGGAAATGGTCCAACGTTGTGCTGCAAGATTTGTCAACAACAACTACAACCAACGTGCTAGTGTCACGGACATGTTGAGGGATCTGAATTGGGACTCACTGGAACATCGGCGAGAAGTTGCAAGACTTGCCCTCATGAAACAGATCCAGAGCGGACAATCTGCCATCCCGAAGACCCTAACACCTCTTGCTGTTACTAGATCCCGTCGTTCCTCAACAAGCAATAGCCATCATTTGAAACAGACGTACTGCAGGACAGACTTCTTCAAGTTCTCCTATTTCCCTCGTTCGTGCAAGGACTGGAATAAGTTACCTGATAGCGTTATCAACACAGGATCAATTGATTCCTTTAGGTCCCATGCGCTACAATTCCTAAAAGATTGCTCTATTCCATGACCATGTGCTTCGTTTCCGTGCCTTTATATGGACTAACAAGTCTGTCGACACGTACAGAAGAAGAAGAAGAAGAAGAAGAGGCGTCTAAAGTTTGTGGACATTTGAAAAATAATTAGGAATTAGCAAAATATGCTGATCTGTTGTCAATATTTTCACACCCAATCTCACTTTAAAGTAATCAAGTATTAGTGATTAATTATTAACATCGATGTCTTTGACTTTGGTCATTGGTGGTACTAGTCTAGGCCCTATCAGATTTTCAATATCTAGATCTAAGTTAGACCTATTTCTTAATACCAACTGTCTGTGAATTAAGGTCACATGAAAACTATGGATTATGGTCATACTCATTTGTTAGTTGTTAAGTGAGTGAGAACTTAACAAATATAAAGCCTTCTCTTTTGCCTTCAGATTTAATGAAAAATATTTGTTAAATAGCTCTCTCTCTCTCTCTGTTGTTTCCCTCCACTTTTCGGAGATCAGCGAGTTCATCGCATTCAAAGTACCGGTAGTAGGCTGATGTAAATGTTGTAATATGGAATGTTGAGGTAATTATGCCATAATGTATTATAGTGTATTGGTGCATTAGTGTATAAGGAATTGTAGGTGGAGCAGTCTACAATGTAAGCTACCCCCCCCCCCCTTCCTCATCAGACAATAGCCTTACTTTCCCGCCTTTTTGGGGGTACCTGTATTGCCCAATGTACTGATACCCTATAGGCATGATTGGGGATCCTATTGTAAGTTTTAGTGGATGAGTGATTTTCTTTTGTTCGGGGTCTGTGCACCCAGAGCTGCTATAGCAGGGACAGAGAGACATTGTAGATTGGAGAGAGAGGAGAGAAGCACTAATTTGTGCCTGCTAATGGAGATTGTTATTTACTTCTGGCAGATCACAATTCATGTAAGTTGATTTATACTGTTGGAACTGATGATTATTATATATATTTCATATTATTAATGGATGTCACATTTTATGAATTGCTGAAGATAAGATAGTGAAAGTTGAGGATTGTTGAACCATGTTGTATGTACACTGATATAATGACACTTTATGATAAATGTGATTAACTTATTTCATTTGCATTACATGTATCATGCTTTATAAAGTAGATTATTATGCTTGAATTTCTGATAATGATGAAATGATAATTACTCTGACAAATTAAATTAATTTTAAGTTTGTCTTTATATAGATTGAAACATGTTTCTGTTAAACAAAGTCAATTAAAAGAATGACTACCAAAGAGGATTTATATATATATATATTTGAATGTAATTACATTGTGTCATGCAGTTTTCACAAAGTCATTATTGTGAAGTAAGAATTGTTATTTTATTGTTGTTACCTTTAGGGCTGCATGTGGTGAAATCTCCTTATTTGATGAACTACACTTTCTACAATAAGGTGGAAGCTTTGTTTATGATCAGGGGTCGGACGACAGCATATAGCGTTAGTGTTGCTTCGTCGTTATAGTATTGGCCGGTGAGTGGAGTTTGGCTCTATTGTGTATAGATATATATATGACCTAATATACATGCAATTGTAAACCGATTATTGCACGAAATGATGTAAAATGTACAATATTCTTCTGTCCTATATATGTTCTAATTAATTATGGCAACTATACTGCTACAGACAATTAAAACAGTTAAGCTACCTTTCATGATATTGCACATAATAAGAATTATTATTGAAAATTGAATAATGTATTAATTGATGACTCGTGTTGAGTTGGAAACTATTGCAATGTTTACACTTTAATTTGTTCTGTTTAATGGAAGAAAGCAAATGAAACCATGAATTGTTTGTTATTACATTTTGCTCCAGAGGCTATATGCTAATTATATTTCGTTCAAATTTTGTTCTTGTACAGGGGCTGTGTTTTCTTTGGTGAATAAATGCAAGACTAAAGTTTACGTTGGACTCCCTAGCTGTTGTCATTTCTGAATCTCAACAATGGTGTCAGAAGTGGGATGACTGACGGCGAGGGACAACTGGACTGAGATCATCTGCACGGATACTGACCAACCTCCAACTTCTTGCGGCCGTGACGTCGTCGGCTGGCGATATTTGGTGTCAGCAACGTCCGGAGGCAAAAGTGAACATTGGACAGACAGTGAACATTCAACAGCCTCGGTCAGATACATTGTGACCATTAATGAATTTGAAGAACATGTTCATGTAATGATACACATGATTGATGATTTGTTCGTTTAAGTTTGCTTGTTGTGAAATATTATTGTTCCTGTTGAATTTCATAATTAACACATTTAAGTGCAGGAAAATGGCCCCTACATCTACGACAACAACTGTGACAACAACAACAACAACTACCACGTCGACAGCATCATCCACACGACCTACTATGACACCAAGGGAGCAACCTTCAGACATGGACATGCTGTCACAGTTCTTTCGTCGTTCCATTGGGCTACAGAGCATTCTCCAGAGCAACTTGCCCAAGTTTAGGGGAATACCACAACACGCAAACGACATTGCACTATCGGAATGGCTTGAGGAGTTCTATGAGATCACTGCTCAACACAACATGGAAATGGGCAGTAAGGCCAGACTTCTTGTAGATCACCTTGCAGGACCGGCAAGGGAGGAAATTATGTGCCTTAGTGAATCCCGAAGACGTGATTTTGATGAAGTTGTAGCATGTCTTAAACTATGTTTTGGCTACGAGGAAAATACACAGTCGTTGAGCAGCAAGTTCCATAACCGCGTACAGAGAGAAGGGGAATCGCTTTGTGACTTCAGCCGGGCCTTGATACGCCTATACATAAAGCTGGAGAAGGCAGCAATCACCCAAGCCCAAGGTGAAGCTTTGGCACAATTAAAAGACAAAGCTTTGAGTGACCAATTTGTTAATGGCGCACGTGAGGCTTGGGTCAGGAGGGAGTTGAGACGCATCCAATTAACTCATGGGCCCAGTGGGTTCAATAGGATGAGAGCAGAGGCACTCCAGCTTTTCCAGGAGTCTCCAACAGCTCAGCGTACCAGAATCAGAGAAGCGGACGTCGAGGTCGGACGGGTGGTCACATCAGATTCTGCACATCTTCTGCAACAGATGGTAGACCAACAGACAACTATTATGACTGAACTAGAACAGCTGAGAGGGGAGGTTACACGATTGAAAAATGCCAAACCTCAGAGAAGGAGGGTGAGTAGTGGATGTTTTCATTGTGGTCAGAAGGGACACTTTATAAGGGAGTGTCCCAACATGACACATATGCCTACCAACATATTCCCCGCAACGATGGGTAGCCCAGCTAGCACCCTTTCAGCTAGACATCAGATTTCGCCCTGGCAAGCTCAATAAATGTGCTGATGCTCTCAGCCGCTGTCCTGGCAATGATGAACAAGAGGTGAGAGAGATGATCGGTGCTCTGACAGTAACTACTGTCTTACCAGTGGAAGTTACAGTAAACAGTGATCAGGGGCCAGAAGAAGCACCTCGGGCAGCTCCTGAAGTATACCCATCATATTCCACAGAGAAACTTGAGATTCTGCAGCAGCAAGATGATGCACTGTCAGCTTGCAGACAATACATAAGAGATGGATGGAAGCCAGAGGATGAAATGAAAAGAGAGAACAGAGAGACAAAGTCCTGGATGAAAGAACGCATGTACCTCAAAGACTGTGGAGGGGTATTGTACAGACGACCACCAGATTCCAAACATCCACAGAGAAGACAGTTGTTAGTTCCCAAAGGCCTCCAAGAGAAGATGCTACAGATGGCTCATGACCAATGGGGCCATCAAGGGATAAACAGAACCATAGCAATCCTGCGAGAAAGATGTTTCTGGCCAGGAATGTGTAATGATGTGAGAGCACACATCAAGAAGTGCTTTGCCTGCATTGCAGCTAAGACGCCAACACCGACAATACGAACTCCAAGACGACACTTGCTGGCATTCAAGCCCCTAGAACTGATCGCAATCGATTTTCTGAAATTGGATAAGGGTCAAGGTGGATACGAGGATGTCTTGGTAATCACTGATGCATTCACCAAGTTTGCACGAGCAATCCCCTGCAAGAACCAGACTGCAGCAGTTGTTGCACGTGCCTTAATCGATGGTTGGATAGTCCACTACGGTGCTCCACTACGTATCCACTCCGATCAAGGACGAAATTTCGAGAGCTCTCTTGTCCGAGAATTATGCAAACTGTACGGAATTGAGAAGACACACACCACACCGTACTATCCACAAGGCAATGGACAAACGGAAAGGTTCAACCGAACGTTATGCAGCATGATTCGTTCCCTTGAGCCAGATCGTCGGAGAAAGTGGCCTGGGCTGATCCACCAGCTGGTTTTCCTATACAACTGCACCCCTCATGGAACAACAGGGCTATCGCCATACCGTCTCCTGTATGGGAGAGAGCCGCACACACCAATCGACCAGCTAATTGGGAATAGCGAAGCAGACTGGAATGAGGACTTTCTTACAGAGCATTCGAAGTCGCTACAACATGCTCATACGGTTGCTAAGCAAAACATGGAAGCGATCTTGAGAAGTGAAAAGATCAGACATGATGCTCTACCAATGAGTTCCACACTAAGCATTGGCACCCGGGTACTGATCAAGAAGTGCGCGTTTGAGGGTCGACACAAGCTTGACGACAAAGTGTTGAGAGATCCCTTCATAATCACGGCGGTAAATGACACGGGTGACGTTTACAAAATTCGACCAGTGTTAGGAGGACCAACCAAAGTAGTGAACAGAAGGTTGCTGATTCCAGACCCACGTGAAGAGATGCCAGTTCATATTGTTCAGGAAAGCAGAAGTGACCATGCCACGTCACAACACCCCTCGACTCGTTCTATAGAAGAGAACACCCCCTCTTTCACTTTCTTGTGGGATCGACCGATGAATATTCCAGGGGATCAGAACAACCTGCGAGTAGACATTCGTGACGATGAATATATTCCAGATGAGGGAAATGACCACGACGGAGCAAATGTTGAGAATGAAGAAAATGGTACGGATGACGTTCTCAATCTGAGCGGAGATATAGTACCTGATGAGATAGACAACTCTCAACTTGAGAACCCCAGTCCCGAGGTACCGCGTAGGAGGTCTAATCGAGTAACTAAAGGCCAGCATAGAAATCCACTGCGGCTTCCAATATCGGCGTTACAAGAGTAAAAAAAAAAGAAGAGAGTTTTGAATTTGAAGACAAGAATTAAATATTACTTGTCAGATTAAGATGTGATGTGTTATTAATGCTATGCATAATGTTTTAAAGAACATTGTTTTGTATTTTCATATACTACTGAAAAACATTTTGGTCAAACATTATGACATTAATTGCGGGGAAGTGTATTATAGAAAGATTTTCATTGCTTATATTTTCATGTATCGCTAAAATCTCGGTCAAACAGTATGACATTAATTGCGGGGAAAGGTGACGATTTGGAATTTCGCTCGTAATAATGTATCATTTTTATCAAACATTATGACATTAATTGCGGGGAATATGTTGTAATATGGAATGTTGAGGTAATTATGCCATAATGTATTATAGTGTATTGGTGCATTAGTGTATAAGGAATTGTAGGTGGAGCAGTCTACAATGTAAGCTACCCCCCCCCCCTTCCTCATCAGACAATAGCCTTACTTTCCCGCCTTTTTGGGGGTACCTGTATTGCCCAATGTACTGATACCCTATAGGCATGATTGGGGATCCTATTGTAAGTTTTAGTGGATGAGTGATTTTCTTTTGTTCGGGGTCTGTGCACCCAGAGCTGCTATAGCAGGGACAGAGAGACATTGTAGATTGGAGAGAGAGGAGAGAAGCACTAATTTGTGCCTGCTAATGGAGATTGTTATTTACTTCTGGCAGATCACAATTCATGTAAGTTGATTTATACTGTTGGAACTGATGATTATTATATATATTTCATATTATTAATGGATGTCACATTTTATGAATTGCTGAAGATAAGATAGTGAAAGTTGAGGATTGTTGAACCATGTTGTATGTACACTGATATAATGACACTTTATGATAAATGTGATTAACTTATTTCATTTGCATTACATGTATCATGCTTTATAAAGTAGATTATTATGCTTGAATTTCTGATAATGATGAAATGATAATTACTCTGACAAATTAAATTAATTTTAAGTTTGTCTTTATATAGATTGAAACATGTTTCTGTTAAACAAAGTCAATTAAAAGAATGACTACCAAAGAGGATTTATATATATATATATTTGAATGTAATTACATTGTGTCATGCAGTTTTCACAAAGTCATTATTGTGAAGTAAGAATTGTTATTTTATTGTTGTTACCTTTAGGGCTGCATGTGGTGAAATCTCCTTATTTGATGAACTACACTTTCTACAATAAGGTGGAAGCTTTGTTTATGATCAGGGGTCGGACGACAGCATATAGCGTTAGTGTTGCTTCGTCGTTATAGTATTGGCCGGTGAGTGGAGTTTGGCTCTATTGTGTATAGATATATATATGACCTAATATACATGCAATTGTAAACCGATTATTGCACGAAATGATGTAAAATGTACAATATTCTTCTGTCCTATATATGTTCTAATTAATTATGGCAACTATACTGCTACAGACAATTAAAACAGTTAAGCTACCTTTCATGATATTGCACATAATAAGAATTATTATTGAAAATTGAATAATGTATTAATTGATGACTCGTGTTGAGTTGGAAACTATTGCAATGTTTACACTTTAATTTGTTCTGTTTAATGGAAGAAAGCAAATGAAACCATGAATTGTTTGTTATTACATTTTGCTCCAGAGGCTATATGCTAATTATATTTCGTTCAAATTTTGTTCTTGTACAGGGGCTGTGTTTTCTTTGGTGAATAAATGCAAGACTAAAGTTTACGTTGGACTCCCTAGCTGTTGTCATTTCTGAATCTCAACATAAATATGCTATTATAATCCGTAGTTGGAGGGTAGGGAGTGCAGGCGATGGGCATGAATTTTGTAAAGATAGTGAATTGTCATCTTTAAAAATAGAACCATTGACAGTGTAGGGAAGGGATGGATCATATGGCAAGAGAATAGTGCAAGTCAGATGGGAAGGGTCCTGGCTGTTGAGCTGTGGTGTATTTGGTGCAGGGTCAAGGACATTATGCCGGAGTCTGCTGACTCTGTCGATAAGGTCTTCCAATAGGGGGCCGTTTCTCGAAACCGTCATAACTACAAGATCAACGACATCTCGCCACTGTCACGCAACTTGTCAGCTAAGTGTTTCACGAAGCCGTCTTTGCCAAGATGAGCGACAACTTCCGCGACAAGCGAGTTGTCACTGCTCCGAACCTGTCATATCTTTTTAATTGCTGTAAATTGCTGTCAATTTGTTGCCATTCCATGGGCCGCGAAATGGACGATTAGTTTCACTATCATTTTGAGAAAAATATAGACGAGTTCGGTACGTAATTCTCTGGGATGCAAATGTACAAACGTGAGAATACAAATTATACAGAAACTTTAAAAAGCTGAATATAAACATTAAATCACAAATCATTAAACTATAACATATAAATAAGAGAGGTAAGAATGTTACACACCGTTTTCCATAGTCGATCCATAGTCTTTTCTTAGGATACCGTCATACCTTTGGGGCCTATGTGCATTATTATTCCCTCTCTAATTACATGTACTTCTTCCAAATTATATTTTCAATATCAAATCAATTATTATTATTATTATTAATTATATAACGAGTATTTATGAGACTCTAAAATAAAAACTGGCTGAGAAAAGACATTTTGCCTAAAATTCCTCGTCACAATAAACAAAAAAGTACGTATTGATAAACTATCACATTACGGTATCCTTCAACTGACTTTTGATTCGACTGTCGAAAAAAAACACCGGTTTTTTCTTCAATTTAAGAATCTTTACAGAAATATGCAAATCGTTTGATGATGTAAATATGATAATGACACTATTTATTATTTATTTTAGGAGAATTTATATGTATATATTTCTTTTTGAACAATTTTAGCCCCAAAACTTGTTTTGGGTTATTCTTGATAAATCAAATGGATCGTGACAAAGACTCTGTTCTTGAGCTGCTAGTATCGCGATATATCAATATCATGTCTGTCATGGCTTTGTGAAACGGTTTATCCGCTTCATGACATCTCCGTAGGTCGCCGACAAAGATACGACTGTCATGGAGTTGGTTTCGAGAAACGGCCCCTAGGTTGACAGTAATCGAGCAGGCAGCCACAGCGCGTACTACGGTATCCTCAAGATTGCAGAGAGGACACTTTGTGTTGGTTGCACTAGACCTAACCATCATGAATATGATTCAATGAAACTTAATTTGCTTGTAAGCACAGTTGTAAGTCTAAATGTGCAGTTTTGACACTCTTCTCCCTTCAATTTTTTCCTCACAGAGACGTTGGTTCTCTGCTCAAGCTGCAACACAAGCCAGGCAAGCAGAGGCAGAAAAACATGAAGTTCAGGTATGATTTTGTTTAAATGTAGATCTATTAGTATTATTTCATTTTTATTAAATACAAGTTTGATGTAGCTAACAAATAAAAAGTGTTGCTCACCATCAAAAAGAAAAAGATACTGCCCATTATTTAATTGAAACTAAACTTTTTTTAAAGCTTGAGGCTGAGGCTATTTTGCCTCAAAAACTTTAAGAGTTGTATGACGGTTCCATGAGATGAACAGGTAAGCCCTTGTAAAAATTATTTTTGTCAATAGACCATTTCATAGTTAGCTTTGGTGCAAATGACCCCCACATATCCAAAGATCTTTTACATGTCGAATAACCACTGCCAAAGTGATTGAGGTACTTCATGAATTACTTTTGTCTGCCTTCTTGAGAAGGACATTTCCACTTGTGTTTGAGAGATTGTACTGTCGATGAATAAATGAATAATAATCAGCTGACTTTCATGAGCACAAATCCAATAGTCTCATTGGGTTTTACTATTTTGGGTCAAATAAACTTTATCTGCTGTGCGCAGGTTGTATCTACTAAATAGCTTATTGGGTGGCAATCTTAAATAAGTAAACTACACAGTATGAGGATGTGTGAAACGAAGGATCACACGAAAGTGGTACATGTACTATGCTTGATTTAAGATTGCGCCAGGAATCCTGACCCTGAGTTCAGAATTGTTAATTTCCTGATCTTTTTATCACACATGTACATAATCTTCTACAGGTAACCAAACTTCCAAGCGGGCTGACTGTAGCCTCTCTGGAAAACAACTCTCCTGTCTCCAGGCTAGCGGTGATCGTCAAGGCCGGCTCCAGATATGAGGGCATTGACAACCTGGGTGCATCACATTGTTTGCGAGCATTCGGTCACTTGGTAAGGCTATCCACAGTGTCATCCATTAAGCTGTGCTGTACTCGGCCATTACTTGAGATTTTACTTGCACAGCCTTTTAAATGCACCAACAAGCATGCACTTCAAATGAGCATCTAAGTTGATTCCTCAGCACTACATTCTCAGTAATGGATCCTGCTGAGTATCGTCATAGAGGTAGAAGTAGAAGTTCAATTGTATAGGTTTACTGTGTTGCCGTTGTTAAAACAAAAATTAGGAATACTTTGTGCAATCTAAAAAAACAAAATTGGTTCACCTTGTAGAATGTAAACCACATAATTGAATGACACAGGTAAAAAGTATCGTGGAATGGTAATTCAAAACCTACAAAGAAACTCTTGGACAAGGACCTGAGAGAAAAAAAGAAAAAAAAGTGTGTGTGAAAATGAAAAAAGAAGAACATAGTGTGCTTCTTCCATTTTTGTAATCAGAGATGCCAATTTTGAAGCAATAGTCTGAATTCAGGCCCTGGCAAGTTATTTTCAGACCATAGTTTATGATTTTTTGTGTACAAAAGAGCTAATTCTAGGTGATTTTCAGGCCCTCTGATCAATTTTAACTGGCATCCCTGTGTAATGCCTACTTAAATGATGAACTGTATTCTTGTGGTTTCAGACGACAAGCGGTGCTTCAGCCCTCAGCATCACCCGCGGTTTAGAGGAGGTAGGAGGCTCGTTGGAAACAAGTACAACCAGGGAACATGTCACATACAGCGTCCAATGCCTCAGAGACAATCTGTAAGTCAAGCGATTACATAATCACAGCCTTCTCCCCTCAAAAATGCCACCTTGTTTGCCTTATTACTTTTAAAGGTAAAGACCAATTTTGGAAACGCCCCTCTTTCAAAAAATGAAATGGAAGCTCTTATTACCAACCATGTGAAAGAATATGTTTTGACTAGAACGTGATGATAACAATTTTGCCAAGACACCGCCTACCAATTGATATATTTGGTAAATCATTACATCTATTTGGACCTGATAGATATCGTGCATGTGTCGCACGCGTTTCGTGTAGTCCTATATAAATCTTTCTGTGTACAGTAACTTTACCAAGACTGGGCCAAATTTCTAATGATTTGGATGATTCCAGAACCTTGCAGTACACACCAATACTTATATATTGATTGGTAAATGTAGCTGGATAGCTCCTATACGGCCGTATCTTGCATTTGAACACCATAATGACGAAGGCCGTGTCCTACAATCCTGATTGATTGCAAGTCCTTCAGTGATTTAGAAACTTACAAACTTTTTTCTCTTGAGTAAAGAGTTGCTTATTGAATATCAATTTGTGATCAGTTTGAATTTAATCAAATTGATTGCAGCTATTCATGAGAAAGGTTCCAAGAAAAACTGCACAGTGTATTAGCGCGTAGGATATATTTAGTCCTAACCCTATTAATATTAATAATAATAGATCACATTTATAACGGCCTAATACTTTGTTTCTAGGCGCAGTACATATATTATTACCCCGGTCATCGCATTCAGGCTCAACTGCACACAATTTATGCACATTCTCCACTCCCCGGGGAGCATTGTCATGCTTTCCTGACAATTAACGCAGGCATTCATATATTTCACAAATGACGGAAACAGTATTTTATATTGCAAGGTAATCTTTCTATCCCCCGACAGAGACACCGGAATGTTCTACCTCAAGAATGTGTCCACCGGCCAGGAGTTCAGGCCATGGGAAGTCAAAGACAACAACGAGAGATTGCTCTTTGATCTGGCTTGCTACAAGGATCAGCTCCAACTCAGTAAGTAGACATGTTTTATGTTAGGCCTTTAAAAAAAAGTAAGTTGTATCGCCCTTTGCGACCGACCCCAAAAATCTTGCAATCTTCGGTTGGCTTTTTTTTTTAGACCTTTTTTTTTTTAAAGAATTTTATTTTTTAAAGCATTTAAAACTGACAAATATCAGCCCAAAGAGGGAGTAAAAAAAAAAAAAAAAAAGTTTCTGACTGACCAACCCATGTTTTGGCACCTAAAAGTGCAATACAACATCTTTTTTTTAGGCCTTATTTGCCACTCTCCACCCAGGTTCAGGAAATGGGTACCTGGTAGAAATTGATTCCTTGAATGCTTTTAGCGCCTGAGGGCAGCTGGGGGTAATGCTAGGGAAATAATAGTACCTTTGTAGGCGCATTGAGCATTCCCTAGGATGCCGATTTGTGCGCAATATAGATATCTAGAGATGACAGATTGATGTGAAACAACCATTCGATCTGGTTATAGGTGACTGTTATGGTGGCTTGCAAAATCTAGTGACACATTGAACCAAGTGCATTTTTTAATTTTTAAGGGATGAGCTTTAATATGATCTGCCTAAAGAGATCATCCAGATCCTTTCCACATATACATGTACATAGATTACGTTGTATATTTTAAAAACAGTCCCCCCCCCCCCAAGTCAAAGTAGAAGTAAGATGTACCTACATGACAAGCAATTTAGCCGTATCTGTTCTTTCATGTGCCACTTGGTCTAGTCAGAACTACCTAAAGCAGTCTTGACTTCACATTAATTGTATCACTAATTAACTAATTTTGCATCAGTAATAGGGCATGTCCAAGCTATCTTTTCCCTTACGTTACCAACCTCATCCAAAATTTCATTATATCTAATAACTGTATCTAAAAACATGTAATAAAGATTATTCATATGCTGATTTATGTTCACAATTCCAAAATACATTTCACTAACACTTGGTAAAGTATGGAACCTACCGTGGACTTGCATCATAGCGTAATGTTGCATCAGTAGTCATAAAGTTACGACTGACATTTTGAAAATCATTGTAGATGTGATGGAGCAGCTCCACAGCGCAGCCTACAGGGACACTCTGGGCCAATCTATCTACGCGCCCGAGTACATGGTGGGCAAACACAGCACCCAGATGCTGAAGGACTTCGCCACCAGTCGCTTCACCGCCGACAACATGGCTCTCGTCGGTGTCGGTAAGTCTGCGGACTGTTTCTTTTCGGTTCCAGTGATGTCCAGTGAAAATGTTTTGGAATGAAATTCAGAAAGAGGTGTAAGCATGCCGCGCACACACCAGAAAGACTATGAATTTACAGGTCAGAATTAACACTTCTGATGGCATAGAAGTGGAAGATATTTTATGACTTATTTACATTGATTTGTTGGTTTTCAAAATTCTTGAATTTGTTGTATTTGGCTGATATAAGGTTGCATGGAGTCACAAAAATTGGTCATCTCAGAGATTTAAAGTCAAAAGATGCACTTCTTGAATGCAAAGTTATGTATATATATATATATATATATATATATATATATATATATATATATATAGGGTGCAACCCCCCAATCTTCCAGGCCCAGCTAGCTTAGCCATTTCTTACTACATCTGCAAACATTCACATGTATGTTGTAACTTAATTGTTCTGTTGTACTTTCTTTATTGAAGGTGTTGATCACAGTGACCTGAAGGCCTTTGGCGAGTCATTTGATCTTCAACGTGGTGACCCCTCAACTCCAGCTGCAAAGTATTCAGGTAAACATTTTAGCTTGGAATTAATCCGTTTCGTTATTTGATAGGTATTCGTCTTCAAGGTTTGTTGTTGGGTTGTCTTGGATGTAGATACTCAACTACTTTTATAAGGTCGATAATAAGACTATGCCACAATCTCTTCAGATGCAACCTGTATAGAATGACCACCTGTCATGCAAGAAGACAAACTTGTTTTCCTTCTTTAGTGTCTTTAATTAAAGCCTTTATCAAAGTAACCTGTATAGAGAGACCATCTACCATCATAGACCACCCTCTTGTCTTCCTAGAGCGGTCTTTATGTACAGGTTTGACTCTTTACAGTTCATTACAAACCTTATACATTCAAACCTGTCTACAGCGACCGCCCGAGGAAAACACAAAAAGTGGTCTTTGTAGACCGGTTCCTTTAGTACATGTTTCAAAGAGAAACTATTTTCAAGGGAAACAAAAAATGTGATCCTTGTAGACAGGTGGTCACTAAAGCAAGTTTGACTGTATTCACTTCCCATTGCCTTCCCCTCCAGGTGGTGAGCTGAGGAACCAGTGCGACAGCCCCCTGGCCTATGCCGCCGTGGGCGTAGAGGGCGCCAATCTGACCGGCAAGGACCTTCTGGTCACTGGCATCCTTCACCAGCTGATGGGCAGTGCACCGTACATCAAGAGAGGAAGCAACCTGGCCACCTCCAAGGCTAGCCAGGCAGCCTCCAAGGCTTCTTCGCTCCCTCATGCCGTAAGAACTCCTGAAACACAATTTGTTTACAAATAGAGAGATCTAGCATTTACTCCTGCAACATTTGCTCTGGTGTTTATTTTGTCAAAAACATAGGGTTAGGTTAGGGTCGCAGTAGGATTGCTAGTTGGGTTTAGGGACAGGTATAGTGTTTGATCTGGTGTTGGAATGGATGAGGTCGGTTGGTGTAGGAAATTGACCAGAGAGCCAACTTGGCCACTTCGAAAAACGGCCTCCGAGGTTACCTTACTTCCTCATGCTGTAAGAACCCTAGACACATAAGTCACTCAACAACAACAGAAATGCTGGGACATTGAGAGAGACATATAGATACAGAGATGGACAGAGTCACACAGAGAGAGAGATGGAGAGAAAGAGGTTAGGCTCTTGATAGCTCAAAGGAGAATGTAAAGCCCATGAATTAGCAGATATTCTTTACAAATGTAAATATGTTTTAAATATCCTGAAACTATTCTTATTTGATTAGTTACTGCCTTTTCACACATGACAAGGGAAACCTTGGCCTTAATTTTTTTTTTTAATGAGCCATTTAATGGTTAGTGGATATCAAGCTGAGATGAATGCTGCGCGGAACAAAGGTCCTACACCTACTCACTCATCTGTGTATTATACGATATAGAAATGTGAGGTGCATTAAGCTCGACCTACCCTAATTTCTGGGACATGCATCTCAATATCGGCTCTACATTGACACATACCATGATCTAAAGTGATGTGCTGACATTTTCTCTATTTTTTTTTCTCCCCCATCTTTATAACAGGTGAACTGCTTCAATCTGCCATACTCAGACTCTGGTCTCTTTGGATTCTTTGCCATCACCCAGCCCAATGATATGGCTCCTGTAAGTCCCCCCCCCCCCCCTCCTTCTTCAATGGCCAGGGATGCTATTGGTGATATGTGCACTAGGTTAAGTGATCTGGCTTAGTGAATTACCAATAATCTGAAGGGTAGTTCTGTTTCCATATAGAAAATAAGTAGTCAAGAAAAATGGATTGATTTAATATGTTTATTGATATATTTGTCATAATTTTGATACAATTCGGAAAGTGTATTGACTTTCATACTAAATGTGATACATGTACTGATAAAGCAATGCTCTTGGGTGAGCTTGTGTGTACATTTTATCTTGTTGTACACATGTTGTAATTTAATTTTTTATTTGCTGTAATTAAATAAAATACAACTCTTTACATTGTGTTTAATCTGTAAGTAATATTCAGTTTGCAAATTTGCTTTGATCTGTCTTGAAAATTTACCAGAGATATCGTTGTTTCACGTTACTTGTTAAACAGGTGCTCAAATCCCTCTTGGGACAGTTTGGAGCCATGACCAAGGGAAACGTTGGTGCCCAGGACCTCCAGAGAGCAAAGTAAGACTTTCTACTGTTTACATTCAATTAGGAAGAGCGATAGCTCAGTTGGTAGAGCATTGGTCTCGTAATCAGGCGACCTGGGTTCGAAACCAAGGCGATGGGCTAGTGCCCTTTGGTAAGGCATTAATAATCATTACCAGGTCCCTCGGAGAGGACCTAAAGCCGTCGGTCCTCTGGTTGCTTACCAACAAGCATTTATGCTTTCTTAGCAGCCGGGTAAAATAACTATCATTCCTACTACTATTAATTTTCCCTTCATTGTCGAATTACAAACAGAATGGCTGAGTTCTGAGTGCGAGAAATGCAGAGAGATTAGTAGTGGAGTAGTGGACGGGTAAAAAGGGCTGGTTACATATGGGAGATGTTGAGAAGGTTGATTGGTTTTGCTATCTAAAGCTATGGTCACAAATCAGAGCAGCGACCGACCGATCAGTAGCCTGCTCGGTCGCTGCTGGAATTAGGCATCGCCCAGCGATTAGGTCGGTGCCCGGGCGGTGACCGCCCAGGCACAATCAACAGTGGCGGTTGCAGTGGCAAGAAGATGCAGAGTGGGGTAGATGAAGTTTAAAGGGGGTGTAGCATGACGAGACTACGTGTCTTTCCCGTGGCCTGACTCGAGGCTCTTTGACTACAAACAACATGACCGCAGTATTCACGTGCGTGCAACATACGTGAAACCGAAGCGTGAGATGAACTTCGGTCTGTTTCGCGACCTCTAGCACGCTGACTGTTAATCAAGTCCATTCGTTTATGTGCAGTTGTTCAAAAGAAGTCGTAGATGGCGTTAACCAGTATTTGCCATGCTACACCCCCTTTAACAAGCTGGCCTCAATCCTATCGGTGGTAGAAGGTTTACGATGAGAATAAATGACAATCTATAAGGCTTGTGTGAGAATTTTACAGAAATCATGTAAGGTACTGCAACCTTGAATGTGAAGACAGTAGAAAAAGGTATCTTGAGGAAAACAGAAGGAGCCATGATACGGAAGATGTGGTGTGAAACTGTCCGGTGGAAAGAACACTAGGGATCTCATTGAAAGGTGGGGTCTGGAAGAAACGGGTGGAAGTGGTAAAGAAAAATGGATTGATATGGATGGATGGGTCATGTGTTGTGGATGGCAGATGAGGAACCTGTGAAATAAACATGGGATCTGGAAGTAGATATCATTAGAGGGAAAGGTGGACCATAATTTCATGGAAAGAAATGGTGAAGAAAGAAAGCAGCAAGATTGGTCTAAATGAAGATGATGCAAAAGACAAGAAAAAGTGGAGGGAGGGAGTGTCATAGTGCAAAAGTTGGTAACCCCTAGTATGAAGGCAAACGCTGACTTTTATCAATGATGATGATGATGATTTGCGGTTACTGAGAACTTCAAATACATTATGCTAGCTGAAAGACTTTATTCTTGCACTGTAGGAAGCTGTTTTGTCTTGATTTTTACCCCCTCGCCTGATTTAAAACCAATAAAGTAGCAAAACACCATTCTTTATCATGCTGTATCTATAAACATCACTGTTCAGGCCCTACATTCTGGATCCTACACCTAAGCACTGTTCATATGATATGTACACACTCACCCTTCTAATCACCGTTTTGTTGTTGTTCTAGGAACCAACTGAAGGCCGCTGTCTTCATGAACCTTGAGAACCAAGGTGCTCTCCTTGAAGACATGGCTGTCCAGGCCCTACATTCTGGATCCTACGTCAACGCTGCTGCTGTTGCCAAGGCTGTCGATGGTATCACTGCTGAGGATGTATCGAGGGTGAGTAGTTCTGGGCAGGGCGTAGTTGTATTGTGGCTAAGGCGAGTTGATGGTTGTTAACATTAAGGCTGTGCATAATCGTGTAATGATGTACTCGAGTACACTCCCAGACTTACAGACGAATACTCAAATACTCGGACGCCATGGTTTTTTAGTTGAATTTCTTTTTTTTTTTTTTTTTTTTTTTTTTTAATTTTTTTTTTGCCACCACCATACTATCCCAAGTCCGTCTCTGAAAACTCAAATGATTTTACTTCGAGTTGCAGTTGAAGGCGCCGATTTAATAATAATAATAATAGTAAACAATGCTCTTTTTAAAACCAAAGATGACAGAAAATCTATTTCCTCTGAGTCCAAACAGAAATCCAGACATTTGGTCCCAGTTTCTGAGTGGTGAGTTGACAAAGATTGAGCTGGGAAACATTTCTACCTGCATTACCATGCCGGCGCTGCCTCCCGGGCACGATAAGCGTCCACCTGGACAGTGCCAGGCGCTGGCCAAAAAAAAAAATGGCGGCCGAATATTTGAGAAATAGCTGTTAGCAGTACGAGTGCTGGAGTATTCGACTACTCGTCGCAGCCTTAGTTGACATTTGTTTTGGTCAAGTGGCTAGTATAGGTGGATTTGGGTTCACCCATGCCTAAAGGTAAATCCCAGTATTGGAAACGCCCCAATTTCAAAAAATGAAATGGAAGCTCTTAATACCAATCATGTGAAATGGTATGTTTTGACTAATACATCATAATAAAAATTTGCCGGGAAACTACCTACTAATTGATATATTTGGTAAATTAGTTTATCTATTGGTGTGTGAGAGATAACCCCACGTGTCACGCATGTGTGCGTAGTCCCATATACATCTTTCTTTGTACAGTGCTTGTAACTTTACGAAGACTAGGCCAAATTTCTTATCATTTTGATGATTCCAGAACCTTGCAGTACACACCAATACTTGTATGCTAGATGATCAACCTTTTCTGATCGATTCCACAACATTTCTTTCACAATGCAATCGCATGACCATAACTGGTCTTTATCTTTAAAATACTGAGACATTAATTTTAAAGAATTTTTTTTTCCTAATCGTTTCCTTTTGTTTTTCCATTAGTTTGAATCTCTTTAATCTCTAGTCTATAGTTGAGAAAGCATATGAAGCCATTCATTAATGATTTACAACATCTCTCTTTCCCCCCTCTTCCTCGACCCGCAGGTCGCCAAGCGTATCTTCAACGGCAAGAGCTCGATGGCAGCCAGCGGCAACCTCATCAACACCCCCTACATGGACCAGCTTCTGACGTCATGAGTGCACCCTCTATCATAGAATAAATTATAGTTAGATGTACAGGAGTTCCTTGTTTTGTGTCTATCAGAGATATGAATTTGAAGAGTTATTCTATTTGAAAGTGATGTGAAAGGAAACCAAGTTGACGAAACTGAAAGACTTTGGGAATCATAATTTCTTCCCCCAATCCCCAATGATTGCATATTTTAGTAACAAAAGAACACACAACAATACCTACATTTTAAGTATTTGTGTCAGCATTCTATCAAAATTGAAACACGTGTCATGAAATAAAGATATGTATTTGCTCTGAAGATTTAGCAGAATTTGAATACTACCCTGTATATGCATACACATGTGCTGCATGTACATGCATAAACACTGTACTCCTTGCACATGCATGGGCTCGTACTTTGGTACGAGGTAGTGATGGGAATCATAACAATTTGGCAATGTTTGCTTTTTTCTGGCAATAATTGACAATGCTGATTTGATAAATTCTTAGAAAAAATGGCATTATCTCTCACCTTCATGTTTTTCTTAAGGAGACAGCATTAAAGAGAGAGAATATGGGGATGTTTGTTCAATACATGCAACTTGAAATACTAGTAATATATATGTGTGTATATTTCAGAATGTGTAATATTGAACCAAAAATACATCCTTTGAAAAATATTAGAAGCCAAGAAACAGGTCATCCTTGAAATGTTTCCATTATTTGTCTTGTTCAACTGCTACTACAAGGAGTCAACTGACAAAATAAAATGAAAAAGTTACTTGAGATTCTCGTCGGTTGTGTTTTTTTTATTTGATTTTGCATTGCTGTTTGTGATTGTAAGTAATTTGGCGAATCACTTGGTTTGATGATGTCAAGAAATGGACCGGTTTTAACTATGGGGAGGTTAGAACAAGGGTACATGACAGAAAGCTATGGAGGTGCATAGCCGCCAACCCCTTCCGAAGGGATGGCACTAGATGATGATGATGATGATGATGATGATGAGTAATTTGGGCTACATATGAGCAGTTCTGCATCAGAAAGGAGTGCAAATGTGTGTTGTCCAAAGTCAAAAAAAAATCGTGTCGTAAAAAAGTGTACTGGTATGTGTATGTGAAGGGGCGATTACGATTACGAGTATTGAGTATTGAGAGAGATGGGTGTGACATGTGCATTGGCGCAGATGCTAGATGGATCATAGGTTCAATCATGGAGGCCCATTTTTACTTTATTTTGGAGCATTATGAAATGCCTGACAAATCAGAAAGAACTTCCGGTGACGTAACTCTCTCTCTCAAGTAGCTATGACAGGACCCGTGCTACAATACATGGGGGGTGTTTCACAAAGGTCCTCAGTTGAACTTATCTCTAAGTTGGACTTAACAATTATGGAAAGCCATTAGCATCCTTGAAAATATTTTGTAGAAGTTATTTTAAAAGGCATTAAATGTTGATTCAAGTCATTCATATTTTCTATTATCATGGGAGATTTCATGTTCTAGATGTGAAATTGATGAAAAGTCTAAAATACTTCAATTTTTGCTTTTGAATATATTTCATTATAAGGCTACAAATGGCTCTCCATAATATTTCAGTCCAACTTAAAGTTAAGTTCGACTTAGAATCTTTGTGAAACACCCCCCTGTTGTGTCTTTTGTGTAGGATTGTGTTTAAATTTGTGTGTGTGTTGGCCATAAGTGATCCCAGAAAGAAGGACGAAAAGGAGGGGAAGAAGAAAGATGCCCTTATCATAATGTGCTTTCTTGAGGTGAAAACGGCCTTGTATAATACCACCCTTCAATCAAAGAATGGCCGCTCTTTTTAAATAAAAAAGAAAGATGAATTGTGTTAACAAATTGAATTGAATTGAATTTATTTATTCACCACCATTGAAAACATCGAAACAAAAGACATATAAATGTACAATGACAATGTCAATATAACATAAATATAAACAAGACATGAATTAAAATACAATCTTACAGTGATATACATCTTAAAAATAACACTAAAAATAGTTATAAGTAAATTTTGTGTCAAGAGTAAAACAATGAATTACTATTTACGATGAGTTTGTGATCGATGGTGAAAGAGCATTAGAAATAGCACATGTGCTAGTCGAGCCCGACTCTCGTTATCTACGATCGGTTTCCAAATCCTATAAATAATATTTGTGTGTAATATTACAATCCAAACAATCAGACTGGTTGCTATATGCTATATACAGGCGCGGATCCAGGATTTCTAAGGGGGGGGGGGGGGGCCAAATTTGAAATCGATTTGAAAATCGTGCCTCCGATATTTCGCTTAGTGGGGGGGGGGGGGGGGAGTAGTGAGCACTTTTTTTTTGCCCCCGGGGCGCTTCTTTTTACTCAACACCTACCCCCCCTTGAACAAACAAAAAAGGTAAATTTCTGGTCACAATTTTTGTAACTTTTTTTTTTGCCCCCCCCCCCCTGGATCTGCGCCTGGCTATATACAACTATATGATTACCAAGTTATAATTCGTGGTTTTCACCCAAGAATAATTTTGTGAGCTTTTTTACAAAAGGAGGTTCTTGATTTCTTCATTCTTAGATCAGTAGGAAGCATATTCCAAAAATTACTTTCAACAAACGAAACAGAAAACTGTCCTTGGTCTGTTTTGAATATGTTCTTGTGGAATATTCATGTTGTACATACTGCAATATTGTTTATCATATCAAACACAAAAGTCGGAATTTGAAAACATTCAGCAATTGGAGGTCATGAAACAGTGCATTTAATAGTACAAGTACGATGTGGCTTGAAAGTTATACCACGTAAATCTATCTTTTGAATATAAAAAATACAAATTCAAGTGTGATTTATAAGTGAAGTACTACCCCCAAACCTCGATGCCATAAGTAATATGTGGTTGTATCAGAGCTTTATACACCATTATCAATATATATTTAGGGACAAAGTGCCGTCTTTTAAAAAGGATACCGACCTTTCTCCGTATACAGTCATTTACAGATTGTATATGTGAATTCCATGTTAAATGTCTGTCAATGGTAATGCCAACAAATGTCGCTACCTCCACTTCTCTTAATTCTGCCCCATACATTTTCGATCTACCTCTAAGCACAGCCTTTCTTCTACGACTACTAAAGAACATGGTTATTGGCTATTGGCGCATTCATAGTATTAAGCTTATTTGCAGTGCACCAATTTTTTATCGATTTTAAGTTTTCATTTACTTTACACTCGTCTATTTGATCTACACCTTTGGGAAAAGTATGACAAATATTAGAATCATCAGCAAATCGTCTGAAATTGAAATAATTTGTTACAGTTGGCAAGTCATTTAGGCCTATATTAACATGTTATTTTGTAAATCATTGATCGAAGGAAAGTGCACCCTTTCCGACATTGAAATTTTAATTTCCTTTTTACTCCACACACCTTCAACAATAAAATGGAGGAAAATTAGGGAAAGTAGATGGCTTTGGGTGTCGAAAAGATAAATTTCAGACCTTTTCCTGAGTGCAAAATGTCAACCGTAGTTATCAACAATAGAGCACTTTGTTGTCCCTAGTTTCTTAACCTTTTTGCTCTCTGTACTATAGAAGATACACACCTTCGTATGGACTACGAATATAGCCTTGGCTTGGTGGAAAAGATAGAAAGACCCCCTCTAAAAAAACGTCTTCAACTCCCGACACAGGTAGAAAATGAATGCGAGAGCCCCAAGCCCCACCCCCCAAATCGATCCGCCAAAGCTCCCTTGATCTCCCTAGTAAACATAAATCTAAATCCATACCAGCAACACATGACCAAATACAATTGTAACAATGATTAGTATTTACTCTCGTATCGATACGCCCAACCCTTAATCGGAAAATAGAAATTCGTAAAATTTTAGGTATAGTTTCCAAGGAAGTTGAAAGAAAAGGTGTGCTCGGTGTATTACATTTGGTCACCCTTTACTCGTGCGTGCAATCTTTTTCTTTTCTTTTTTCAAATAAAATTAATTCAGAAAAAAACAAAGCAAATCAACAAAATATCATAAGTACACAATACAAAACAATTGATGTGATGGCAATAAGCAGTAAACAGTAATACAAATGATACAGAAGTGTCATAACATGTTTCAATTCCATTCAACATCTCGCCATTTATCAAGAAATAAATCAAATTTTAAGCTATCATACAGGCAATATATACACTAATAACTAATTTACTCATACACTGTGAAAAGGTTGGGCAATATTTTCCAACACTTTGCCCAACGTCGTGCCAATAGTCAACCCAACCATGAATTGGTCAATTTTTTTTTTTTTTTTTTTTTTTTTTTTTGGGGGGGGGGGCAATGTTTTGCCCAACAGCTGGTCAAGATTTTCCCAACAAGTGGGCTACCGTAGTCGGGCAGTTGAAGGGTCATAATTATCTTTGCCCGAATTGTGGTCAAAATACGAAACAATTATGCACGTGTGAAGTAGGGAAAGTACGTTTACCAATACCACTGGGCAAAATATTGCCCAATAGATGGTTGGGTTGACCATTGACACAACGTTGGGCAAAGTGTTGGGAAAATATTGCCCAACCTTTTCACAGTCTACCCTTACCAAGTTTTGTAGAAAAATTGGCTTATCCCTATTCATTTTTCTTGAGAATTGGAAATATTAAAACTTACATCTCAAAGTATTCAACTGAGGGCAAAGGCCTTCCAAACACAAACAACATATAACATTTACACGGGGTGTGAATTATTCAGTTGTTAAATGCATATCTCTATTGGTTTAAACTGGGTTTTCTTTCATTGAGAACAAATATTTTCCCATCGTAAGTTCATTTTGAACAAAAGCAAAATGTATCCATACCTAAGCTATATAAGATTTCTTTTTATTTACAGCTTGCAATACATACGTTGACAACACTACAACCAGCGTGTTATAACTACTCAAATGTTGTCTTTTACATCTATACTATATACAGCGTGAATTTTCAAATAGGTGATTCATATAATAGTGTGTAAGGGACTGCAAAGATGTAATCACCGTATACAAAACACAAAATATAATATATCAAAAACAATTAGAAGCCCACCAGGGGATTATAATTGTTCATGCTCAATCTGCAGATAACATCATTTTGATAGGAAATACGTCCGCAAAGACTTTCGAAATGTCAACCAGGGGGGGGGGGTGGCGTTTCACAAAACTTTTCATCAGTGACAAATGACCATTTTTGTTATAAGCTACTGAAATCCTTGCTTCTGATTGGTTATCAGCAGATTTGTCACTGATATTTGTCATTTGTCATTGAAAAAACGCTTTGTGAAACGGGCCCCTGAGGTAATCTCATTAACGTTGTCCGCCACCTTTCAAAATGAGCGAACAAAACATTGACGTATTGCGTTTTCCGAATATGTCAAAGGAAATACGAAAGTATAATGACATCGCCCTTGAAATTGTTTCTCGAAAGCCTTCGCGATCGCGTTATGTATGGATTAATTACATACTATTAAATGTACTATGTAGTATTTTATTTACAGAAACTGTTCCATCTAAACCGCAGTGTATTAACATCGCCCTTGAAATGGTTTCTCGAAAGCCTTCGCGATCGCGCTATGTATGGATAAATCACATACTATTAAATGTACTTTATACAGTAGTATTTTATTTACATAAACGTACCATCTAAACCGCAGGGCCCTGTTTCATAAGACCTGCTGTCAATAACAAGTTACGATCACTGTTATAAGCTACTGAAATCCATGTATTTGATTGGCTGTGAGCAGATTTATAATATATCTGTGGCATTTCTTATTGATAACAAGTTTTATGAAACAGGGCTCAGGTTACGTTACGGTAAAAAATAAATGAAACAAAGAGACCTAGTCAAAATATTCCAATATTTAAGCTAGTACTCTGATAACAGTCTTGTTTTTTTCCTAAAACGTGTGCCATATTCCTCGACTTTAAACCTTTTGCAAATCATAGTTTGATAGCATATACTGTGTATACTTTGTTTCAAATGTACTCTGATAGTCGATTAGGAAAATCGAATATCGATTTGTTTTTAAATTATATAGATTCTAAGCTCTGAGATAGAGATATACTTCAGTCCAGATTTTCTAAGATCATACCCTTTTTTGTTGCGTAATACATGTATTACGGAAAACCATATATATTGATAATAATATTAATAGCTCACATTTATAATGCGCCTAATACTTCGTTTCTAGGCGCAGCACATATTATTACCCCGGTCATCGGATTCAGGCTCCCTGGGAAGCATTCCAGCCAGTCGCCATTTTACAAGTGCCACTTGCTAAGATAACCCCATTAACTTTCGCATCCTACCGGGTATCCATTTAACACCTGGGTGGAGAGTGGCAAATGTAGATCAATGTCTTGCCAAAGGACAATAGTGCCGCGGCGGGACTTGAACAGCTATCATACCTATAAAGGATATGCTGGATAAATCATTATTGTAAACCTGACCTGCGCGAAGTTTGGACTTGTTGTTTTCAGGACCTACGTGCTTCTGATCTTGAATCGAATGTTGATATCTGCAAACGTCTTTGTCTATACATTTCTTCTTTTTTTTAGCCCGTATCATTTAAAAAAAAAATGCGTTTTGCACTTATCGATCTTAACATGAAAATAATTTATCAAATATCACATTCTTAAAAATCGTTTAAATTAGCGCGAAGTTTGGACACCGCATCATACTCAATAAATTCAACACTCCGTTTTTCATTTAAAGGGCCACTCTAACCAAAACGGGCTAAAAAAATGAAAAAAAGACATGTATAATAATTTTTGACGGAGATTCCGAACATGATAATGATTTTTCTTAGAAATCATCAATAATCTAGCTTTAAAAATGACGACTCAGAATGCTCAGAGGAAAAAAAAAATCCCAGTGTAGGAGATGTTGCACAATAGCATATGACGTCACTGCATGAGCCTCTCTGGTAAAACGGGGGGTGATTTAGTCATTAAAATGTCTTTAAAAAGACACAGTATAATATTAATTGGAAAAAAAGAAATTCATCCGAAAAATAATATGCACTTGATAGGCCTAATCCCAGTACGTTTCTGGCAATTTCGTCATTCCTAATGTAAGATCCTTAGTTGTACTGTAGGACAAATCGGACATGCCCGCAATGACGACAAATGCGTCATCGAGGCCACGTGACCGTATTACCCTTTTAGAGGGGCTGAGCGTGAGAACTGTGAAAAATGGATGGTTATTATCATTGTTTGGTCCAATTAAAGATTTTCTGAAAAATCAGAGGCTGGAATATTAATAAGTAGGGGTGTATTCTTATTTTGGAAGGCTATGTTAGTTAGGTTAAAGTGGCCCTTTAATTTTTTTTTTTAATAGCAGGTATTATGTTATGGAGGCCTTACGAGAATAAGTTTCTCTCATAAGGCATCGGTCAATTAGGTCCTGCTTTGTCTAGAGCAACGACTTAGCCGAAAAAAATCAATGACATAGAATCTTAAAACTCATCTATTCCAAAAACAATCAGAATAACTATAAAATAAGTTCGAATAAGTATTTCCATGCCTTCCTTATATCTTTTTAAATTATTGCTATTATTGATGATATAATATGTTAATTTCCAAGGAATTTACATATTTTGTTGATTTCGTTAGTAATTAATGTTAGTAATATTTTAAGTAATCTTAATTTGTTAAGTTATGTTAGTAATATTTTGTTTTCTTGGTAATTTGAGTAATTTTAATTCCATTAGTAATATTGATTTTTCTTGAAGTAATTTTGATTTGTGTACAGCGCTTTGAAACTTTAATATCACAAGCGCTATATACATTTTTCGTATTGTTTACTATTATTATTTGATATTTGAAGAAGCTCCTTGTCCCACGTCCTGCAGCTGTCTCACAACAGTATTTGGCATACTGTGAAATAAGAGCGAGTGCACATTACATCCACCCAATGACCGGCAGTCCAACCGCTCACCTTTACGCAGTCCTCATCATAGTCTGGACGTCCATTCGGCTCACCAGGATACCAATCTGCGTAAAAGAGACGAATTTCTAAGGTACTTTCACCCGTTTTGAGATGATTTTTTTTTCTTCTCAAAAGATGTCCGAACCATAGAAACAGCATATGAGATCCCAAATGCAAACTTCTACTCTTTTTTTTTAATTAATAGGCAAAGACGAATTAAATTTTATTTCATTACATCTAGAAGTATGGATAACAAGAAATATTAATAATGATAATATTAAGAAGAGGGAGAAGGAGAACAACAACACCAAGCAACATCAAAACTTACATACATCAAGAAATCAAAAGAAAAACATATTCATGCTCAAGAAGAGGAAACAAAACGGAAGAAACATAGAACTAAAGCACCGATTACCTGAGGAAGGTTTTCTTGCTTTTACTCCTTGGTTAGACCATTTTAATGACGTTTGTATGTGATAAATATAACATTAATGATAGAACGGATGACGAGGGTCAGACACAGTGACTTGCGTCAAACATGAACACAAAGCGCCATTTTAATTGCGCTATAAACAGTGCTAATTAAACCATAACAGGCCATTCAAGGGGACATGACATCGAAATACAAGTGTATTCCTGTTGCTGTGCAGTCCTGCATACATCTCATATTTTGATATGTAAACTTCTGAATTTGTTTCATAGATTTTTAAATCTTGTTTTAAATATTTGTTTTTCAAACTTGCTAAGCTCCACCCCAAAGCCTCCAGATCTCATTCCCCTTGTGACATCATCTGTCAGTCATCAATGAGCTAACTTGAGAAAGTGGCATGTAACTTTGCCAAAGTTGACCACCTGTTACAATACCACACACAATAGCAACATACAAGTTGCTATGTCAGACATGTCAGACTAAACTAATATTCTAGAATAGACAATGGTATGTAATTTCCCCCAGCTTAGCACACGATCATAATAGAATTGCATGCTTCTATAATCATATACAATACATCATCATTGCCTTTGTCTTCCCGGTGATGCTACAGCATGTCTGACATAGCAACTTGTATGTTGCTATTGTATAACGTATTGTAACAGGTGGTCGACTTCGGCAAAGATACATAACACTTTCTCAAGTTAGCTCATTGATGACTGACATAATTATGATGTCGCAAGGGGAATGAGATCTGGAGGTTTTTAGTCTAATGTGCTTATAACCCCATCAGGATCGGGTTTTTCATCTTTATAAGATGTAATTTTTCGCACTGCGACCTCACAAATCTTAACAATTTTCAGACCATCACACCCAACTGCAAAGTATGATGCTTAAAGTAGCCACACGAAGAATCAAATGTGTTTTGAATTGATGCGAAACTCATATCATTGCGAAGGGGAAGCCTTGCCGATCAAATACAACAACTCTTCTCTTCAAAATATGTTTGGGGCCCGCAGTAATCAACTCTCAAAAATGTTAGTTTTGAGATACAGATTTTCTGCCTTAATCAGCGGTCCTTTGTAGAGTGTCAATATTTGTGACGTCACATACGGGACACGGCTGGCTAGCTGCATACTGCTACATGGCACTGAGCTGTTCGTCCAATGTGTGACGTCACAATTCAGAGCTCGCTACGCTTGTGTTTGACTTACGTTCATGGGCGTTCGGGGATCTAAGGAGGGTCTTGAAAAATTGCATTTTACGCCTTTCCATGATATCTATATGATTTCTCAGCAAATTGTTCGTGTTTTTCAAGGGAAAATCTTTCCATCCATATGTAATTTGTTATGATTATGAGTTGTTAGTGAATTTTCTTTGTGTAGCTCCTTTAAGCACTCTCTTATATGATGTATACAGAGAAACGAATATTGGAAACATCCCTGATAACGAAATCCCATATAGGGGTATATACCTATGTCTAAAAAGTTGTATATTTTCGCTTTGAGATTTCCCTTTGAACGTGCCCTTTTTGTTGGTGCCCCGCCCCACCCCCCCCCCCCCCCACTTTGGAAGTCGCTCCGCCGCCTCTGCATCCGCATCATTCCCTAATCCCCGTCGCACACAAGACATCAGCGAGTTTTCGCAGCCGGCGACGCGGCCTTCTACAACGCTAATCTTAGCGGGGGGTCGCACTCAGAGCGAAAATTTCCGCGTAGCGTCCAAACCTACGACGGTATTCAGCCGAATTAGGGTCGGTAGTCGATTTAGTACGGGGTGGCGTGATCAGCCAATCAGAGCGATTGTTTACTTTCGCATGTGCACATTAGCGGTACGACTTTTCTGACGTCACACAAGCGCGGAAACCCCCGCGTATTCAGAGTTGCGAAACTGCAAATAGACCGCACGGGAGCCAGAGTACGAGACAGTCCCAGCTCATTTAAATACCCCGTAGTCAGCACTTGCGTCGCCGTGCGAAAACTCGCTATCATTTCAAATGCGTTTTTACCTGCACCCGTCCAGCCTGTGAAGGCAGTTTGCCCAGTTAAGGCTATATTCGCACCATTCACCAATCATCTTTAGTACGATATCCCCGCCCCCCCCCCCCCCCCACTCAGCGTTATTTAGGGTACGCATATGCTCGTTCCCTCTTTTTGAAAGCACCCCCTATCTGAGGACTGCCAACATTTTCGAACCCCCCTTTCGCCGGCTTTTCGCGGGCTTTTCGCGGGCTTTTTCTGCCTTGGAGACCCCCCTAAATCAGGAAAAATGCTCAATGTACCCCCCTTAATTCGGAATAATTTCTCAGGAGTCCAAAGAGATGAGAGAAAAAAAAGAAAAAACACCCCTTTTTAAAGAAATCTCCGGGTGAAAAGTCAAATACACCCCTTTTTTAAAATTCTCGGGCCGGACATTGTCGCACGAAAATTACCCCTTTACCGGACATTTTGGTAACACGCATGCGGTCATTCCGACCCCTGAGTGGGGGGGGGGGGGGGGGGCGGGACGATATCACACTCAGATAGAGCGTCAAACATTGCACCTGTCACTGACGCCGTCCTGCGCCGGGTCCTGCGTCAGGCAAATAACGCCTCGTGTACTACGGGAATCCAAGCTATAAGCTTCAATTCTGTTACCGAGGATTTCAATTTTATAGCATACATACATGTTGTAGTTTCTCTGGTACCCGCTCCATCAACTTCACAGATGAAATCCCCTTCGTTTAGCATGTCGTTGCAGTTGATCCAGAAATCAATATGAATATTGAATCCCATCCTGCTCAAGAAGTCGACGTACTCATCGGTATCAACGAACAGGAGAGACGGTTTCTTAAATCCCGTTATTGTAGTGATTGTCGAAAGGTTGCGACAAAAGCTGTGTGCATCTTGCCAGCTCCGCTGTTTTTCATCCACCCGGTAGCACTTGGAGGACATGCACACCCAAGCAGGGTCTATATTTAAAGCATGGGAAAATTGGAAAGTTTAGTGTTTTCTTATATTTGTGTTTGCTTTTGTTTTGTTTTTCTTGGCAGGAGTTCCAGTGTGAGGAGTGTGTGCAAGATCTGCTAATATTATGACCACAGCAAGTGGTTCGGACGGAGGGGGAGGGCTGAAACCCTAAAATATGTCAAGCCCTCCCCCGAAAGAATCTTGATTATAAACGATTATTGGAACATATAGAAATATATGCAAGAACCCATGCAAGCTCCCCAAAGCCCCCCCCCCCCCCCCAGTTCCCTCCCGAAAGAAACAAAAATATTCTACAGCTGCTCCTGATGATTACAGTTCTAAAACGTACATACATAGTAATGAATTGAAGCGTCATTCTAATAAAAGACAAAGCAGATGTATTAATCTTAACTGAGAGTCGGCATACTATGGCCTGTTAAAATTATTTTAAAAACTTCTTCAAAAAAAAAAAAAAAAAAAAAATTATCAGCAGTTATCAGGGCCATTCCTTCAATAGACAACAGTATCGTATTGATTTCTGATTGCTAACAATTCTTTCAATGCATTTTCTTTTAAATTGGTTAGGTAAACAACAACAATATGTCAAATATGTCACTTTTTCAGCGTAATGTAGGTTTGAGATCTATACATTTTTTGTTACAGAATTCAGTCCAATATATATTCAGTAGAATGTTACATTTGATCATCCCGGGGTAGCTTAAGGAGCTGTTGTAAGAAATGATCACTTCATTCAAGGTTGGAGGTTCAAGAATGTAGATCTATCGTTGTGTTGGGTAAAAAATTGCCCAACATTAGGTGATGGAGGCAACATGCAATATTTTTGGTTACTTTGTAGAAACAAAAATGATCGTGATTGGGCAGAACGTAAGTGTCCAGGAATATATCTTTAGGTTGTCGGATACAAATTAAAACGAATGTCATGTAATTTTTACTCATCGAATCATACAAATTACAACGTGAGCACGATGTGACCAAGGGCGTAGGAAGTTGGGGTTAGATGTGTGTGACTTATATTTGTGCAATGTAGCCATGAGTGTTGGTGGTGTCGTTTTGGCCGACCAATCTCTAACCAACATTCTGACCATCTTTCTTTTAAATGTTAGAAGATTTCCAGTTTGCCAACATATCATTACAATATACGTTTTGATATGATTCAATTTTCGTGTCCATGTGGGGTGGGAATGTGTGTGTGGGTGCTTTTTGTGCTCTTGATAAAAATTTTAAAAAATGGGGGCGAACACAAATCTAGATTTGGGGAAATAGATGATTTACACAATTTATTTCGGTTTATACCACGTAAGATGTTGTTTTTATGGGATTTAATCGAAAAAAATAATAATGACAATAAAAATAATCAAACAAAAATATTATGTTTACCCAGTGAAGCCTCATCAGCTTAAATGATGTTCCACCTAAGACTAAGAGCCCTGCAATTACTTATACCCCACCGGTTGCAAGGTACCCTTCCAACCGTGGGTGGAGAGTGGCGATTATTGATTAATATCTTGCCAAAGGACGTTAAGCTAGTGCCTGAATGGGATTCGAACCCTCAACCCTTGGATTGAGAGTCATATGAATGAACCAGGACACCACGAACCCCAAAGTCTGTGTAATATTCCAGCCACGGCAATGCAAGGATTGATAGGCTATTGGTTATGATTCTACTAATACTGACCCATGACTGGAGGTTCCCCATACAGCTCCATACGAAGGGATATGTGCCCTAACCAGCCCACAGGTAGGAGACGTACATAGCGACACACCTTGGGCTGTGGTAAGGCGTTGTACATCACGGTGCTGCTGTCATTATTACCCACGAACACCTTCAATAGCAATGCATATCATTCATTATGCCAAGGGTAAAATATTCTTATTTTCTCGTCTGGATTTTGAAATTTGAGGAGAAAGAGATTCCATGTTATTTGATATTTAATATTGTTCTGTACTTAAAAATACTACTTGGCCAAACACAACACAAATTATTTCAATTTGATTTCAATCGTACTTTTACCTAAGATGCCAAAGAACAAGGTGCATCTGCATTATTATTAATGAGTTTCATTAGCTCATTGTCCAGACACTGAGGCTGGTTGAAAAAAAGGGAAGGAGAAGACCCGAATGTTGGGCTTTGGAATGATTTTTTAGAAAAAATAGACCCAGTCTTGCTAAAGATCACATGTACTGCACAGAAAACTTGGTATATATTACCGGACACCCATGCACATGAAAGTTTGGCCAAACTAATTCTCGTCATATTTTTAATATAATGATATTTGAAGAACAATTCTTTTCAGGGACGTTGGTCATATACTTCCAAACCGACATACAAAACATGAGAAAGCTGAAAAATAAGTTTACATCGGGTCGTAGCTTTATCTCTAAACATTTTCTTAGAGAAAATACAATATCATGAAGTGCTCATTTCAGGTCTACTAGCATGACTAGTCAAAAGTAATAAAACGAATGGAAACACCAACCTTTTCAGTTGCGGGGTTTGTTAGGATGTCCTGTACTGTATCAAAGGTAATACCGTCTATGCTACAGTTGATCTTGTAGGCAGTTACCCACTGGAAACCACGTTGACGTCCTTGCGTCGAAACTCCACCAATACGGTACTTGGTTAACAGATCAACCTTGGGTATGTACGTTAAAATGATGTTTATTATCTAAAATATCCAATGGATATCCAAAGTTCAAATATATATTTCTAATAACCAAATACTTTTTGTAGAATCAGACAACCACACCCAGAAACTTTCTATAACATTATTCCTACTGAGATGATTCCTGGAGATGCATGTATTTATTTTCACGGGCTACAGTCATTCATCATCAATTCATGTGTAGTCGTTGGGTTATTTTAAAGGTCTGATGGTGATTTTGTTTTACCTTACTGCTAGAGAAGCATGTGTTTGCTTGTAGATAAGCAACCGGGGGAGCGGCGGCTCTAAGTCGTCTCCGAGGGACTTGGTAATGAGGGTTATTGCCTCACCAAAAGGGCACTAGCGCACTGACTTGGTTTCCAACCCGGTACCTCCCGGTTACGAAACCACCTCTCTACATTAATTTTGAGCAGTCGCGCCAGGGGATTGGGGCACCCCAGGGCGGGCATGTCGGACGAACTTTTGCCAACCGATTAACGGAGAGAAATGCAAAATTCCCAACACCTTCCTTTAAAGGTGCATGTTCCCCGTATTCCAGAGGGCGCTCAATATACGTACGCGCTGGCGGACGGCGCTATAGCTGCCTATTGACACCAACATAATACGGCTCTTACGCAGATGGCATGTTCCGATAACTGCACTGGCGGGAACGTGCCTCTTTAAGGACGCCTATCTGTCACGCCGATCTCACCTGTATCCATGGATTTGAATCGATTTTTGCTGTTGCCCAGGCTCCACAGAACCAATCCTCTCCTATTCGTTCCTCGACAAGGTGCAAGCGCGCCCTCTCAGGCAAACAATTCTTTGACTTAGTCCACGCACTAGAAGCTGTGAGGCTTGAATCCGGAATGGTCCCATTCTCTAGGCCTACAGGGTCCCGAAAGGAATCTGATGATAGAATAAGATCGTTAAAATTCTTTTTTCTGCAAAATATATTATAGATCAAAATTTGCTTAGCAGCGAATATTATAAGATGATTCATATATCAATAATAAAGTAAAATACTAGGAATATTCCTAAGCAGTTTTTAACAACAACGTCAATGTCCGTACTAAATTATGGTTGATAAATACATATTGCAAGAGGTTTAACACTATTTAAATGAACCTTACAGCTTGAAAGAATTGGTTTTATTAGCTTGAAGGCGTGGCAGTCCTATATAAAAAACTTAATAATTCCTATAAACTAAAGGATGTTGAGGGATGAGTAGTGAAAAATATGTATAGTAAGATAATAATAATACTAATAATAGGCATTTCTATAGCGCCATCTATCTAGATAATTCTATGCCGAGGCACATTTATTATTACCCTGGCTTTATCCTAGCAGCCGTTTATACAGCGCTCAAACATTTCAAGGAATAAATTCCTGCCAGGGGGTATGGTAAATAGAGTGCTAAAGGTGAGGGCATTGTTGAAGAGATAAAGATAATCAGGCAGAAGGCAGAAGTGAGAGGTAAAAGGTGCAGATTTAGAGGGAGGGAAGAGGGGATAGGGAGGGTAAGAGAGAAATATAGACAGAGAGAGAGAGAGAGAGAGGCACACATAGAGAGACAGAGACAAAGAGAGAGATGGACAGACAAGGAGACATACACACTGTCATATACAAGATTCTTTTTCTGCAATAAGATCTCATTGGATTGCATTTTAAGATAAATGCGATGAATCATATGGTTCCTTTTTCTTGGTTTATTTTCTACAATCATTATTATCCTAGAAATAATCCTATACCGTTTTAGAATTTAAAAGAATTGAAGCGAGGGTAAGTAATTACAGGTGTTGATGGTGATTGTGAAGTTACACGTTGCTTGATTTCCGCTCTCATCGGCAAAGACGTACTCAACGACGGTTGACCCGACTGGGAATTCGTCACCAGAGCCATAATTGTTGGACACCAAGAGAGCCGTTCCTGAAATATCAGTAGCCGATGGTTGCAAGAACTCGATGGATGTATTCCTACCAGTGTACCTACCAGTGTTGACGGTGATATTCTCAATACAGGCTACATCAGGAGCGGTCGTATCAACTGATTCAGAAATTTAGAGAAATTTGATTTGGTTTGATTTGATTATTTATCAACCCCAAGAAATCGCGTAACTGAATCAGAAAATTAAAGATATTGGAAGACACATTAGTATGTTCAAATACATGTACATTGCAATCAATCATGTAAAGCTTCCGATTAACGAATATTATGTCAAGAGCTTTTTTGAATGACGAAACGATGATTTTCGTAGGGAAGGCACAGTATACTAGACATTATTGCTATACATTAATGCCATAGTATCATACACCAGCTATCAGGGACTGACTGCGCATCGAGAGTTTGAGAGTTTACCCAACGGTCCATTCGATATCTGTGCTTGAAGGCCGGTCGATTTTTGGTCGAGGGCCGGATATGGTATATCTATTAGGTTGAGTAGGCTGGTAGCATCAAACTTTCCAAACTGATTTTCAGTCCCAGTCCGCCCGTGCCCGCTACACCGTATTGGCTAAGTATCCTGGATGGCTTATTTCGAATCTTATGATCATCGCGTCCGGTCGGGTGGTCGCGTTATACGGCCTTTCGTGAAACGAAAGCGGAAGATCACGTGATCTTTCGTAGATTCCGCAGGGTTTTCACAAAGTGTCGGTTAATTGGTCCAGACCATTTGTAGATGAGAGGGGTAATATATCTCTCAAACATTGCACCCGACATTTCATGGACAAAGGGGCATGCTTTCACAAAAGACCAGGTAACGCGACCACCCGACCCGACGCAACTCGGACCAGATGATTCGAAGTAAGCCTCCTGAATACCACAACAAGTCATTGACTTGATTGATTCCTCGACGTTTCTACTTACTTGAATTGACGATTACGGTGAAATTGCAAGTTGCCTCATTTCCGCTCTCGTCAGCAAAGACGTACTTAACGACGGTTGACCCGATTGGGAATTCGTCACCTGAGGCATAGTTTGTGGAGACCAATAAAGCCTTGCCTGACATATCAGTAGCCGATGGCTGTATGAACTCGACGGATGTGTTCGGAGAAGGCCTACCAAGTTCGACAGTGACGGTGATATCTTCAACACAGGTAACATTAGGAGGGGTGACGTCGCCTGACGAAATCACAAGATAGTTGAAGAAGAAAGACATTATTGTAACTCTTGCTGGGGATGGTTGTACTTTATAATATACACTTTAAAATATGACCTTATTCTATTCCATTAAAAAGCATTGCCCATTGTATATGGAGTTGATAAATGGTATTTTACTCAGATGACCTTTTGAAGGTTAAATTAAGCATAGCCATCATACTCGTGTGCACGAATTCATAATTTCAGCATTTGGATATAGTCCTGAAAACAACTGTTTGGTTTGAAAGGACAATTTCAACACCCTAATGTATCCCCCATGAAAATCATTTTATACGTCAATGTCATGTTCTCACATTTCAATGAGTGACTCAAAAAGCTATTCAATGAGTGACTCAAAAGGCTATTCAATGAGTGACTCAAAAGGCTATTCAATGAGTGACTCAAAAAGCTATTCAATGAGTGACTCAAAAGGCTATTCAATGAGTGACTCAAAAGGCTATTCAATGAGTGACTCAAACAGCTATTCAATGAGTGACTCAAAAAGCTATACAAATTGCCTTGGATTGATTTTGTTTAAAGAAGTTGCTAACGTGATAACTGTACATACATCTCGAGTTGTCCAAATAGACAGACAGACAGACAATATCCTCATATTTGGCCGAAATTTATTATTGATTTGATTGTAGTCCGACAAAATGCACTAAGATAAGGTCTAAACAAGCATATGCGGCCATGTTCAACTTATTTTTCATTGAATAGTTTATTTTTTTAAAGATAAACTTTAGTACTAGTAATGCGATTGCATTGTGAAAGAAAAGGTGTGGAAAGTCATTTAAAAAAGCTCTAACTTCCTTATTCCATGCCCGATTTTGTTCAAACTTTCACTGATATTTTTCAAATATCTTAAACTTTACAACAAAAGTAACTTAATATGAAGGTTTTGGTTCCCTTTAATATATTGATTTTTTTGATAGGGGCAAATCACATAATATCAGTATGATGATGCATTGTGATGATGCACGTTAAAAGTAAAGATCAGTTCTGGTCATGCGATTGCATTGTGAAAGAAACGTTGTGGAATCAATCAGAAAAGGTTGATCATGTAGCATGTATGTATTGGTGTGCGCTGCAAGGTTCTGGTCTTCTGGAGTCATCAAAATCATAATAAATTTGACCGAGTCTTGGTAAAGTAACAAGCACTGTACACAGAAAGCTCATTACTCAGCCAGTATACATTTTCTTCCAACAGTGTTTGGCACATGTCATTTATTTGTAATCTTGAACATTTAGTGTAAGTTTCGCTTGATTCTGTGAGAATTAATTTTCTTTTTTTACCAGAACTGGAGTTTATCTTTAATGGTCTTACGTTCATTGCAAGCTTTGCCTTGATATCCAGCTGAGCAGTGACATTCATAGCCTTCTATAGTCTCCTCACACCATCCGTTTTCACAGGGATTCCGTAAACAATCTTGGGAATGAAAAAGAAACGGCATACATGAAGGCTAAAAATCCACAATAAGTAACTTAACCAGTCGTACGTGAATAAATGATTTGCTTGTTACAACGTTCTGCTGGATTGAGAAAGTAGTAGTTATACTTTCAATTTGTTCTGGGTATCTAGCAGTCTATAAACAAAAAAGGGTGGAACGCGCCCACCTAAACGGACGAAAACCAGATGGGAAGCCCCGCCATATCATTATAAAGCTCTTATAAATCCTAAGTAATGAACAAAGCTATAGAGATCATCCTCATCTTCATGGGTGTCGATCCCGGGGGGATGGGGGGATATATCCCCCCAATATTTCAGGTGGGGGGGGGGGGGGATGGCCTGTACAATCATCCCCCCCCCCAATAATTCACCATCAAAAAAAAAAAATGAAGAGAAAAATTAAGGATGAGAGCCCGATGAGAGTAGTTAATGGTTATTACTCGCAAGATGACCATCAATATACACATTTTGCTATCTCATTTTCATGATACATACATACATGTATATACGAAGTAAATAAGACAACCGTATATGAGACAAGAATAAATTGAATTTTCGCTCATACGGCTTCATCAGGAATTGATGAATTTATTCAATTTGTTCAATCAACAGCATCATAGAAATGCAGTGCGCCAAATGCAAAGACGCAGCGTCAAAAAGCAACGAGCTAAATGTTAAGCGCGAAGCGCAAAAATAGCAATCTGCAATGCACATCAGACAATCCTGGACAGTGTAAACATGAATGAACTCTGTGACGATTTCGTGATGAGATCGGAGACAAGAAGAAAGATTTACGGACATTAGTATGACTTATAAAATAGTTCTCTAGTTGTTATGTTGTTTCCGTTCACCCTTTTTAAAATTCACGTCATTGTATCTTTATTTTTGTTTTTTTCACTCATTTTATTTCCTGATATTTCCTAAAAGTTTTTCATTTTTGGAGAGAGATTATTATGTCACAATTTATTTGTAACACAAATTATTTTCAGTGGGGAAACTGAATTCAGACAAGGATTAATATAGAGAACAGTACAACGAATCGTCTTCTTTCTCTAATAATTCAGTGAAAAGGGCAAAGCTGTTGGGGGCAACTGAATTCAGACGTGGATTAAGCGTAATAATCAAATGAAACGTCAAAGTACACGATACAACGAAGCGTCTTGTTTTACGAATAATTTAATGAAACGTAAAAGCTTCCGCACTAAGCGCGGAATGGGCGAAAATGAATACAGACAAGGATTAAGAGTAATAATTTATTGAAACGTTAAAGCTTCCGCGCTTCGCGCGGTAGTGGAGAAACTGAGTTCATGAAGGACACGATACAACAAATCGTCTTCTTTCACTAATGTGAAAGCTTCCGCGCTTCGTGCAGGAATGGGCGAAAATGAATTCAGACAAGGATTAAGAGACGAGAATGGTACATCGAATCGTCTTCTGTCTTTAATAATCTAATGAAACGTCAGAGCTTCCGCGCTACGCGCGGAGGAAGGGGAACTTGATTCAAACAAGGACTAAGAGTCGAGAACAGTCCAACGAATCGTCTTCTTTCTCTAATAATTTAGTGAAACGTCAAAGCTTCCGCACTTCCGGGGGGGGGGAACTCCCCCTCCCTGCACGCAACCCCCTAGGGACCGCGCTTCGCGTGCTCACTACCGCCCCCTTAAATGAAATCCTGGCTACGCGCTTGGGAGGGGTGCAACTTGCCACACGCTTCTACCTCTTTATTGCTTTGATCCATTGCCGAAAATATTTTGGCACCTATCATCCCCCCCAACCACGGATACAAATCGACACCCTTGCTCATCTTCATCCTCGACGATCTTACCTTACACGATCTAATTGAAAAACAGAAGTGGTCGCAACAAGTTATGGACGTTTACCGGCAGGAAATGAAACTGGGTTTTTATGCCGGTAAGTGGCGTCTACTTGGCGGCGTTCCCTACGAATCCAAGGAATAATTTTATCACATTAATTTTTCATAACGTAAAAATATTCTGTCCAAAACGTCTTTTCAACATGATGAACTAAAAAATATGTATGCAACGCAACTTCCGTCCAAAGTGTAATGATCGTGATAATAGAGTTATCGTTCTGCATTCCCATTTGTTTTATACCACTATGTCTGCGTGCAGTAGCGTACGCAAGATTTTTTCAAGGGGGGGGGGGGGGGGGTTAACATTTTTAAATCGGGCCGAAAATTTCGCAACGACTCAGCCAGCCGCTGAATAAGCAGGGGGGGGGGGGTTAGAGGACACTTTTTTAGGGGGAAAGGGGGGTCTCCAAATTTGAAAAATAGACATTTCGTTCCGTTGGGGGGGGGGGGGGGGTAAGGTCACCTTTTTTAGGTCAGCCATTGGCATAAGTCTTTTTTTTGCTCCAAAATACACACACACACACAAATGAAGGGGGTGGGTTAACCCCCAACCCCCCCCCCCCCCTCCCTGCGTACGTGCCTGTCTGCGTGGCCCTTTCGTGCATTTATCTCGTCAAACGTACAGTGTCTGTTACTGTTGTCATGGTTGTTAGTGAGATGCAATCTAACATATGTCTTTGGTTTCACTTAACAGGGAATCTAAAGTGTAAAAGTTTCATTCAAGTATTTATTTGTACCACATTTTACAAGAAATATAGACATATATATAAAATAAAAATTACATGTAGTATACATGAGCACGTCTCAATGATTCTCAATTCATAATAGATTAAGTAGAATGTGAGGAACCTATTAAAAAGCAATGCTTGTATATTGTAGGTTCCTGGTAAAATAAGTAGTGTAGATGGAAAAAAACCCGTAGCAGTAGAGAAAGACGTAATTTAGAGGGAAGAATTTAAAACACATTGGAATAAGGAAATTTGTATATAAAATAATGCATTAGCACCAATACCCAGAGTCACCCGGTTAAAATGCGTAGTCACCCGAGCAATTTAGTTAGCATAGCCCAAAGTAAGTTGTTTTCATAAATTTAAAAACCGGAACATGCATCATTTAATTGACAATTAGAATTAGCATTACAAACAAAAAGGACTGGGGAGGGCAAACAAATTATATTAGATGAAAGAATTTAAAAGAAAATTCGAAGTTTGCGTTTAAAGCAATTTAACGATGGTGCTTCCTTAACTTCCGAATCCAAACCATTCCAAAAAAGGGGCCGGTATACATGATTGTTTGGGGGCAAAAACTGTTCGGATTGGGGAGAGATGGAAATTGTCTTTTGTTTTTGTGGGTTAGAAGTGAGTAACGCTGTTTAAAGAGAACACAGGAAGAAATATATTGTGCAAATCATCCTTACTTAGCTGATACATGAAAATTCCGAGGAAATAGTTGTATAAATCAGATACTAGTGCGGTATTGTATGTAATCTCGTAGGATTTTTTTGCCAAAGTTGATTTTTTTTTAATTGCTGTTTTGGCTTCAAAAGGGTCCCAATTGGCCAAAAATGATGGGCGCATATTTTCATATCCCTCCTTCATTCCCTGGGGTCCATATTGGGCGCCAAAATGGCATATATAACGCGCATTAGGGAAATTTTGTGTCTTCGGGAAAATTTGGACCCCATCAATGATAGCTTGGACCCCAATGAATCCAAAAAAGCAAGCAAAAAAAAAACAATCAACTTTGGCACAAAAATCCTATGGTAGCTGTTTCAGTGAAATACCGTACCACACTATACTGGCAGAAAATGATTTGCATGAAATAAAACGTTAGTGCGTGCCTGGAAATCTGATTTATTATTCTTATTGCTCTCGTTTGGATCATGAAAATCGAATTGATTTTTGTTTTTGTACAATTTTCCCCACGCTAGCACCTCGTAGTAGAATATAATCTTTTTAAGACATGAGATGGAAAATAAGATTTCAACTTATTTATTACACATACGTGCCTAGACAACAGTTTGAATACATGATACATTTGAGTATTACAGTCAATAAAAAGACCAAGAAATTTAGTGGAGTTTATCTGGATTAAGTGTAAGCCATCAACCAAAACTTGTCCTGGTAGCTCAACTAGTGTATTGCTGAAAATCATAAGATAAGTTTTATTCAAATTCAGGTACAATTTTTTGCTTGTATCCATTCAACTACAAAATGCAATTCAAAATTAAGGGAATCAAGAAGAATTCTATAGGATTGGGATGTGAGCAGCAAATGCTTGAGTCGTCTGCAAAGTGTAGGAACAAAAGAACCGTTGATGAATTTATGAAGTCATTTATATAGATAATAAAAAGAAGCGGGCCCAAAAGAGTCTTGTAGTCACTGGCGTACTGGTGGGGGGGGGGGCTTGGGGGGCGCCAGCCCCCCAAATGAAATTCAACCATGACTTATTTTCAAAATTCCATACAAGTGATTTATAAATGTTCATAATATCACATGATTTTCAATAAAAATTAATGCGCGTTTCTCCATTTTTGTTGCAAACTGATACATTCCCAAATAGCCCCAGGAAGAGCATATGTTTTTTTTATACTCAATAATGGGCCACTAACAGTAAACTAGTAGAAATTTCCTTTCCAGAGGCTACTGCGACAAGCACTACCCTCCACTCGGGCTGTGCATGCACAGATTTGCGAACGAACGTTCGATACGTACATCATGTAACACTGCACTTGTACCGTACAGGGGTGCAGCTAGACTTAAGTGCATGGGGAAACTGAATTCAGAAAAGGATTAAAAGTATGTCTTCTTTATCTAATAGAATGCCAATGAAACGGCACAGCTTTCGTGCTTCGCGCGGGAGAAGGGGGGGGGGGGCAACTGAATTCAGAAAAGGACACGATACAACCAATCGTCTTCTTTCTCTAATTATTAATTTTAATGAAACGTGAAAGGGATGGGCGAAAATGAATTCAGACACGGATTAAGAGCAATAATTTAATGAAACGTCAAAGCTTCCGCGCTTCACGCGGGAGTGGGGTAAACTGAATTCAGACAAGGACACGATACAACGAATTGTCTTCTTTCTCTAATAATTTAATG